TCAAATATCCTCTATTAAAGCAAAATTGTGTGTTTCATTAGCTTCAAAACTATAGTCTCAAGACATTAAAGATTTGGCTGGTAAATTGTGTTGTTGAGTACATATTCTTTTTTTAAAACCATTTTTGTGCTAAACAACTCCATGTTACACAATCAATCCAAAATGTGATTTTGGTTGATATTTTTCAAGAGTTTTTATCTTCGATGCTTAGCAAACTCTTTCTCAAAGCGTTCTATAATTGTCTCAAAAGTTCTTCTTCTTCCAAGCTCTGCGGGGGTAAATGTTGCTATAGACGAATGCCATATTAGCATTGAAACTGAGGCTGTTGGTGCTAAGCTATTGTAAGAATCGAGGGCCTTTTTTTCAACTCTGTCTACATTCTTACAAATGGACTTTATGCTATGCTGAAGGCATTGTAAAAAGTGAAGATGAGGTTTTCTACTGATATTTTGAAACTATTCACAGTTCCCTCCGCATTAGCCATTTCAGAGACCATTCTTTCATTGCGTAGTTTGGCTATACTGTCCTTATACCAGTGAGCTAAAAATCATTGCATATATGCCAACAGAGTTAAGTTTTACTCACAAGTTCTGCAATCTTACTAGTTTACAAAAAGCCAGAAACCTAACTCAACAGAACTCAAAGGAAGTACAGTTCCAGCTCAAATGTTATCAGGATTCAGCTTCTGTCCACAAATATTGGAGCTGCAATTTGATAGCCACAATTTCCTGGCCAGGCATAACCACAGAATTCTTGGTCATTCTACACATCCTCTGGAATTTCACAAGTAATTATAACTGAACTTGTTTGCCATGAAAACTTAACTACATCATGCAACACCGTAGACTGCATTCACAAAATGTTATTAAATAAGCTCAATCTTCAATAAGTCAGATATTCCAAAAACGTCCTCAAGCAGTAAAAAAAAAACACTTCACAAGAAATACCGAACCCCTCAGTTCATTTAGAAGACATTAAAAAATGATTTGCCTTTTGAGTACAGAAGTAATTTCCTTCTGAAATAATCCCCGACAGACGGAGACCGAATGAGCGAGAGAAATACAGAAATAGACCAACTAATAAAACAGACAACTGGAAGATAAGAAGAGGGGGGTTAAGGAAACTAAATGCCATGCTGCACCTGCACAGCACACCTGCTAGCTGCAATCAGCCCCGCTGCTAACGCCTCAGTGTCAGGAAGAGGGAGGGACAGGCATCGGCCCAGGCTAGCACTTCCTTCCTAATCATTTGATAACATAATACACCTTTACTGTGAGTTGATACAAGGACATTCAATACTCTTGAATTAATGTCGCGCATTTCGCTGGGGAAATTGGAACTGTGGGACTGAAGACATTTCTGGGCTGTGGTTTGTGTGGACACAGCTCCTTAGGCAATTCACACACAAAAAGAAAATGAGGCAGTCGTCTTAAAAACCAGATATGAAGGATTCTGCTGGTTTGTAGAGAGAGAGAAGAAACAGGACAAACCTGTAACCAGACGGCTGTATGCCAATCTTTGGGAGCATTTCAGCACCCCCACCCCAAACTGGACATCTTCTCTCTTTTCTATTATTCACCTTCAAGACAACACAAGATAGAGACTGGCTCAGGTTCAATGTGATGGAGCGACTCCCTCAGAATACACTCGTCTCCTCTTTTCTTATCTGAGATATTGAAGATGACACTGGCAGCAAGCACATCACAGCCCGACTGCCTGACCTCATATAAAATATTCAAATGACACCATCCATTACCAGTATCATGTGACCTGCCATAGCCAATCAAGACCCCATCCCCAGTGAGCAAGCACCAACTTGTTGACCAGCCAATCAGGGGCAAGTATGCAAATCACAACCTCATTTCCTCTCTGGATTGTGGGCAACTAGCTCCGCCTACTATCGGGAACTACTTTTTTGACATTTAATGTGAGCGGGACATCCGATACCGCAAGACGCAACATGGTGCTTTCACGTTCAAACAAATGGCTCATAGGTTCTGAGACAGCACAAAATAAAAGAAGAGCTCCGATAAACCACAGCTCGGGCGAGTAATTATCGGAGGTAATGCCCAATGTTTCATCATGTTCAGTGATGGGCAACATAAGGGGATGATTACTTGCAGACCCGAGTAATAAAGACACCTTGCGAGATGTAATCTGAGACCAACGTTCCAAACGATGGGTCTAATTTAATCATAGTAAGGTGCTATTGCCTCCAAGACCAATGATTACAAGCATGGACTCATCATTGCTAGTTTTTGCTGTCGAGAGGTTTTCATTTCCCATTTTTATTGTCTAGGGCTTATCTTAAATCATAATCATACATGTATATCACTAAGAAGACAAAAGACAATTTATAAAATAGCAAAATAATAAAAGACGGCAAAATCATAGATTGTACTGGAATAAACTATACCATAGGTCACTTTGTGTCGATTACCTGAATTTCAGAATGCTCGTCAGATATTGATGAAACTTTCTACGGCATTTTTTTACAAAAAAATATGTTGGTATCACTGTTTCTTGTTGCGCAAACATCAGCTGATCAAAAATGATAAGGCAAAAAAAAAAACATTGTGTAGCCCTCATCCGACCGACCCAATAATCTGAAAATCTCTGGTCTTTTTTTTTTTCACTTGAAAAAAAAATTAAATAAACTTTAACCTTACCATTACTGTTTCTTTGTAATGCCATAATTTGGCATTTTGTTACAAAACGTGCATACCTAAATGGTAGTTCGAATTTACCGTGTTTTGTACATGTAACTGAGGCTAAGGCTTGTGGCATGTGGTGTGATGTACTGAATTCATTGTATACATGAGCACATGCACCGTACATTGTCTCGCATCCATGTATATGCACACAGTGCAGTTGGCGCATGCAGTACATGTAGCCTATACGTTTTGCGTACTTTGGTAGAGAGGAACTGGTAACTGAATGGAACGGAAGAAGGTGTAGGCCTATAATTATGTTAAGTATGTATACCCAATCCCCCCCCCCTCCCAATTTTTTTTTTTTTTTAAATCCCCAACCGACTGACCCTCTGATATTGTTAATACGAGGGTAACACAACATTTTTGGGGGCCTAATCCAAGCATTTATGTGTTTTAAAGATAAGTATGTAGTAATGGTCCGAACGGATATGCAATTTAGTATGACATATAAAGACTAGGGGGTTTAATACGTACGTCCAAAAAAAAAAAACCTGAAGTACAGGATTTCTAGTTCTGCAACTTCATTGGATAAAAAAAAGTCTTGAGCAACAAAGCTAACGAGAGAAATACTTCTAATCAGACGGAGCAAAAATCTATTATAACATGAAAATGCATGCTCTGGTTTACACTGGACACCACAGCTTAAATTTTCTCTTGGGTCAAATAACCATGCAACAAATCCTAGCCACTGGCAACACTAACGAAAAAGTGTTCACCAAACTTCTCCTCAGACTGACATGCACACAAGTTCTTGCGACAACAACTGAACCCTGCTCAAAATTCATCCCCCGTTCCCTGGACAAAACCTTGCCCTTTGCTATTCATGGTGGGACATGGCAGACCGATAAGACAGATCCCCACCCCCTGGGGGGAGACACAAACTGAGAGAGACCACGGCAGGGGAATTGAGGCTCATTGACAAGCATCCCCGATTCGTGAATATTCCCCCAACGCACCGTTTAGCGACCCATGAATATTCCCGTCTGGGGCTTCAACTCTTGTCTAATCTAGGAACTCAGAGGGATGTTAGGGTCCGAGACCCCGATTGGGGAGAGAGGGAGGGGGGGGGGGGGGGCAGTGACCCCCACAGGGCTGTTCAGTGTCAAGTGTTTATTCTCACATCATCAGGGATGAGGGAATTGACTAGAGGGACGACATCCACGGACCTACTAAGCAGTTTGTAAAATACTGCTAAGCAAGAGACATATAATCAAGAAAAAAATGGCTCTGGCTATTTTTAAAGTAAGACACTCATTGTTGAATCTGCAAAGCACAAATATCTGCTTAGTAAGTATTCCTCAGTTTTAAATTCCAATTTGCCCATCAGTGCCCTTGCTCTTTAAACACACAGATTTGCTTTACACTGTTAAATGGATATGGATTTTGATCAGCAAAAAAAGTTGTTCAACACCAGCACCAACTTATTTCTTCTAAAAACAGGCAAAAGGCAAACAGTCACTGAAAATTGGCCCATCTACATCGTGCGCAAACAAGAGAGTTTTTTTTTAAAGCCTCATGGACAGGACACATGCGCGTGCTTGCGCATATAGTGCGAAATACAAACGACTAAGTTTATTCTAAATGTGCACAAAGCAACAGTGTCATCGCGTCGTCAGCAATGCGTTCCAATGTCTCTCCCAGTGGTCTCCCCCAACTCTCCCTTTTTTACCAATGAGGGGGTACTTATGCATGGAGCCCATAATCAATAAGGCCAAAAAAAAAAGTCTCCGGTTTCTGGTATGCGCGCGCGTCGCCGTAGCCATGCGCGTCGGCAAAATGAAAAAGGTTTTTTTTCAATGAAAGATGATTTCTCAAAACCGCCGAACTCACTGGATTGACTGGAATCCTGCTGCTGCACAATTTTAACGTGTTTTTAGATTGGGTTATGGTCGAGAATAAGCTTTATGTGGCCTCTCTGGTCTCCCATAATATTTAATAATAAGTTTAGTCGGGCACCATTTGCAGTCATCAGCCGACATTTGAAGCAAAAAACCAGGTAAAAAAAAAAAAAAAGCTGCGTCACCGCACCACTTTTTGGGCAAGCTCCATACCAGAAACCGGAGACTTTTTTTTTTGCCTAACAGACAACAGGGACATATTCTGTATATCATGAATACAGGGAAATGTCACGCCATCTGTATGACTCAAACAAAAATAAAATTAATTCATGAGCACGAGTTACAATGAAGAGGCTTTGTTTCGAAACCATCAATATTCCACAATTTCACTCACTGTAAAAGCAAGTGAACATGTAGCATATATGCAGTAAATTCTTTTCACACAGGATTGGATCTACAAGAAGAAACCTGATTTATTCCAGACAATAGAGGGCGCTATGGCACAATTACAGTCAACCAGATGGATTCTTATTGGCTTTAAAATCTGATCATACAAAAGTAACATTTTTCACTTGTTCATAATCTTTTTTAAAAGCAGTCAGTTTAAATTAACAACGGGCCGATCAGCCAAATGGAATGTTTGGTTCACTGATTTCCGGTCTTAAAGATATTTTAGAGGGTTACTGTAAAAGAACTGTTTTAAACGTTTAATATTTCGTGCGGAAGGCAGACATCTGAATCATTTGCACTGTCGCTACGATGCGACAACTTGACGATTGAGGCACTAATTACAAATTAACAGGTTCAGTTTGACCTCTACACTTTGAAACACAGTGAAGAGGTCCTTCTTCATAAAAACAAAACCTCCAAGGCTGTCATTGTATGTTGGAACTGAAATATGGCAAACTATGTCATGCCAAGAATCTGTTTTAAACGTTTCGCTGAAGACAAAGTTCTTTATCATCAAGCATTTACTATGTGAAATAAAAGGGCTCCTTCCTTAAATTTCCCTGTTGTCAAAGAACTAGATGTTGATTGTGTAAACTGGGTTGCTCAAGGACACGGCTATAATCCACAGTCAGCACCCTTGAACTTGCGCAGACTCCTTGATGATTCACAACTAATAACAAAAAGTGGCACGGTTTTTTTAGAGGGGGGTGTTTTCATCCCACGTCCTTCCTGTACTGTTTCATGAGTGACCGAATGGCCCTGGCACGCAGTTCCAACTCTAGCACTTCAAGTTCTTGAGCAACTTTCCGTCCTGACGACTTTGCCGTTCCAATGGCCCCCTGTACCTGGGTGACAGGCTGTGGGGTCTGGGGCTTTCTCTCAACATGTTCGATAGCGTCTGAAGCGTTTTCACTGTTTTCTGACTCACTGTCATTTTCATCATTGATTTTCTCCTCATTAACGTTATCACTAGTACTGTCACTGTCAACATCATTTGTTTTGACCTTGTTATCACCGTCTTCGACTAAACATTCCTGATCCGAATCATGCACAACGTTTTCCTCAGAATCCATTTCCAACTTGTCCTCGGCAAAGATATTGAGGCTGTTATCCACAATATCCTTGCCGACGGTCACGCCAACGGGCACCGCGACAGTTGCACCAACAGACGCACTCACGGCTGCATTGGCCTTACTGCCATCAGACGTTGTTTTGTTCATAATCGCACCGTCGGCAACACTCTGATCATCGCTCACAAGATCCTTAGTAACACTGACATCCATATCAACATGAGCACTGCTGTCATCGTCAACTGAAACGTTGTCATTGTTGGCGTCGTTTCCATGGTTACCTGAGTTTGGCAGACTTCTCTTGACATCTTGAGGAACTCCCACGGACTCACCAGGTTCCTCGCTGGCCTCACCCTCCCCTGTATCTGCCCCAGGGTGTGTGTCCAGGGGTGTTGCATCCCCTGTGTCACCCTCTGGCTTTGGCGTGTCCTCATCAGCCTCTTTGCTGGAGTGAACACTTTCTTCATCAGTTTCTAAACAAAACAAAAATGAAAGAAACTAAATTAAACAATTGTTCAACAGTATTTTTGCTCCGTCATACAAGTCATCGATTAGGGTAGTCGCGGTTATATCAGACTCAGACTGGCCAGCCAAACCTGTGACAAAAGCATCAATCTGATTTAACTATCTGCATATGTAGGAATAGGGCACTGCGTTCCATGCAGGTAAGGTGAAATTACCAAGCAGCATAAAAACCAATAAGATTTCAGAATCACGGAGTGTGCTGCCTGTCCTCTGTGGCTCGGAGCACCGGCAGGTCTCAAGTCTAATAGGTACAAAATATATACTCCATATACAAATATGCATAGCCCATTGGCTGTTAGAAGTGAAGTCACCGTCCGCCATATTACAACTCCAAGAACAATAGATGTGTGTAAAAAAAAATTAATTTAGTTGACAAATACATGTTTTACTCAACAAATCATTACTTTCTTTTCTTTTTAAAAAAAATAAAAATAAAATGGCAACAAAATATATTTTATATAAACTTTCTGTAAGGGCAATTCTGTACATTCGAAGGTACATGTCAGACACTTTAATGAGCCGCTGTTGGAGAATTGAATGTGATACATCACTAATAATGTGACATCTAAAACAATTACAGATCAAACTAAGGTACCACCACCTTAACGACCTTGTACATGTTGGATTTTATGGAATTGCCCTTTAGAACAAAAAGTTTTCTTACACTTTTAGAAGACTCTATTGTAATTGTTTAGAACGATGGGAGTGGTTGAGGATGGTTCCCTCTCCACATTCTAATGGAGGGATCGGGAACATAGGTTCACTTGTTTGTACAGCTCGGAATGGTTCAAACACAGTCCAGACAGACTCACCCACTTCATCACTTGTAATCTCTCCTTCCTCACATTCTTCCCCATCGGCACGGACTATCTTGATACGACGGTACTTCTTGGGTTTCTGGACCACCGTCTCCTCCTCAATTTCCTCCTCCTGATCTTCCTCTCTGTCCATCTCTGCAACTGAGTCGCTCTCTCCTTCATGATGTCTGATGTCATCATTATCCTCGTTCAAGTCTTGATCTTCATCTGAGTATCTGTGATGCCTCTCACTGCCGTCTTGCCAGCTGTTATCAGGGCTGGCTACATCATCTTCTTCCCCTTCACCTTCTGTTTACAAAGAAGTCAAAGTCATTACCTCCTCATTTTTAGGGGAAAAAAGTTCAGAATCAGGGCCTCTACACAAAGATTGCAAAATTTGTAGTTGATATCATTTCTGTATTTCCCTCTCTCTCTGTTTCAAGAATTTTAACAGCAGCTGTTGTTTCAAAAAGCAGTAACTGGATACTGAAATCCAGGGGATTCACAGTGCCTTCAAGAGTGAGCAAAAAGGCTGCTTGGAGCACTATGAGAACTAAAGGCTGGTTCATACATCACGTGAATGCGAATGCAAAGCAAATTTGACGTCAAAATAAAGATAGAGTTGGAATGTGTTCAACTTTGCAGTGCTTATACTTGCCACAACGTCACAGATTTTCTTTCACACCGAGTATGAACCGGCCTTAAAACAGCTCAGCGGCAGAATGTCTCTAATCTCTCACACACACATGATCCACTGTCACTAAGCGACAAGCCAATTTCTAAGTTCTGTATCTGTATCTGTATGGTTACGTTGCAGAAACCTATTCAGGCATTATCGCAACAGCTACTCAAGGCACTAGGAGTTATGTCTATTATTAGATGAATGAAGTACATGAGAAATATGAGACCTACTATGTAGCACCTTTTAAGGGTTTACAAGGTGCTGCGGCCACTGCCAGGACACCGGGGCGAACCCCTTCTCTTAGCGACAAGTGTTACTGGGTTCTTTAACGTGCATTACACAACACACAGGACCTACAGCTTTATGTTCCATCCAAAGGACAAAGCAAGAATGGTTAAGTGCCTTGCTTAAGGGCACAAGTGTCCGCCGGCGGGCTCGAACCCACGTCACTGTTGCCTCTGAAACACCAGAACATGAGTCCGGTGCTCTTAACCGCTAGGCCAAGACACTCCACTTGAACTTAATTTTGATTCCAAAATTTCATCAAACATCATGTACCTGCATTATCCTCTGCATCACTATCTCCCTCTCCAGCCTCCTCTCCAGCCGCTTCCTCCTCTACATCATGCATTGACATAACCTCCTCCACATCAGCTACAGACATGGAGGCTTGAGGCAGGCTGGAGGTAGAGTCTACCACCTCACTGTTGATGAGGTTATCCTCTGCGTCTTCCGTTTTTGATGGGTCCTGCTCCACTTCCAAGTCAGACTCCTCGTCATCAGACGACGACTGCATCTCTTCACCTGTAAGCAAATAAAGATCAGACAATAGGCCATAATGTTTACTCATTACAGGTGCCATGGAGTACCGAAGTGAATATGTCACGTGCACAAAATGTGTGTAAAAGACATAAGCGCGTGATTCAGCCTGTGAACCATTCGTTTGCACTGCACTTTCTGGTTCTAAATGACGTCACACTTCAGTACTTCATATGGGCCACTTTGGCGTACAGATAGAACTGAATGCAGTTGTATGATCAATCTGTTAGCACCTAAATGACCATGTACTACATCCATGCTCTGATGAATCCATGAAGCATACTGTGCTGAGCAGTTTGGGGCAATACAGGGATGACTACACTATAGCACATTTAATAATGTTTTGGCATTTTTTTTCCCATTGTATAAAACTACTTGGCTGTAAGGCAATGGGACGACTATGCCAGTAACTGGAAATTCTCAGCTTACAGATGCGTTTCCCATGCTATTTTTGAGATTCACCTTGAACATTTTTTTTTTTTCAATTGTTATTTTCCTAGAAATATTCAAGTTAATCACTTTTGAATGTGACATCGAACAAAAAAATCCACCACTATTACTTCTTGCAAGTTATTCACTTTTGAATGCGACATCAAACAAAAAAAATCCACCGATATTACTTCTTGAATGTTTTTCATAAAAATCCAATTATTGGCTGCCAGACAATAATGTGGCTCTCGCAGGGCGGGTTCATGTGTGCGCAAAAGAAATTCCTTTTTCAGAGGGTTGCAGACGCCCAACATTGGTATAAAGTAGTTTTATTGTTAAAACAAAACATACAAAATGCAAATTTGTTTTGAGAAAAGAAAAAAAATCCATTTTTGAAGAGCACGGGGTGTCATATTTTCTTATTGATGGATCTGGACTGTGACCTTGCAACCAGTATTTGACCTACAAACTCTACATATGACCTACCTGCCAAGATGGACATAACTCTAGATTTGGACATGCCTTCCAACTGCAGCAGACAGAGTTGCTGTAACTCTTCCACCTTAACATCCTGCAAGCATGAGAAAGACATCCATCTTTAAGAATTCACACTTTCTCTACACAAGGGAATTTACTTTCACTAATATGCAAACAATGCAAAGGCCGGTTCACACTAGAAGCATACACAAACATGAATGCAAATTTTCACAAAGATTTAAGACACACCAAAACTTTGATATGTTTCATACCGTCAAATTCACTTTCGCTAATAACATCCGTGTGAAGCATGAACAGTCTTCAGTACCTTCAAAGTTTGTTATGCAGGTTTTTCTGCCCCTTTTGTTGCAGGTATGGTGCGTCCAGTGGAAGTGACTTTAACCGCATACATAGGTATATGTGTAATTGTTAGCCATAGCCAAGTAATTCAGACGCGGACTATGGGAAGTGGCTTCAGCTACCTCTATATGTGCATGTGTAACTGTAAGCCATAGTCATAGCCTCACCTTGAGTATATCAGGCAACATGGCTTGCAGCTTGTCTGCTTTCATGACACATTTGAACATATGTTGTAGCATCTCCTCCCTATCCTGGATGTAGTCTCGTATCGGCTTCACCTCATTCTCAAGATCTAGATCAGAGTCTTGCTCCACCGGCTCCACCTTCTTAGCTGGTTGATCACCTTTCTTAGATTTCTTGGATGATTTCTTCAAGACAATGAAATTATTTTTTTTAAATTAAAACTGTGACCCGTAGGAACTTTCTAGCATCTATCTCAAGAGTCAAGACAAATAAGAAACTGTAACAACACTATTTCTTCATGTGTTGCTCATAGTGACCTTTTTGAAGTTGAAACAATAGACAGAAGCAATACTGGGCTATAGTTTGGAGCATTGCCTGTGTAAAATCGACCAACAAAATATGAAAAACAAAAACAAACTTTTGTAGTTCTTGATAAAATGTTGGACTTAAATCCCCAAGTCCCCAGCTCAGTTTCCTGGAACTGCTACTAAAGCAGAAAATATCAAGCAATATGCTGAGAAAAATTACCTTATTGTAAGAACCTTAGAACCTGTCATAAGAAATATGCATCTCACAAAAATGTTTCTCTGGGTTTTTTTTGTGGGGGGGGGGTACATTATGGTGCTTAGTAGCTCAACATATCCATCAACTTGCAAATACATAAATGGATTTCAAGGAAGTCTATGATAATGTCATTTGTGATAATGTCATAATGAGATTGTGAGAATGTGCATGTCATTCGCATTTGAGTGAAACATGAAACCACTGGTGTAGTCAAATCCATCACAAGTCCTAACAGGTCCTCACAAGTCCTAACTGGTCCTCACAAGTCCTCACAAATCTCCCAGTTTAAACTCTCCCAGTTAAAGTCTCTCAGTTTAAACTCAAATTACGAGCTATTTAAAGCAATTGTTCCAAAGGCATTCCTTTGTTATTTGTTCACACCCTGTTATTTGTGACTGGACTTGAAGTGGACTTGACTACAAACACTGCATGAAACGGCTGTATGCTACCTGCTCCTTGTGAGATTTCTCTTTTCCCATTTTCTTCTTCTTGCTGTTCTTGGCTGTCCTCTCCTCAGACTTCCGCTTCTTCTTTTTCTTGCTGCCGTCACTCTTCTTTCCTTTGCTGTTACTCCCTGAGGAACCATCCCTGGTTGATGGTGGATGATTGGCAGCTGATGAGGTTCCAGCGGGCATGGTTTCTGACTGCGTTGAGTCTGGTAGCATTGCCTTGGCTACAAGGGGGAGGAACATGACACATTGAAATCCTTACAGAGTAGTCAAAAGTCAATCCTGTTCATCTGCCATGCCTTTTACACAGGCTAGTCACCAACAGTCAGATAATCAAAGCTTCGGTTTGAATTCCACTACTCAGTTTGAATTTTGCATTGATGTATCCGGCAGGATATTTTGCTGACTTAACCAATGGAGATGGAGAACTGGATATCAAAACCAACCGTCAAATAACTGATATAACTGAGCAAGAAAGAAAATACTGGTAGTTCAGAAGTTGTAAATAATTGTAAATTGTTTTGTGAATAGACTAGACACAGCAAAGAAGAATATTTGTCCGGTTTATTTCTTTCGTTGTTGTGTTGAAATAATAGTTGTAGACAATTTGGACACAGTTCATGAAAAATCCTAACAACAACTCTGGATTGTTTTTGTCAAGGCCCAGTGGTCAATGAATCCTGCAAACTACACCAAATCATCTGTGAGCTCAATTGGAACTTCCAGTGAAATCAGATATCTGTTATTTGGTAAAAAAAAAAGTCAGAAGAACCAGATTTTGAAATCACCAAATTTCCCCACCATTAAACAGGAGCTCCACAAGAATACACACGAGTAGATCCATTGTGCACTGTCCATTCATTGTTACTGAATTAAACTCAAAGAAGAAATGCCTCAAAAATGTCTGCTAAATGCAACAGGTCTATGGAAGCAGTGCAAGTGTAAACATGAAATATTACCAGGATCCCTAAATTTGACATACTTTCCATGACTGGTGCTTGTCAGCATTAAGTAGAGCCACTGTCCCTGCTCTACAGTCCAGCTATGTGTAGTAAGCCGGTCATGTGACAGCTATCCATGTCTGCATCGTTCCTCTTGCAAGCTAAAATGAGCCACGCTATATAAAGAAGCATCACGTTCAAAGTTAATTTACACAAAGTTACAGTCGGCTTTCCAGAAGCAAACTGTGTCAATATGAATTGAAGCAGAATTTATTGATAAAGGCAAAAGAAAAATTTGCAGCCTTTTCTAGTTTCTCTATCTGCCAATCAGCATCAGGCTTGCATTGTGTCGGGCTTTCACGCGTATGCAGGTCTTACGTCTCCGACTGCAAAAAAAAAGGTAGCAAAGTCACATTTTCTTTGAAAGTGCGTTTCAAAATACAACAAACATGACTCAAAGTTAATCTGAAGAAAAAAAGACTGCTTAAGCCTGCAAAAAGACTTTGGTACGGGACAGTCACCAGCAATTTGTGCAAAATTCGGTTCTGAACAAAACTTGTACAAAAATAGAGGTGTCCTATTAGATTAGTATTATACTAGGCCCTATTACATAAATGTAACACTGATCATGATCTAGCCCCATAAATGTGGCCAATTTACTGGACTACCTCCATAAATAAAGGCCACATTCCACCATGTACAAAAACATGTCGAACTTTGTCAAATTTTGATTTTCACATTTAGGCTTAGTTTGTAGTTTATTTTGCTTCAGAAGCATACTCACCCTTTTTAATAGCTGGAGTTACCCAGCCCTAAATTTTATCATTGGGTTGTCATTTAGGGCTGGAGGACATTTTTCACGTGAACCAGCAGAGTTGGCAGGTCCCAAAAATAATTCGAAAATGTGCAATTTTGTCCCTGTTACACACTAATTTCAACTGGAACTCACGCAAACCTTGCCTGGAATTACACAGGTCCTTGAAGTAAAAAAACGATCCACAATGAAGATTCAGCCTACAATTGCAGTGAAAAAAACGAGGCATAAACCAACAACCGTGCAGTTATGGCGAGGCCCGCAATTGGATTTGTGCACAGCGTGTTTACCAGTTCCTTCTTGCCGGCTGCGCTGGCTGATGGCGCATGACGTCACGCGGAAGCGGATTACCCGACGACTGTTGAGGTTTACCACTCGCATCATAGCTGCGATACTGGACGGCAACCAAAGTTTGCCGGTTATCGTGCACGAAACAGTCGTCGGGTAATCCGCTTCCGCGTGACGTCATGCACCATCAGCCAGCGCAGCCGGCAAGAAGGAACTGGTAAACGCGCTGTGCACAAATCCAATTGCGGGCCTCGCCATAACCGCACGGTTGTCGGTTTATGCCTCGTTTTTTCACTGCAATTGTAGGCTGAATCTTCATCGTGGATCGTTTTTTACTTCAAGGTCCTGTGTAATGGTTATTCCAGGCAAGGTTTGCATGAGTTCCAGTTGAAATAAGTGTGTAACAGGGACAAAATTGCACATTTTCGAAATGTTTTCAAATTTTTGTTGGGACCTGCCAACTCTGCTGGTTCACGTGAAAAATGTCCTCCAGCCCTAAATGACAACCCAATGATAAAATTTAGGGCTGGGTAACTCCAGCTACCTTTTTAAAGGCTAATCAGAAAGTGCTGTCTTTTTAAGTTAAGATGTCTAATTTTCGTGAAATTTCATGTTGAAATTTTGCTACGCAAACATGTGCAAATGAATCTGGAAATTTCACGAAAAATAGACATCTGAAAAGGGCAGCACTTTCTGATTAGCTATAGGCAAGAGGGTGAATATGCTTCTAAAGCAAAAGTAAACTACAACCTAAGGCGCTAAGCCTAAATGTGAAACTGAAAATCTAAATTTGACAAAGTTCGACATGTTTTTGTACATGGTGGAAGTGTGGCCTTTATTTACGGAGGTTGTCCAGTAAATTGGCCACATTTATGGGGCTAATCATGATCAAGCTTGGTACACTGATCATAGCTAGGATTAGCTAGGATGATCCTTAGCCGTTATATTGTTGATGTACCCTAACGTGGCGCGGCCCCTAACGTGGCGCACTTTGATTTTTCGCCTGTAGCGCCTAGCTAGAGCAAAAGTTTTAACTGAAATTTCACAGAAAGTGAAATTTCATCAAGTTCTAAACACTCCCGTTCATAAATCGCGAGTTTATTTACCCGTTACAAAGTTCAAAGAAAAAATTATATTGGCGTGATTTTCCGATTTTATTTTCAAGTGCAAAGTGAACCCTTTGAAAATGCCCCGAAAAATAAGAAAATTATTTTCTGACAAAGTGACAAACATCTGGCTGGGCTTGTAAGTGAAGATAATAATGATGTATCAGAAGTTATCAAGGTTACAGAAATTCTTAAATGTTAATTTGGAATTTTCCAAGATTTATTCAAGTGCGCCACGTTAGGGAACACTCCGACAATTTGTGCCCAATTTCCGGACGCGACCGTTTTTGCATTTCGGATTAAATTTTATGAAACCGAAATTGTTCACAGAGGTTAAATAGCAAGCATTATGAAGGTAAAAGTACCAGTATTTTACTGCATGAATTTGAGGTTTGTCAACAAAGAGGTTTGACAACACTACACGAGGAAAGTTGGGTAAGCTTCGAAGTGCGCCACGTTAGGGAACACGACTATACACTGATCATTGCATGTATTGTAACAAGTTTGTCCGAAAACTGGGCACCTAACGCCATCTTCCTGAAAGTGAAACAACTCCACCAAATACAGATTAATCGTATGTTGTTTTAATCTCTGCAGCTCAAACAGCTTTCCCTCAACAACAATGACAACATTTATGTTATTCTAATGGTGCTTTACCTCAATATTTCTGGTGGAAACGGAAACCACGCGTTTTGTTTATACTTTGTGACAGGCGATTGCTGCGCGTGTTCCTGGACGATCGATCACACTATGATAATGAGAAAAGGAAGCGCAGGGGCACCAGTCTCTTACTTTACTTCTACGGCTGTTTCATGCATAGGGTTTCTAACTTTTTTTCACGGGGGGGGGGGGGGGTTAGCGTGCGGGCGGGCAGACATTGCTTCCTCGTAAATGGAGTTTGAGAGGAACAAAATGACTTTATATTGTTTTGCCCACATAGAGGGTAAAAAAAATATGGGGGGGGGGGAATACAGCAAAGAGCGATTTAAGTAAGGAGTTTTTAGTTGAGAAACAACATATTTTGTACCCCCTGCCCAATAAAAAATAAAAACATATTTCTGCATATTCAAAGAAAATAATAAAGCATAAAGTTAAGGTACAACTACAAGTCTTAATCTTTGGTGGTGTATGGCCATTTTCCATGAGAAAGACCACGCTAAAGAAAAAAGTTCAATCAAAATCTTTTTTTCATCAAATTTATTATGAGTCCTCAATTTGATCACTTCATACACAGCTGGGAAATTACTGCATGGTTATAACTCATTACAATGTATTCAATTAGTAATGCAATAATCTAATATCTTATGATATTACCATCATAGAGTTTGTTCATTGTAATTAGTAACCTTTAAGTATTCTGTTAAAAATTATTCTGTTAAAAATAATGGACATTCAACAATTACAGAGTCATTGTTGAAGGAATGGAGTCATCGATTTTTTTTCTAATTACCTATTGAGGTAGTTTTGACCATTGACCAATCAGAATGCTTGTCTCATAAATGCTACTTAGAGTGGCCAATGGGAAGACAGCAGGCACTGCACTTGGAAAGTTTCCGGATTTTTATTGGCTCTCTATCACACAGTACCAGCCAATAAGGATGCTGATGTGAAGATATGTCAAACATGGAACATAATGACCACTGAAAACTATCTGTTGATACAGAAAACGTTAATACAAAGTACAGTCATACAAGTTTTCAACACATTTTAAGTTACATGTACATGTGCATATTTACGTACACAGCTCACTCGAAATACTTCAGAAAACCCATCATTTACAACCACAAGACAGACTGGATTTAATACTTTATAAATATTTATTACTGCACGATGCACATCCCACTCGACATCCAAAATTGTAATATATTACATGTTTATCACAGGTCTACGACATATATATGTTTAAATTCACATGAAGGTCCAGATTTGCTAGTTTCAAAGTGGGACTTTTTTTTCCGGATCTTCTGAAAGAAGTCCGGATATCCAGACAGGATTTCCTGAGGATCATCCAGGATTCTAAGGTGAGGAGTTCAGGACTTCAACAATTTTCCTGTGGAAATCTAAGGATTTCGGTTGTATTGGATTTGTCTGGGTTGAACAATTGTCCAATTTTCAAGGATTCTCTTAAGCAACAGTATGAAGCCCAGGAAGGGACAGGGTGGAATTTTATTTTGGAATTTGCTAATTCGTTCCCACGAATTACTAATTCGTTCGAATTGCTAATTCGTGCGCACGAATTGCTAATTTGTGCGCACGAATTGCTAACTCGTTCGCACGAATTGCTATTTCGTTCGCACAACTTGCTATTTCGTTCCCACGAATTGCTATTTCGTTCCCACGAATTGCTAATTCGTTCCCACGAATTGCTAATTCGTTCCCACGAATTACCAACTTGTTCCCACGAATTAGTAACGCGTTCCCGGATGCACGAGTTCGCAATTCGTTCCCACGAATTAGGAAATCGTGCGAACGAGTTAGCAATTCGTGCGAACGAATTAGCAAATTACCAAAAAAAAATTCCACCCTGTCCCTTCCCGGGCTTCATACAACAGGGATTCCAAAGGCACATTATGGGGTTTTAAATTCAGGTCTGGGAAATTTTCCTTGATTTTGTGGAAACAGGTTCCAAGAAATTCAAGGATCCCTAAATGCAAGTTTTGGGTATTCTCCAGGATCCATGAGTAACTAGAAATCAGAATATTCCAATTTCAATTTTCCAATTGAAGTTGTCTGGATTTCTTGTGTTTTAATTTCTCTACATGACAAACCACTAGCAATTATCCGTATCTAACCCCAAAAACTAACATATCGACATACGTTGTGTCCGTGCAACAAGGTTGTATCTCCAAACATGACGTGCGAAATCATGTACATGAAAAGCAAGTTTTCAATGTCAAAGGTTGTATCTTGCTTAAAATAACCCGGATGTACACACTAAGTCAATGGACTTCGCAATATGTGAGATACAACCCTGTTGCACGGAGCGTTTTCGTGCGAGATACACTCAACCCAAAAAGAAAGTCCCCCCCCCCCACCCTTCCAATACTTTTTTGTCTAACTCAAAAACTACTGAGCAACTCTCGCTCAAATGAAAACTAATCAGTACAGAAATTCCTTAGCAATCCAGCCATACTCTTTATTTGGCCCAAAACAGTGATAATGTGTACAAATTTATGTAATTAATGACCAACGATACCGAAAACAGTTGCACTTTTGTATACGTGCAAGTTGTGGTTCACACTCACCTTACACGTATACAAAAGTGCAACTATTTTTTTGGTACCATTCGTCATAGACTGCATAATTTTGTACAACATCATCATGGTTTTGGGCCAAACAAAGAGTATGGCTGGATTCCTAAGGAATTTCTGTACTGATCAGTCGTAATTTGAGCAAGATGTGCCCAGTAGTTTTTGAGTTAGACACAAAAGTATTCAGGGGGGACTTTCTTTTTGGGTTGAGTGTAGGAATTTGTTGCAGGATCGAGTTAAGACCTTGTTGCACTGATGCGATAATATTCAAGCAGTTTTTAGTTCACACTTTAGCAAAACAAAGCCCAAGCAAAAACGCTAGTATTGAACGTGTAACAGATAGACTACCGACTAACATTAAGGAATTACCTCGATGACAATCCCAGAAAAAGTTGCAGAGAAAATCTTTCCCGAAGGGGTTTATATCTAAAAGAACCTCTGCTTTACTCTGCATAATCGAGCAAGGCAAAGTTTATGATAACACTACTTGACCCAGCTGAACATGTCTATCCAAAAAAAGGTCTCTAATATCGATGACCGAGCTACAATCTTCCCAGTGGGGCAATTTCTCCACAATTTTCTAGGATTTGTTTTTCTACATGACTCCTAAGATTTTAAAAGATCCGGATATTGGTTTCCTTTATGTCCTGCTAGCTGTGCAGACTGTCCAGATACTGGGAGAGAAGTAACTTGGGTGGACTGAAGTAATCCTGACCATTCTCAACTTTGGTCTGCCGACGACCATCACAATCGTAACCTGGAATTTTTGGTTAAAACGAGGGCGAAAACACATCAGTAAATTACAATAAGTCATCTTTGACAGATCATTTCATAATAAAAGGCATATAGGTTCAATGCATTTGTTTCCAATAGTACCACCTCTCAAAATGAAAAGAAAAATGTTCAAAACATAACCTGTTGAATTTTTAGCTCATAGGATATTACTATTTTTTTGAGAACACGAAACACAATTTCATCTATATAGAACTCTTTATTTCCAAAAATCAGTCAATTGACTGATCATTGGAAATCACCTACATTTTGTTTATTTCTTTTAAATGACAGCAAGCCAGATGGAATAATTTCACAAGGGGACAAATGCAAATGATCCTATGTGCCTTTAAAGGGGGTGTTTGTTCATCAATAAAGAAACCATGATTGTAACTGCAAAATAAATCCATATGTGTAATGAGAAATCTCCAAGTGACATTTCCCAGGTCCGAAGTGGCATTATAACTTTGGATGTGATTCCTAGCGGCAAGGCAACAGGTTGATGGCTTCTGACTAGTGTCCCCACCCCTATTTTTCAAACTGTAGACAATACCATTGGCCGCTCAGTTCGTAAAGCACCAAGAACAGAGGTCACAGTCAACCCAATACTTATCACAAACTTGACTTACTAATGGACTGTAAGTCCAAGTACTGGCACACAGCATGCATGAGAAGTCGATCAAAGCTGCAGTTAATGTGCGATATGAAGACTGCTCCTGGGTCATCAGTGAACCAGGGTACCAGGTCATCCTCGTGATTCTGCAACATACCCTGAAGGGACGAGAAAGGGTGGCAACATCTGTATAAATAACTTACTAAATATATCTAGATCACTGTTCTACATATACCGACTATATAGTGCTTCAGATCTCAAGCTGAAGTCACAATGGTGCCATCCCGAGAGGCCTAAAATGTGTACAAATCTTTATAGATGCTTTCGAGTCATGCAATGGCCAACTTTAAAAAAAACAAAAAACCTTGATTTCTATTCCAGTAAAAACTTGAAGTCGTTTTTCAAGTGTACATTTTGTTTTATTTTTTTTTTGCACCCTATTTTTTTTGCACACTCCTTTTTTTTGCATCCAAATTGACATCTTGATTAACATTTGAAAACGAGGAGAAAGTACTCTTTTTAAAATACAATTTAATTTCAAATATTTTATTTTTTTTAAACATTAATCAGAACATAAGGGCCACCTGTGGAGTCCAATCAACTGACCTTAGGCAGGTGTTTCCTGCGCAGCATGGTACGTAGACGGCTATTGATCCTCTGGAAACTCTCCTCTGGAGTGTGTGCTGGGTGCACTAAACATTATATGACAAACAAGATGTTATATAAATAACTATAGTTTATAAATTACAGTGGGTGTGATCCACAAAAGAACAATTCAAGAATGTAAACTGAAGATGATACTGTGAAACGTTCACAGTGAAAAAAATGGCAAACTTCAAACTTGTTGCAAAATTCACAGTCCATATTTATTAAAGGGCTGCTGAATGCACTTGTGTGGAATCGCACATAAACAAAAAACGTTACTGTGCTGTGGTCAGGCCTCCACATTAAGAACAAGTGCAGGTAATATACTTCTAAGTACAGTCCTTTTTGCTTGAAATTTTAAAAAAAATTAATGCGGCCTGACGTTGGAAACTCAATAAGTTCTTCTTCAGAGGCAAAATGAATTAAAATCAATGACGAACTAAAAGTTTGGTCAAAAATTCATATTTCACACGTTCCTCATTCAAACATAGCCAAAAAAAGTAGTGAGAGCCCTTGTAACAAGAGTTGAACTATACTGACTCTGAAAATCCTAGCCAAACCCAAGCCCCTCTCATAAGAACCACGTTGGTGTAATAAAATCCTTATATAGTGAGTCTAGCCAGCCTCACCGCAGGGCATGGATAATCAATCGTCCTGTCTCGTCAGCAAGCTCAAGTAATGGCTGTTTGTAGTAATGGCTGTTTTACCACATTAAATTCTAATTTGATAGACAGCAAATAGCTGATTGAATTTGGACCCCTACTATAACATGTTCTGCAAATTGCAGTACAGTCCTAGAACCGTGCGTGGACAAATGCCACACTAACGTTGAGGGTTTAAGACAATTCAATTTGTTCACTGTATTAGTCTTTTACCTGTGCGTTTATCATCATCCTTATTATCTTTCTTATCCACCGCGGTCCCTGCCTCCTTCTCCTGCTTCCCAGTCTCCTTCTTGGGCACCTCCTTGGTTGCCACCTGCTGCAGGAAGATCTCCTGCTCATCCTCAGGACGATTCATGAAGTCGTTCCATATCTGATTGGTTTAATCCAGAGGTTAAAGGTCAAAGGGCACCTGTCTATTCAGGGGGAAGAAATGTAAAGTAGCTAAAGTCACTGATCTGTGCCTGTACATGGGTATAGGGCTGCGTCTGCTACGTTAAATTCCCTTCCTGAAAACTGTACCCCTCACTGGACAACGTTGTATTTACCTCCAGACTGTCCCGGTCATCACAGCAGCTGCTTTAAAACTGGCTGACTAAACACCAGCAATATACCACACAGGCCCATGTAATATTCTGACTACTATATTACTCATGACACTAGGTTATATTTCCCTTCTGACTAATATACCCCTCATTGGACCATGTTATATTTCCCTCCTGACTACTATTCCCCTCATGTTCTATTTACCTCCAGACTGTCTCGGTCAGACAGCAGCTGCTCAAAGACTGACTGGCTAGACTCCACAAAATCACTGATGGAGACCTCCCCAAAGTCAGCTTCATCCACAAGACTCAGCAGGAAACAGGCTGAAACAGGAAACATACAGATATGCTATAAATGAATGTGTATTATGACAGGAAAGAGCAAGACAACAGTATGTATCAGTACTGGCCCCTCAATGAGGACAGGTCATTGTTCCTTTCACTGTTACTGGATTTAAATAACAAAACCTATCCTCCTTGCGGGAGCTTTATATGCCATAGGCCTATTGGTGATATCTTTGATCCACACTGATTTTACATTATACTATCAATGCATTATTCTGGCAATGAAGCTGTAATGCCCTAACTTTGACGTCATCTCAACTATACTTGGGACGATCCGAACTACAGTTAGGATTATCCCAACTATAGATAGAAATTTCCCAACCATAATTGGGACCACTGTCACAGTTGGGGGGTAACAAAGCCAGAGACCCCTCAAAATTGCAAGCCGGAAGGGACCTGTAAAGACAATGCCATGCAGAAATATGCACTTCCTGGGGGAAGCAATTTTTCTGTGTTAAAACAAAAATCCAATAAAGGATTACAATAATGCAATATTTGAATCTAGACAAGTTTTATTGTGAGGTAAAAGATTAGGAAGGTACCATACGTGGTATTAAAGATCAAGTTTTACCACATATCGCAAGACATGTACTTACTGTTTTCATATCGCCGGGTGCGTTTGTGACCCCCTGTCTTATGGCCAGCTGATTTGGGCGAGACAGTCGGACAGCAGTGACGACTACGCCTCTGCCTTTGTCTCCGTGGCGACACAGGTGGTTTAGTTTCAACAGATTCTGGCACAATCAACCTAACGAGAATAAGAAGCATAATGACAATTAATGTAATATTTTGATGTTTATTATATTTTGATTTTATTTCACTTAATATTTTGATGGGTTATCAGAAAGAACAAAGGTGAAGCAAACAATGCCATCTTTAAATTTGCCCCCCCCCCAAAAAAAAACTCAAACAATTGCTATCAATGTGACCATATCAAGCTGTCAATTATCATGACTATGTTGAAAAATTAGCACAAAATTAAAAACATTATTTATTTTAATACTTAGGCCTTATTCCCTTTTCCATTTTCAAGTAGGCCCCTACATAAAAAGGCCAGAGTTTACTCCTAAATTAAAGTTTGTTTAAGAAGGGCAAATGTGCAAAATTTCTAGGCCCCTACTAAAAATGGGGAAAAAAATGTTTGCTGTACAAAAGTATATTAGGGTAGGACATATGCAAATCATCCACATAAAAGTAAACATGGAGGTTGGAAACATATCAACATGTAGGCCTATACAGTTTCATTCAGCTTGAATAATTTTTATTCGAACATCTTCTCATTCTCAGTAAAAAAAATGCTAAAAAATAAAAAATTAAGCTAATAAAATATACTTTGAGGGAAACACTATTATTCGTTTCCATTAAAAGGGCCGAATCATGATTAGTTTTGGTAATCTACATAGAAAAAAAAAATGCCGATTTCTGGAAGTCAAAATGTAAACAACTGTGGAAAAAAATTGCCCATCCCTTATGCAATAAAAGCGCGCCCTCTGCGCAGGACATCCGGCAAACGTCCGTCGTCAATCTGTCAAGATTTTCCATTTTTCATCGGATAAAAAACAGAACATTACATTCAAGACTTCTTACTCAGATTGTTCAGGAAGGACGTTATCTTCTTCCTCTTTCGTAATCCCCATCGCTGCTGATTCAAGCTGGTCGAAATATAGCTGAAATTACCACTTTTTTGCACCGTCCCACTGCAAACAATCACTACTTTTTTTTTTACCTGTCAATCGGCACTTATCAGTCAGCACGGTACCCTATATGCGGTTAACGGTATTTGCGTATCAATGCTGTAAGGCACCAGGTACCGGCTATATTTAGACCATACATAAACAAAAACATTACTTTACGTGGACGTCACAAATGTGAACCTTCTAAATATCGAGGTCATCTATCTGGCGGGAATTTCGGATGTAATGTCTTTATTCTTCTGTAGTGATAACAACTAATGGCATACATTTATATGGCACAAAAGTTAAACATTGCCTAAGTAGTAGTATTGTTTGTATCGATAATGTAAAGTTGTTAAGGAAATTTAGACTTTGTCACAATCATGACAAAGAGTGTCCTTTTTGTGCATTTTTATTGTTACATTGCCCATGGAGGTATTGTCAATATGTCATTTACTTTGATAGGATCAAAACTAATAAACCTTTTTTTTGTAAACTGACTACATGTATTATAATTAAAACTTAATAATTTAATGGCTATAAATGAAAATGATGCAACGGTTCAGGTACAAAAAAAGACTTTCCTAACAAAGTTCAAAATAGGCAAGTTCAAAATTAGAGTGTGTGTACATAAATTACAGTTTGCACATTCAACTTTTTATCTTTTGTTTTTCAACAGTCCTGAGGTTCCATTCACATTGATGCTTGTTACTTATGATCCCATAGTAGAAGTGCGGAACACATACATCTACCAGATATCCACTGGACCGGCTGATATTCCATAATCCACCCTCGTGATAGTTGCTATCATGGCCTTCGAACCATTTCCCTCCGAGGCTGTTCAACAGTTCAATGACCCTGGGCCATACTTCATCCGTGAGAATGGCAAGCTTCGCTCCCCACCTGGCATGGGCCCTCACAGCCGGTCTCTCCTAGAGTTCAGCCAAGAAACCAATCCAGCCGCGACACCGGCCAATTCTACCGACCATTCAGAAAACACCCCACGGAAACTCTTCGACATGACGCTAGATTTTGTTGCGGCCAACGTTGTGCTTGTTGACTCTTTGGTGGGGTTTCCGGAGGTCGTAGGTCAGCAGCTGTTTGAAGCATCTCATCGCCATGGTAACCTCAGCATCAATGCATTGCGACTTTTCAGTGATGCCTACAGAGATGCAGTTCTGCGGAGCATCAATCTGAGTGGACACCATCTTGCCATCAACCAGCACAGTAATTGTCTAGCTGTCTTCCCATACTTGACTGAATTGGAGGTCACAGGTTGTCGCCTAGGAGACGACCATGAAATCATCTCAACCATTGCGAATTGCCACAGGTTAAAAATCTGCTTATCCTTTGAACAAAGTCTGTCAAGTGTGGAATCGTTTTAAACCAGTTATGCTTCGTCAGTCATACAAACTTAAAACCATTGAGATAATCATACATTTTCAAGAATTCTCTCTCGATTTTGTAAAGCACCTTGCTTTAATTTAACCAAATCCCCCCCCCCCCCCGGAAATAAGTATACAGACTTTTTAAGTGTGTAACATTCAGTTACAGTTTTTAAAATTGACTGAGTATCACAACATCTTTCAGATTCACTATATTTTGAGCTATCAAAATTTAAGTTGATGATCACACATTCTTTTTTCTTCATAGTTTGACCAGACTAGGTTTGGCCAGCAACAGTCTCTCAGATGTTGGCATACAGAGGCTGACTGCTCCTCTAAGAGTGATGAGAAGAGGTCCAAGGAAGTTAGGCATCTTAGATCTAGCAGGTGAAAGACTCGTGGTTATTGTTAAAAACAAATTAAGGACCCCCATGGTTACTAACATGGATAGGAGGTGCCCTAGGCAACAAGATAACATAGTATTTGCACTCAGTCATTGTTCGACACCTTTGTAGTGCTTTTTCTTATGGGACTGCTCAGCACTGCACTATATTTTGCCAAGATTGCAAAATCGCCGAAGCAGCTTTTTAATTCACTTAGCAGTCAATCTCCACAGCCTCTAGCAATAACGGATATTTTTCTCCCTGTCCAGGTAATAATTTAATCAGTGACAAGTCTGCTGGGCAATACCTGACTGTATTCACTTCCCTCCGAGGTATTGATCTGTCTGGCTGTAATATCAGTGTAAGTTGAGTGTAAACGAGCTGTGAATATTAATGCATTGTCAGCACAGGCTGTGTTATGGTTGAGATAGAAATTGATAATGTTTGGTCCGTTTGTTTTTACTAGGTTCTTTCAAACTTACAAAAATACATGCCAAGCGTACCAAGGTTCATAAAAATATTTTAATGTTGGTTTTTTTTTAAAGTTACCTAGGGGCTACCATTTCCGGCTGCACTGCATTCAATATTTGACAGCTCTCTTTCGACAGACCAAATACACAAACATTAGAAATGGTTATTGACAACTGAATAGTTGCATGCAAATATGAGCTTGGATAGCTCGATTGTGTTGAAACTAATTTCCAGAACCTGCAATTTGACACCCCTGTTCAATTCCCCTTTGGTACAAAGAAGGGAAAATCCAGTTTTCCTTGGATACTGTTATAAATGTTTCAAGTCGTTTACATTTCATTTGCTTTCTCCAAAACTCAAACCATCCACACAGCTTCTATTCACCACCTTTGATTTTTGTCATTTTTCAGTCTGCTGGCCTGGACGTCTTGAGATCAAAACTAAGACTAGAAACCAACAACTCGACAGCTCCATCTCCATTCCACCTGCCAGTCAAGACTGTCGGCTGGGCCTTGCCTTTGATAGAGCAATGGATAGAATCAAGCACTGATCTGATGAAGAGAGGAAAGTCCAAGGCTAGCAAGGCTCAGGCACACGGACCATCCAACTCAGTTCATTTCTGTATGTACAGTGGATTTAGGATTTTCATTTTCCTTCCCTTCAGAAAAAATAAACATTCTGCCGAGTTGCCTCCAAATCAAACCTTTTTTTTAGGGAAAAGCTTTTATTTTAAACCATCACATTTAAGCAAAGCAGCCATTGACAACCTGTGATGTTAAATAATTCGATCACAAAAAAAATATTAGCAGAGGTTTTATTTTATGTTAATATAGATATTGGCATTTGGAAGTCTTTCCTGAACTGTAAAAATTACGGAATTATATTAGAATTCAGACAGCAAGATTGTGGAATGTCTTAACCAGGTAGCATAGCACAATATACCTTTTCGTGAAGCAACATGGAAATGCCAATAATACCAAAAAGATACTTTTGATAAAGATTTTTAAAGTACACAGTATTTGCCATTTTATTTCCTTTTCTTAGATGGACGAGCACGTAAGAGGCTTGAGAATGTTTCTAGGAGTTCCCTGCCAAAACCCAAACCTCTCGTCTTCCCAGTCATTCAACTGGTAGCAGCCACCACCAACCACGGTCAACCCACCAGCGACCCAGCAGACAAAAAGGTCAAAAGGTTAAAGGTTAAAATGACAATTGACAGATTGACAAAGGAGCTCAAGAATCCAGCCACTTGCCGACAAGAAGTTGAAGCCTGCCAATCCAAAATGGGTGCCAGCTTGTCTCAGACCACATTCAACAAGGAATTAATTGAACAGTATGCCATCGGTTCGAGAGACACATTTAACAAGAACAAACAAACGAGGAAACAAGATCACTGGAGCTTTGTTGACGTAGACTCTAATGATCTAAAGCAGAGCAGGGAACCACTGATCCTCAAACAAGAGCCAGTCAGAGTCACAAAACCACCCCCAAAGAAGAGGATCAAGCTCAGCACAAAGGCCTCCAAGGGATTTTCGGATGTTCTGCCGAATCAAAAAGTTGAAGGTGTTGTACATGGCGAGCCAAGATCACACAAAAACCCTTGTGTCGGCCAAGCCTCTGATTGCAGGAAGTCAGGTGATCAAAGCCACATGACCTCCAAGGATCATGGGTCATGTTCGAACCAGAGACAATCAGCGGAATACGTTCATAGGAACCAAGCTACAAGTCAGAAAGGAAATGGTCTCTGGAAGGCAATGAACAGTGAAGACTGGGGATAGATACCAGAAGGAGCTCACTATCACAATAAACACTCAAGAACAAGCAAAAGAATTACTAGCAACATGAAACCTTTAATCACTTTGGTTAAATATCCAATACCATTCATATTGTGACCCTACATCAGTGTATGCATAGAATATTAAACAAATACAACCATTAGGACGATTCAAACGCCAAACTAATATAAAAGTGAAGCAAATTTAAAGACATCAAAAGTGTTTCACTGCAAGGTTACATCGTTCACCTAAAATTTGCTTCACTCTTGTATTCAGCAGAAGTACCAGCCCATCTTGACTATTTGAAAATCTGGGATTCATTGCCATCAAATTCACTTTTGGACTCGGTGCATAAATAACCTTCAGGAAAAATGACAAAACATAGATCACCACAACAGGTAGACACATCAATACCATTTCTGTTGTGTGAACATACTCAAGCTTGAAAATGTCACGCGACCTACCCAACGTTTTTTGTTTATATTCAGTTGAAAGTTGGTCATGTCAAGTTTTGTACCGATAGACATTTTGCATTCATGATCTTTGAAGGCTACTCATTTATCTCCCTGTGGAACAAAAGCACACACCTCAAAGATGGCCGTAATGCAAAGGATCTATAGTGAGCATGAATATTGGTTTGCAATCATAATATCATCTATAGTACCCCCACAGAGTACATTGTATTTAACACAAATTCATAAATACCTGAGAGTTTACCAATTCCTATTGATTGAGAGCCCATCACGTGGGCGATTTTAAACTGCCGTTAAAACACTGCTACGTTCTGTGCCACATCATGCCATGAGGGCACCAATTTACATGTAAGGAGATATTTAGAGATACGCATAGACATGGCCATACCATAGACATGGCCATACCATAGACATGGCCATACCACAGACATGGCCATACCACAGACATGGCCATACCACAGACATGGCCATACCATAGACATGGCCAGAGGGGTGTTTCGCAAAACATTAAGCAAAATTGTTGAACAAGATCATTTTCAAATTTATGAATTTTGGAGTTGTTTTGACCAAGAGGTATTTATGAATGGGAATAAATATGTGCTTGACCGGTATTCAACAAGTAAGCTTAAAACCGGCTCAGGGCCTGGACACGGATGACTCCAGCCTTCGGCTTGGGCCATTATCCACGTCCAAAACCCTAGCTGGTTTTAAACATACTGATATAAGATTTGAGGCTTTGCATGGTGGGGTATCGTTTCGGTTTGCGGTAACACCATGTGGTAGTAACTACTGTCGCTCAGTAGATATTTGGTTCTGATAAGAACTTGTCCTGCTTATTATCAACTTTCGCTAAGTAGTTTTAGTTCTGATAAGAACAGTCTCCTGACAATGACTAGAGCAGGCTAGTCGAAACGTTGAGACCAAAGACAAGTTCTTTTAGAAGTTAAAGCAGGACTGTTCTTATCAAACTAAAACTACTTAGTGACAAGTTCCTTTCAGAACTAAATATCTAATGAGCAACAGTAGTTATTACCATATGGTGTTACTACAAACCATAACGATATTTAAACATACTTGCTTAATACCGGCCGAGCACATATTTTATCCCATATTAACACTACTTGTACTTACAGGTTTTTCCCATAGAATGTTTGGCACACTCATCATGTTGGCCTCGAAACCATCTACATTTTATACATAATCATTAAAATCCACAAATAGAACTGGACAAAGTATTTATGTAATAAAATTAAATACTAAAACAAATTCATATCTCTCAACGAAAGAAAAGGGTTTTTGGAAGCCCCCTCTACGAAATAAAAGATACGTTTACTAATACATGTAGAAGGATTTTGTTCTAAAATTTACTAGCACAGCATCTTAAAGATGATTTTTAAAAACTACAAATTGTTATCAAGAAGCAGTAAATATTTAAATCCTTTGATACACATGTCAATGCCCACTTTAAAAGGTTTAAACATTCTTTGTGTCTAAAAGTAAATGCAACGTTGCATTTCAGAAATGAATTTTTAATATTTGGTTGTAATTCAATTGGCATTAAAATCCATTACTGCATTTGTCTACTTTGATCGCAAATACTGATAATATTTCGGAATAAAACTTTTTTAATAAAAAGTTGTGATAAAAAATGCATGTGTGCATACAAATTCTGTTACAATTATTACTGTTCCAATTTAACATTTTCAGAAATTGCACATACATGTAAAGGAAATGTTTGGCATGCATTCTGCCTTACTTCCTGGCTAAGCAAAATCGTAAGCTAAGCACGAGTTTACGGAGAACCAGACAAAAACAATATACATTGCATGACGGTTTGGCTGGTAACCTAGTTTGGCAAGCAATTATTTCCATGTAGAACGTCTTTCTAATTAGAACATGCAGAACCCGACATAAGCCTCTTTTCTTCAATTCCTTTTTTAACTACATGTAACACATATTTATTTTCATTTACAAATTGCAAGTCAGATTTGATCTGGAAAAGTGTTCACAAATCTGAATCAATATTTCTTGTTCTTTGTGCTGATGTGTTTGGTTTCAATGAGTTTCACAAAAATTGTACTTTTCCAATTTTAAAAACCAAGCACAATGAAATTCATAATAACAATTTGTTTTTCTCTTCTTTTTTTTCGAAGCATTATGCATAGTTCTCAGTTCAGCTAACATGAAAATTACTGAAAGATTAAAACCAATGATTTAATCAAAACTAAATGATACACACACAAATAATCATACATAATTTCACACACAAGATAATGTTTCAACACAGACAAAATCACAGATTGAAATTACTGTACCAGGTGAGGAAATTAATAGTTGTAGAAATGTCTGGAAAAAGAACCTGTGAATAGTTCTTTTTATGGGCACCACACGTCTATTTTCTACGTTTTTCATAAATAAGAAAATCATGAATCTTAGACCTCCGTGTGTTGAATTAAAAATCAAGTTTTTTAGATCTGCCCCGAGTTCCTTTGGAATGCAAATATAAAAAATGATCTTAAGTATTACGAAAGCCAAATGTAAAATAAATTACATGTACAACTAAGTATCTTACTAAATCAAACTCTTCAATAACAAGAATGTAAAGTATAAATAAAATGTAGCTTTAAGACATTGAAAGAAGATTGTTGGTCGAAGATATAGACATATCTAACACTGAAAACCTTACTAAACGGAACATACTAACCAAAACAACACTTTAAATTTGTTTTTCAATTACTCCCATAAGAAACTTCTTCCGCATATAACTTTATACTGAATTTAAAGATAAAATAGAATCTTCCTCAGGCCTCTACTATTATCAGCCTCTTGAAATATTTCATTGGTTTGGGAAACTTTTTATTTTTTTTTGGAAATCCATGAAGCAAATCTACAGCAAATCTAATTTATTATGCACATGTACGAGTGTGTGCGAGTACAGTTGTCCTTAGCCTGTCTACAAGCTAATTGTGCAAGAGGTTAGTTGATTGAAAAGTCAGTTGGGTTACTTGGTGCATTGTGAGTCCATGACAAGTCCTCATAAGTCCATCACAAGTCATCCATCCTTAAGTCAAGGCATCCTGTTGTCATTGCTCATGCATTGTGAGCTGAATTGTGAAGGACTTGTGATGGACCCATTTACAACACGTTTTTGACTCAGCAGAGATCGTAGTAATGATTATCACGATACCAGCATGACCAGATCTTTCAGCTTTGAAGCCTGTCAAGAGCCACCACAACCAATCAAACCAAAAATTGCTTTTCCCCAATGTCCTTTATAATACAGCTGTGCTAATGAGCACACATGAAATTGTCAACAGTATTAAAATGATGCATATTTAACAGAGAAGTTTAAGCTACTGTGAAACATGTACACATAGATGTAGGCTATTACAGTGTACTGTGATTCCTTTGCACTTATCCTGCAAGTGCAAACAAGAACACTTTACACACAACTAATAAGATATGTAAAACTTGAGCATTTGCTCACAATTCCATCTCAAATTCCTTAATACAATTTAACTTAAAAACCAATTCACATGTATATATTTGCTGGTACCATGTACCTTACCACAAAGCCGGTGTGTTAAGAAAGTCTGCATGCCCAGAAGGAAATATTACCCAATCCTTAGCAAACTTGAGAAGAGAACAAGGAATCTATTTTTGCGAAGCAAGACCTTCCTGTTTAGCAAAGATAATAAGCCAAGTACTCTACAAAATGCATGGCTTCCTATGAGACAAACTCCTGCCCATGGTACTTGTCATTCAAACTTAGATGCTCAAGATCACAGAAAAAAACAGGTAAAATGAACAGAGGAAAATACATACAGCTTTTTGTGGTGGCATCACCATGTCTTACATGAAGAGGGCAACCGTCTCGCAGTATGCAGACAGAACTACTTGAGAAGTAAGAAATGTACGGTTATATTCTTCTTAAGTGACACAAATCATAGGTTATAGAAAAGCAAGATGAAAACAGCTTCTGGTGAGCTGATGTGTGAGTAATAATCTCAGAAGATCCAGGTATCATATACTCCCAGGAAGGGGATGGTATACACCCAATCTGGCTCCTGCTGTAAGAAATCCTTGATCTCTTGGCTCTGTGTGAAGTCTGTGTAGTGAAGCCCAGCAACTCCGACGTCCACTATTGGATCGGTATCAGCAAAACTGCCTGGGACCTGCACAGTGAAGATTATGTCAAGGTTTACTCAAATGTTCTTGTGAATTTTAATTAGTCACATACTTCTCACACGTACCCTTATTGCTTTACAATGCATTTTTAATTTACAGTGTGTTATTAATTATTAAGCAGAGTGTGAAATTGCCGTAGGACATCGGAGTAATCAGACATTTTCCGACTGATTTAACCATATTTGTCCGAACCAAAATGGACGTGCTCAGACCAAACTTTTACGTTAGTGAAAGAATTTGAAATTCTGCAGTGTGACAGCTCAATGTGGAATGTATCAGTACATTTTGCCTAAACAGTTTTTGCACATTATTTCACCTTTTCCTATTAAAAGTAAAAATCAGATGAGATTTTTCTCATGTTGTCGGGTCAATCAGATGTAGGATGAAATACAACTGGCTTTGAGTTGCCCTCTCCCTATCAGATGAACAATTGTTCTATTGCAAGTAACCACAAGCTACATCCTCTCCCTTAATTCACCAATCCCACCAATCCCTCCCCACCCCTTATCCCCTTCCCCTACCTTACCTTGAGATCTAGCCAGAACTGCCAATGGTCCTGAGGCTGCCCTCCCCCGTAGCAGACGAAGTAGACCCAGCCCCCTGTGCCGTCCTGTGTCTTCAGCGGTTTCTCTTCGCTCAGTGACCATTTGGTCATCTCTACTCCTTCCCTCAATGAGATGAACAAGTTCACGTGGCTTGGTCCTGTCAAGATATGAAGAAAAACAAAAACATTTTGATACTGAAACATCAAGTAAAGTTGAGTATGGTCCAATTTTCAACAACAGCTTACCCAGGCGATTTTTTCCTATTTAGAATATTTGCTTAAAAATATTTTTATGTTAAGTTACACCAAGTAACTGGGCCCAGATTTTCAAAACGTTGATCAGCATCTTACCTGAAACGGTGAACGTAAGATTCTGATGGTCAGCTTTCTTCAGGCGAGAGTTAAGTTTGAAGGTCGTTTCCACGTCAATCTGTGGCTCACCTCCTGGGAGGATCCACTGGTTCCTAGGGAAGACAAACAGAAAAGAAAAAGAGCGATATTTCTTAAACTTCTCTCTTGTGCTTTACTTGAAAACATGCAACAGCAGCAGGCAGTACGGATGCCAACAAAAGGACTAATTTTTCTTACAACCCACTTTCAGCTTTACCTGAAAACATGCAACAGCGGTAGATAATAGGATTGCCACAGTAAGGCATGTCCTTCCTGCATTCTGCCATTGGGGCGTCTTACCTGAAAACATGCAACAGCGGTAGATAATACGGATTGCCACAGTAAGGCATGTCCTTCCTGCATTCTGCCATTGGGGCGTCTTACCTGAAAACATGCAACAGCGGTAGATAATACGGATTGCCACAGTAAGGCATGTCCTTCCTGCATTCTGCCATTGGGGCGTCTTACCTGAAAACATGCAACAGCGGTAGATAATAGGGATTGCCACAGTAAGGCATGTCCTTCCTGCATTCTGCCATTGGGGCATCTTACCTGAAAACATGCAACAGCGGTAGATAATAGGGATTGCCACAGTAAGGCATGTCCTTCCTGCATTCTGCCATTGGGGCATCTTACCTGAAAACATGCAACAGCGGTAGATAATAGGGATTGCCACAGTAAGGCATGTCCTTCCTGCATTCTGCCATTGGGGCGTCTTACCTGAAAACATGCAACAGCGGTAGATAATAGGGATTGCCACAGTAAGGCATGTCCTTCCTGCATTCTGCCATTGGGGCGTCTTACCTGAAAACATGCAACAGCGGTAGATAATAGGGATTGCCACAGTAAGGCATGTCCTTCCTGCATTCTGCCATTGGGGCGTCTTACCTGAAAACATGCAACAGCGGTAGATAATAGGGATTGCCACAGTAAGGCATGTCCTTCCTGCATTCTGCCATTGGGGCGTCTTACCTGAAAACATGCAACAGCGGTAGATAATAGGGATTGCCACAGTAAGGCATGTCCTTCCTGCATTCTGCCATTGGGGCATCTTACCTGAAAACATGCAACAGCGGTAGATAATAGGGATTGCCACAGTAAGGCATGTCCTTCCTGCATTCTGCCATTGGGGCGTCTTTGAGCGCTGGGATGTAGGACTCCATATGTCTGACACCCAGGTAATCCAATGGCAAAACAGACACATAAGTGTCGTGGTCCACAATGGCACCAGACTGATCGTGCTTGGATCTGGATATATGCTGATGAAACGAAAAAACGGAGGACATTGTGATGTTACAAAAATGTCAAAAAGGTATGAAATATAGCTGTATGAGTTGCATAGCAACTTATGTGGCCGTTATAGACATTGATTCTATATGATTCAATTCAAATCCAACAGAGCTAGGGCCCAACGTCGTGATTAGGGGTGTGCATTTGTGTGTCGTACGGGAACCAGGTACCCATTAAAGAAACACAACCCAAAAATGCAAATCTCGGAAGTTGCTGTTCAGATTGTTCATAAAGGTCTGCAGATAATACTACCACATCAGTGCGTCAATACGGCAAGACACAAGTGCGTACAGTAAGCATAGCTTTACAGTGTAAACTGCAACCTTCATGAGTGTCATAAATGTGAAATATGTTTTGTTTTCACATGTAGCCTGGTTTTCATTTTGAAAATTCTCCACAAACGACATCCAAAAGCTTTCTTTTTCATTGTCTGAGAAGTTACTAAGTAATTTGTAAAGTTGGTTACTGGTACCCGATCCCATAATCTGGAACCGGTTCCTGACATCAGCGGTCGGGTACTCAGGTACCCGGTACCGATGCACATCCCTAGTCTTGATCATGAAGCGCCATCTATTGTTCATGCAAGCAATCCATTATGACTGACCTCCAGCAGAATCCTCTTAGGTGCAGGCTTGGCCGGGTCACCGGAGTACGGGAACGCGACTTTGCTGATGACGGCCGCCAGGCTCACTATGAAGACTAGAAGCAGGAACGCCTTGGTGTACTTAAGGCTGCGGCAAGTATGGATCAGACAAACCTGGGCGTAGGAAGATAACGGAAGATGTAGGAAGATAACGGAAGAGACCTTCAGATGTGGTATCTTTATTATGGAAACTTCAGCAAGTCGACAAATATGGCAAGCCAGCAGCCCTCATAAACTTAAAGTTTAGTTCCAGGATCAACATAAACTTGCCTTTTAAAAATGTGTTAAGGGTCTAGAACATCTTATTTGACCTGTATGCCCATCAAACAGAGCTAGAGGAATTAAGCTTCCACACCATATCAAAAACAATCAGACATTAATTTATGGGCCATTTTCCTTCAGCTGAAAACCAAAAATTGATGAATTTTAAGAGATTGTTAAGATGCTGCTACAGTCTCTGCGGGAATGTTGCTAAATACAAGTGACTGTGAAAACAACATTCAAACTCTTCGTTCAAACAAAACTGCAGAATGACAACACCAAAAAACACTTCCATTTTGCTTAAATCCCCCCCCCCCCCCCCAATGCAACACTTCAAGCCTTTGCTTAAAAATACACGAAGATTTTGTGAATCCTACTACCTTACCAAGAAGTTGGTGGACATGATGACCACGACAAATGTCAAGAATCCCACAAACAGTTCAGGTGTGACCAGGGCACCAGACCGACCCATGATGGGCAGGAAGATCTCATAGCCAAGAAGCATGAGATACAGCCACAGAGTCAGGGGAATGACCGTCATGGAGATATAGGCAGTCAGGACAAGCATTGTCTTGGTACCTGTCAATAAAAGGGTCGGAAAATATGAAAGGAATTCTGGCAAAATAAGACAGAACCGGGCAGAGGTTGAAATGAGGGTTTGCGGGTTTTAGGACAGAGAATAAAAGTCTCCTTACAATACTGTTTGTTGGACTTCAATTGAACATTCCGTTGACAAGTTATAGCTGTTTAAAGTTCCCATTTATCGACACGTCAAACAAGTAAAATACTGAGGGAAAAGGCCTTTAGCGTTTTTGACTGTTTTTGTGGTCGTGAAAATGAAAGATGCAAATTGTTTTTCCTTAAAAACTCTTCTATTCCATGATTTTTAGACCATTTATTAAAAACATGTGCAGTACACACATCGAAAATTATAAATATCAATGAATCTGAAAATCAAAAAAAAAATCACCCACATTCAGTTTTTTTCATTTTTCTCCACTACAGCCTGTGCCATGCAATTCCGTCTCTTAGCCAAACTAGATTAAACCAACCAAAACATCATGGAATTACATGTTACTGGTTCTTATCCTATTCTTAAAAAGAGAACTTGCTAGGCAGATTTGGCTAAGCATCTCCAATTATCTCAAAGACAGCCACCCACCCTCCTGTAGCGTTTTCATGCCTTTCCACATCACGTTACGTCCCACCAATGCAAACAAGACACTCAGCATGGGCATGTAGGCTGAACCAATCCCCTTCAGTGTCAGAACGGCAACTAGAACCGACCAGATCAGAAGATTGGCATCGAAGAAAACACCCTCCAGAATCCAGGGATTGGCCTTGGTGTCAACCTGGGGACACAAAATCGGAAGTCACTCATTTCAGATATGGAAAATTCCTGACAAATATCAGTGACCATTTTCCAATGAAATGAGTGCCTAATTACCAGTCCCTACGCTCAGGGCCCAATTTTTTGAACTTGCTAACCACAGAAAATTGGTAACCACAGAAACTATGTGCTAAGCAAATACTGGTTACCAGCCGAAATGTCAGGCAACATATACAAGTTTTGACTGGTTCTCCGCTGACTTATGCTTAGCACATAAATCGGTTATGCAATATCTTCTGCTCTTACCAGCTCAATGAAATTGGGCCCCTCAGAGCAAAATTCTGCAGGGCTTACTAAGTCAGATCACTTCCAAATTTCAAAAAGTCAAACTAGATTCACACACTATTAAAGCACATTTTGTACAAGTTACTTTCACTCAGATAGCTAGTTTAAGTTACACAGAAAGTATTCAAAGAACAGAGAGGAGAACCACCACCATCTTTTTATTTTAATACAAATTGATATATGAAAGAATCTACATTAAATTCTGAATCCTAACACTAATCTTAACACTAATCTTGAATCCTTCTTGCCGAAAATGAGAAGTGAATGAGAAGAGACACAAGACGTATCTCTACAAAATGTACCACAGAATTGCCTAAGATTGTAAGACTACATCTGTAAGAGGGTGCTGCTTGTTTGGGGACATTTTGATTCAGTTCAAATTTGTAAGTGAATCTGGATCATATGCCAAAATAGTAAAAAGCAAAGCAAAGATTTGAAGTCTATCCGCATTAGAAACTTTTTGAAGAGTTCACCTCTTTCCCCCCCCCCCTCCCCCCTCCAAAAAAACCCTAAGTGTCTTCCTGCAGTGTTGTAGTACTCGTACTCGTACTAAGTATTTTTCTGTACTTTTACTCGTACTTGTACTCATGAAAATGTACTCGCACGAAAACAAATCCTTGTACTCGTATTCATATGCGTGGTAAAAGTACTCGTACGTATACTCATGCAAAAGTACACAAAAAAATGAATGTTGTGAGTGCAATGGTAAGAATAATTTATGAGGTGACAGATGGAATGTTCCATTCCACTCGGCTTCGCCTCGTGGAATGGAACGTTGCATCTGTCACCGAGTGAAATTATTGTTTTCCATTGTATGAATGTGAGACATTCAGTATTTGTTTTATGCAACACCTGAATAAATCCTCGCCATCTGATTAGTCAGAGCCGTCAAAAGTGTGCCGGTGCAATAGAAGTTCTACTTAACGTGGAATAGAACTTCTATTTCAACGGTGCGGCCGAGCCGCGCATTGGGACGAATAATTCAATGACACGTGATCAACGACCCGCCAATCAGATGACGGGGATTTCTTCAGGCGTTGTTTAATACTTGTATTCGTACCCATGGAAATGTTCTTGACTACTACACTGCTTCCCTGGGTGATTCCATGTTCAAAGCAAAATGAAGTTATCTCCAAACAACATCACCCTCTTACAATGTACACATCAAATGGCACAGCATAAGTCTTAAAAAACACTTAATTCTTTAATTACCACAATCACTGTCTATATTAACCATACCGGTACATGGTTTACCCTGTCATGTGTTTGGGGGGAGAATCAAACCGACGTGTCACCATGACTCCACGTGACTGTTACCCACACACACGCAGACGAAGGCGCGGCTACAGACCAAACCCACCAATGGTTGGGAGGGAAAGCCCAAATACCGTACATGGCCCGTACTCCATGAATGAGCAGCTTTTTCACCCCAAAAGGCCTACTTCCTTTGACCCGAAATTCAGGAAAGGGTTCTGAAAAAATATATGATCAAGCACAAAAATGACAATTTCTGACAGGTAATTTGATCGTTTACGGGGAAAAGTTTCCCCACGTGCAGCAGAAATATAAAAATTGTCAAGAAGAAGTCAAGTAAAATATGTTAAATATTTCAAAATTCAGGATTTCTTTGTTAATGCTATGGCATTTTGGCAGTGAAAACTCCACTTGATGAAAACAGGGAATGCGCTTCAAAGTTAATGTGGATCACTGAAATGTAGGGTCAACTAAATTTCCCAAAATGTGTTATGAATCGTAATTTGAAAACTACTGACTTCCTCAATCTTCCAAAATCCACCGCTTAATTAGCAAGAACCCAACGGCAAATTACTTGTCGTTCATCTTTCAAGATGCATCAAGCAAAATGTAAAGTTCTCCCTTCCAAACGTTTGTTATACCTTCCAAATGTGCAAGTGGATTTCGAACGATCTGGAAGAGAGCAGGCTTTCATGATTGTGAAAATAAGGTACTTTAAAAAACATATATACAGTACTAAGTGAAATCAAAAATACCATACATGCGCTTTACTCTTTCCTTTAAAAAAAAATTAAAGACATTTTATCATCAACACTAGTCATGTAAAGTGAGAAAGATGCATCAATGAGAATGGCTTTCACGCTTGAGTGAAGGAAGTGTCTATCATCCACTGCGCACTGAAGACGGAGCTACAAAACATCAGATCAGGGAAGATTTCCTTATCTAGGGGCCTGGGTTCCACATAATACAGGAGCAATACTGAGGTATTCAATCTAATTATTTGGATAACCATCATTGTAGACTTACAGAATGTCAAATACATATAACCCAGTGAACTCCAGTTAAATTCCGACTCAAGAGTTTTTGTGACTTCCTTTTTTCTTTTTTTTTTAACTTAGAATACATAGAGTAAAATTTGAATGAATTGTTCTTAATGTTAACCGGCTGGCCATCAATTTGTACAGAGTATATCTGTGTCAGGCCCTAGTTCAGGAACCTAGCTGTCTTGTTATTTTGATAGTTGAAAGGTCTTGTCATGCAAAAATACAGGTGAGTAAATCCAATGGCATCATGACATCATGGTATTACTATTAAAAGCTGTAGTTGTAGTCAAGGAACTTGTGACAGATCACAAGTCAATCACAGGCCATCCAGCCTGGAGTCAACACGACAAAGCAACTCCTGTTTCATTGCTCTTTACCTGTTCCTTGTGACTGGACTTGTGAATCAGCTTGCGATTTACTTGTGAGAAAACTTGTGATGGACTTGCGATCCACCACAAGTGCCTTGACTTCAACACTGATCAAAGGAGTAGGAAAGTTAACAATGTCATCATCTAAGAGAACTCACAAGATTCTTTTTAGTTCTTCCTGGTACACCTTTTAACTTACTGTATGCAGTTTGGCACCCAGCCATTGATGCACCAAAAGCATGGCATAGAAGCCAGGGGCCCAGTACAGGCCCGCGATGAGTGCCGGGTTGGCGTACCAGGACATCTCAGACTTGGTGATGGTGAGTAGAAGGATGACCAAGACGATGGTGACAAGGACGGCGAGGTAGGACACAAAGATGACACCCATGGCACGGAGAACGTTGGACAGGTAGACTGGGTGACTGGAAAAATCTGTCAAAAGAACAAAAGTACAGTGTTGTTATTGAATCCATTAAGTCCTTTCACAAATCCATCACAAGCAACAGGGGATGATGAACAATCTCACAAGAGTGCCTCTATCATGGAACATTTGAAAAGCTTGTGACTCGACTTGAGACTGGAGGACATGCTTCCATGACGATTTACTCACCTTTCCTGCGCCTGCACAGCGTGCTGAGAAACACAGCTCCAACCACCACAGAGTTGAGTATCACGCCCACCCTAGCAGGGTAAGCCACCATGATGAGACCTAGCAAGTCAAAGAAGACCATGCTACCATGGGGATCTTCCTCTATACCTTCGTGTAAGGTAGAGGAGTTGGCCAGGTGAGTTGCCAGAGCCTGGATGTTATCACCTGCAATGAGGACAAAATGAACCAAAAAGATTAAATTTACAAAGAGGCTCAATTTCCAGCAAAAATGCAAATAGTTAAGAACTCTTTGTAACAAATAATTTTTATGGTATTTTATTTGTGGACATTATCACTCTCACATATTTTGACGTAAAATTTCTTAAATGTCAAGAATCGAAATGAATGAATTGAAATCTAGAGGGGGGATGATTGCAAAGATTAGGGCCTGTGAGCCTTGATCTCTTTACTTATTACAACTATCCAGGAACTTAAAAAACAAAGCAATCAATCATGCAATTCATCTGTGAGCTTTATCTTTAAGCAGGCAGGGTGTCAAGTAACTGGCACTGATAATGCCTTAATGATCCTTATCTTGCACGCACAGGTTCCTATCCAGTCAGTTGAGGTCACAAGGTTAAACCATAGCCCACTATCATGACTATAATATCCCCCACCTCTACTCCCACAAACAATTTGTCTGTCTGTGAGACAATGAAATTCTGTGTGTACATTTTCAATGTTGCCCCATTCTTATTATTTTGCAAGTCAAGCTGAAACAGCTAAAATAAAAAGACTGTTTATTTTACTTTCACTTTTTTTTTTTGGTGGGGGGGGGGGGCTGTTAAACTACTAACAAGAAGCCACATTTCAGGCTACTTTCCCAATGTACATGGGCCATTCTATAAATTTGCAGTCCACTTTTTTTTCCTGTCCCTGTTACATCTAAAATCTATGATTTTGTAATTCTGACGCACTCCTTAATGCAGTCGTCCCTCAAGGGTCATGATGAATTGCAAACTACATACCCAACAAATAACAATGGTTTGAAGTCAATCTTAATGATACATGTACTTGAAAGGTAAACAGAGATAGGAAAATGTCATACTTTGGACCCTTAATTAATGTACAGAATGACCCACATGTTATTTTGCAGCCAGATACATGAGCTTTGTACAATGTTGCTAGCTTATCTGGCCTGGAGGAGCGGACAAGGTTTACATAATGTGAGCCAGACGATCTAACTGAATCCTAATCATAATCACACGCTATCTCTCTGAATGGATACATCTAGATAATTCCAAATATCCTTTAAAACTTTTACAGGTATATACTTCTCTGGAAGTAAAAGCAAAAACAGGAAAACCACAATTAACATCGGTGCAAGATAATAAATTTCAGGAAATTTATGCTGTACATGTATTAACATGCACATTACATGTAGGTGGCTAAATTCACCTTTTGTTTCACACAAAAAATATCAATCAAATTAAAACAAAAACAGAAGCAATCTTTATCTTAGCCTAAATCAAAATTAGTCCAAAATGAAAAAAAAAAAAACCAATAAGCTGCTATTTCATAACCCCATATCTTGAGGGGAGGCGTCAAAAACATTCAGTCCTCTCAATTTGATAGATTAGATATTTAGCAATGATGTTAGTTTGACATCATGTTTTAGCGGGATGGCAAAGTGTTCAACACAAACATGTAACACCTACACTGAGCTGGGCCAGTTCTAAATTCACTATGGGAAAAGCAGTGATTGGTATCCCAATATCTTTCCCCGTCTCCCTACTGGTGTCTGGCGAGTGTTAAGCTTGTGATGACAGACGTGAGAAGGGTATAATGTACATTGGGGGGGGGGGGGGAGTGAAGAGGGAAGAGTGTGGCTTGGATGGTCGGCATCCCACATGGCATCTTGGGAATGATGATCTCCATGACGATGGAGGGAATGTGGCAGTTTGGCGCTGCATTGATCCCCTCGGAGAAAGGCTGTGATATCCTGACTGATGACAGGTCACATGACCATGAACCACACATCATGACATTAGACATTAATGATGACATTACCAGGGCTGTTGCCCAGTCCTACACCAGTGCCTCCATCCATTCTCTAGCATGCAATTTGGCAACGGAGCTACCCCGGAACATGTAAGATATAATTTTTATAGACAAGCCAAACAACTAGTCTCTTAACAACTGGCTCTTCAGAGTAAATTTTAATAAACTTTTTATCAAAAAGTTGGGAACCTGCAATATTAAGAATGCAGTACTTAGACCTAACAGCTGGTAGGTCTAAGTACTGCATTCTTAATATTGCAGGTTCAACATCCTGCCCCAATTTTCTTTGTTCCACCAAAGAAATGGTCTGCTTCCTGTTGTGGTTTGAGGGTAGATGATTGGTAATGGAAGCATACCGGTAGTCCCCTTGGAGTGATTCCTGACTTCCGTTCCAAGAGGTCTGTTTATGTTGCTCGCAACGTGACATTTGACATGATCCCTAGCCACAATTGCATGAACGGGTTTCACAGTTTCTGACTACACGTGCTCCATTGACAAAATAGATAAACTCAGTTTAGATATGTCACAGGTTCGAATCCTAGTTCAGTCAGTTTTCTTGGTGAGACCAAGCTCAATTTCAAGTAAAATTAGTGAGTTTCCCTTTGAGGTTAATTCTGTTATTATAATCAATATAATATGAAATCCAACTGTATTTATGATTCGAAGCCTGGACAACAATCACATTAAAAACCTCCCTCTCGTCTGCAGCTACACCATCACAGCAGTCAAAATCAATCAAGTAACTGGTTTTAACAGTTAAGAATTCCCTTGTGAATTTGATATAACCATACTTTGACTGGAGGTGATTGATATGCCAGCTGTACCTACCAGTTACTTCTTTTGACTGCTGATGGATTTTGACCAATCACAGTGTTAACACGAATGTATTCAATGTATTCAATGCATGGCAGGGGAAGTGGAACAAACGTTTGACTGTCTGCGGATGATCCAACAATAGGAGGGTCTCCAACAATGCTGTGTGTGTATGTATGAGTTGTCAGATTGGTGTAGCGGTACTTTCCTCGCCTTCCACCGCTGTGACCCGGGTTCGAATCCCGCCCGGGCCAATATGTCGATTGAGTTTTCAGTCCCTACTTGATTCCGTGGGTTTTCCCCAGAATGTTTTCCTGGGCTTTTCCTCCCACCTCTAAAACTGTAATTTCTTCTCATTGTCTTCTCTCGACAGGTTTCTTCAGGCTTGCGAGCTACAGTGCCTAGGGTGCTTTTGAGGAATCCTTGGTTTCATTACCAGAAAGATATAAAATAAGTAAATAAAATTTAAAACCCATGCATGTACTTACCAGCTCGCTGTATGCAGCCAGGAGGTATGGAGTCCAGGTTATCGTACTTGGTGTGGTAGACATAGCCATTGCTCACATAAGCCATATCGACACCTACACAAACCAAACAAAGAAAATAAGGGCAATTCAAAATCTGCTGCCAAGCTTGTTAAAAAAACATTCACAGACAGTCCTTTACAGGGTGTCTCAAAAAAAATCAGGCAGTCAAACAGTATTTTTTTATAAGGAAACTAAATCCTTTTTTTCTTTTTAATATTTACCACGAGATGAGGTACATGTAGCGTGTTTCTTTACCCTTGACAGGCTTTTTGTTCTGTGTGATTTGGACCATTTGTTAAAAGTTATGGCAAAGCTTGTAAAGACTGTCAAAATGTGTTTGCACCGATTTCTTCACTTTCTTGGTGCCGGTATGTGAATGCCTTTCATTATTTTTTGTGAAAAGAGAGTGTTAGTATGTTTAGAGTAATTTATGGATTGACTGCTACATTTTTTTTGACACCCTGTATATGGGTATTTTGTTGAAAATGACTAGCCTGAAATTAGGGTCTATTTAAGCATTTTCCCCCTGTTAACCAGTTAGTCCCTGTACTGCCCCAAACTGCCCTGTCTGTCACTCCCTGTTCTTGCCCAAAACTGCCAAACACATAGAATCCTGGATTTATTAGGGAATAAATACAAAGTAATACAAGTAATAATGGGTTAACACAATCTATTTTTTTTTAGTTGGTTAATATTATTTCTCATCTTTTCTCTCTTTAGGCTCTTAACTTTACACAACTAAATCTTGAATCTCTTGCAAGCTCATCCATGTGTCAGATTTCAACTGCATGATTTCGGTCTTTCTCTACAGACTACAAACTAATATTTGACAGATGCAACAGATGTGTGGGAAAACAACAAATGGAAAACCTATTTGCTACGTTTATCAGACTGCATGTTATTCATACATGTATGGTAGGTTTCATGGAAATGGGATACCACGTCTATGACCGCTGCAATCGAATGTTCAAATCTAAATGTGTATGTACCGGTAAGTGTCCCTTTTACAGAGTTGAATTTTGGCTACAATTTTTGAAAATCAAAACAAAATGCTATTCATTTTCAGAATGTGTAGGCCCTACACAATTAAAAGGTTTATTCCCAGGTGGGTGGTATACGAGTGCAAAATCCTTCCACATGATCTCCGCTTACCCGTTGAATAAAAAAAAAAAAGATCCACATTGGCTATAAAATTATCTCAATTTTCAGTTGTCAAACATGTACATAGCATGTACAATGTATGTTCGGTATGTTCCTCCACACAATACAGACCAATATAACATACATGTGCACATTGAACCCTGAACATCCAAACCAACAGACTTGTTTGTTTTCACAGGACCGACACTGGTAATAATTTTACCAGCTCTTGCCATGGTAATAATTTTACCAGCTCTTGCCACGGGCGCTGAAAACTCACTTCCTGGAATGGGCTTCTGCATTTTTTAACCCCAACTAGGCAGGAATTTGCTCATGGCAAGAAGTTGCTCTGCAAATTCACCAAAGTTTATAAGGCCTTAAAGAAAAGGGTCCTCAGTGTTACACGATGGCTTCACACTTACGTATTCAAAACATGAGGTAAATTTACAAATGTACAGTATATAATTGTCAACAAGTAGGATCAAAATGACAGGTTTATTTTTGGGCCATCCATAATTATAAATAACACCACTTGCCATATGGTGACTGTCAAGTGAGGTTTTGTGATAATAATTCAATGAAAACAATTCAATACATGCGCAGTGTATAGAAAAACGGTCAAACGAAGTTCAAGTACACACTGAACATTGTACTATTTGATTGATTTCAGAGGATCAAATGACTGAAGTTCAAGTGCTTGCCAGTATGTGAAAAGGACCATAATGCTGCGATACAAGTTACTGACTTTAACTTTTGACAAAATACATGTAAGCAATAAACAGGTCATCTCTCTTTCAAAAAATTACATTAGTAATGTACATTCCATGTTATTAGGGCACCTTTCCTAGCATGATTTTTGTGAGGTCAAGTAACTTTCTGCTGAAATACCAAGAACGGTACAAAATATGTAAATACATGTTTCATTCTTTTAAAATGTGTAAATGTCAATTCATATCACTATGGTGAGGAGTAAGAAGAATTTTGATGAATAATATATGATATTGCTGTATTTGAAATGTCAGCACTGACGCAGGTGCACATAATTTGTATTATCTGTAATTTTTTTTTCAATAAAGGCCTCATAAATAATGTGCAATTTTGAAAAAATGTGAATGCATGTTTTATTCTTTCTATCTGCTGCAAGTTTTGAGGTTTTTTCCTGGACACTTTTTTGTAGCCACCATACATTTCTTATTGACTAACGTATGGTTCTCATAGGAAATTTGGAAAGGTAGTCTTTTGGCTTCCAATTTTGGCTGCAAAATTAGAATGACTAGTTCAATCTTAACGAGCGTCTACCCACACCTGAGCACCTGCTGGTCAGCTTCAGACAGCAATGGATAAGGAAGTCATTTGACAGTTTCATTTTCAGCCACAGTGCCAAATTTCACCGCATGGTGTCTTCCTATTTCCATTTACAAAAATGTAAAAAGCTAATTTACGGAACGAAAAGAGGCACTAGCCCTGAGCCTATCAAGATGAAACACAGCAGCCAAACACAATGTGATCGCTGAAGTGACAGCTGTCGCAGTGTGCAGGGTTCCATCCAAATTGCTTCAGACTGATGACCATGACACACCAGAAAGACATGAATTCGATTCCAAAACAGGCAATCAAATTGTCATTAAAGCTAGAAACTGAGGACACAATTTACTTGTAAATTAAGATTGGCAGCAATTTTGTTTAGTATGCCTTTGTGTACCATACATGTATCGTTTAAAGCTGATTTTCCTGGAAAAAAAATCAAATCAGTTATTTTTTCTGTTGCAGTTTGTGAGGCATATTCACTGCACTTGTACTTTTGCCGCACAAATCTGGTGACCGCAGGGAAACCAATGCAATTTCTGTGAAAGGATCAGGTTACCAGACAATAAATACCTGGGATATGCCCAAAGTCCCTGAAGATCCTAAAGTCTGTATCGGAGGGGATCAACTCGGCCTGAAAGACATCCTGGCCAATCACGGTAGCGAAGGGATGCACGGCATGCTGGGAGTAGGCCCTCAATAGCCACGGATGGTCGGGACCTAGGCAAAAGACATGAGAAACAAATTATCTTACTTTAAAGCTATGGTATGGTTGCGATTCCCCAGAACGCTTTCCCTACAAAGAACACTATACAATGCACAGTGGACCTGATCTCCTGACACATCACATTTTGGATGAATTTTGACTTCTGTACTCCCTAAGAATGACAGAAAATTCAAGTACATTGTAACATTCACTGCACAAATGACTTTTTTTTTATGAAAGACAAGGATGACAAAAAAAGAGAGCAAAAAACAAAGAACTACACTATTTGCATGCATAGCATGTGTTGGTAATTTTTGCAGTAGGTGGACCCACATGTACACGTTTTATATTTTAAAAAAAAAGGCATCAAGGAAAAACCATCTTTGTTGTGAAATTAACATGTTAAGTGTACAAGTAAATTGGTAAATTCATAGTTTGCATCAAAAGCTTTTGCTCAAAATGGCACCTTTGAGACACAAAGAGTAAATTTATATCAGCTTGACGTCGTTGAGCATTGTTTTAATTTTGTCTAATGAAGACAATTAATTATGTGGGCAAAGAGTAAAAAGCAAAGCTTTGCCAGAAAAAAAAGAGGAACATATGCAAAGAATATATTGCTCAGTAAAAGTAACTGGATGCACTCCTAATCTTGAAACCATCAAATGCTGGAAGGAAAGTGCCGGCCTGAGGAGAAATGGAGTACATGTATATCAATTGATTGAGCAAACAGAGACGCTGAAGTAGCATGTGCGATAAGCAACACAAGAAGGTGCATCGAGAGAAGAAGATAATGATGAGAATGAGTGATGCGGCGCAAGATGCAAAGCTGATAAGATCAATTGCAAGGGCGATCACTTGTGCAAATCTTAGACGGACGAAACATGGTATGCAACCATGTAAATAATTCAGGGAGCTCAGCACTGGCGTGAGTGCATTGCAGCAAATGAAGTATGCACAATTATACGATGTGTTTGAGCACACTGATATGCACATTGCTATGCACATTGCTATGAGTTCTAGTAGACTTGGGGTGTGAAGTGACTGAAAACAGAGACCATGCATAGCCAAGGAAGACTCTGGCTGGCTTGACGTGACCGGGGCAACTAACATGACAGGGGTTGTCTGTGATGGAAAGCTTTAGAATATTTGGTCTGCATCGCGTAATAACTTGCCCAACGATTAAGGGCCTGCAAAATTAGACACGTTGGATTGCTTCAAGCTATGTACATACCCTGTACATGTACATGAATCAAGCACCACAATTCAGGAACATTGCTTGTGGTGATTGATTCTCACATAAATTTTGCTATTTTGCTCAGAAGGAAATTAGACAATGTTTCCAGAGCTTTATTATTCAGCAGAACAAGGGTTAATTTCAAGACGTACATGTAGTTCAAAGTTTTGCTGAACAAAATAGAAAGATACACGCAATCACAGATTCTTTTGTCAAGTTCAAATTTTTGCTTTCTAAGTTTAGGCCAAAAAAAAAAAGTCTCCGGTTTCTGGTATGCGCGCGCGTCGCCGTAGCCATGCGCGTCGGCAAAATGAAAAAGTTTTTTTTTCAATGAAAGATGATGTCTCAAAACCGCCAAACTCACTGGTTTGACTGGAATTCTGCTGCTGCACAATTTTAACGTGTTTTTAGATGGGGTTATGATTGAGAATAAGCTTAATGTAGCCTCTCTGAACTCCCATATATTTGCACTAAGTTTAGTCGGGCACCATTTGCAGTCATCAGTCGACATTTGAAGCAAAAAAGTCAGGTAAAAAAAAAAAAAGCCGCGTCGCCGCACCACTTTTTGGACAAGCTCCATACCAGAAACCGGAGACTTTTTTGGGGGGGCCTTAGAGAAATTTTCTTCTCAGCAGGCGTATTTTTTATTGGCCCCTGGATTATCTTAAGCCCACACTGTATTGTGATTTTTCACTGAACACATTGTGTATAAACTGAAAGGAAACAAGCCAACAAAACAGGACCACTAACAAGGAAACTCTACAGTCGGTATTCCCTACATTTGTAATAATCAGGCTATAAGTATAAACGTCTTAAAAGCACACTAAAAAAAGCTGGAAATTTAATAACTTGTTGTAGTTTTCTTCATGAAGGTGTTTGTGTCGAGTGTGAATACTGTAGGAATATATCTAATTTTGACATCAATATGACATTCAAGTTTCTTGTTCCTATTTCTTGATGATGATAATAATTATCATCAAAGTAAATAATCTGTGTTTGAAATAGAGCTTAAATATAGCCAATGCAGGCAGTATTCTGGGACCCTCTTACATGTATGGGGAATTTCATTCAAGCGGTTCCTCAATCTTCCCCATGACCCCAAAGAAAACTTTTTATAAGCCTACATGTAACAACTTGGCTCTTCAAAAACAAATGGGCACTTTAAAGCAGATTGGTATGCCATTCTAAAGCCCCTGTCACACTTGTCCGAATCGTCACTCCGTTCATGTTCCGAGTAAAACATTGTGGATTCGGTGTTTAATCGGTTTGAACTGAACTCAAACGGATTTCCCTCGGTTTTCCTCGGTTTTCCAACGCTATATACTCGTGTACGTTCGGTGATGCACTGAGGAACTCGGAGAAATTATTGAACCTGTTTAATAATTTCTCCGAATTGTCGCGGCAACCTCAATACGGACGGTATCCGGTATACACACAGAATATGCACGGAATGCACGGAATACACACTGTACTCATTCGATGCCATTCGTTGCAATGCGGAATAGGTACGGAAGAGTACGGAACAGGCCTCTGTATGTATTCAGAGTTCATTCCGAACCCACATTGTAATGCCGATCAAAAAACGGACTTTGATGTCACTTTATCCGATGATATACCGCATTACCACGATGTAATACCATATATTTAACGGAGACGAATGGAATATAAACGGAACGTTCGGAAAGCGGTCGGTCTTGAGATCAATGAATTTTTCAAAGTTTGGCATGTCCGGTGATGATCGGAGAGGTTCTGAATATAGACGGATTGCAATCGGAATAGCAACTTATTAGATCCGGAATAAGACCGGATTATGATCGGTGTATTTTCATTTCTGGCTGGTTTTTTGACATTTCTCTCCGAACGTGTCCGAATTAATAATATTTCAGATCGGTTTATGAACGGAATTATAGATTCGGACAAGTGTGACAGGGGCTTTAGGGTAAGGGGATGACTCATTCCAGGATGGTCCAGTGACTGTTCTCAAATAGTCATATCAGGCTTGTCCAGATTACAGCAGTATTACAGCTGTGTGGACAAGTGAAGATACCATGTAATCTTCATTAACATACGTCCTCCTCCAATAATTTTGTACCTGTCTGAAAGACGAGTTCCCTGCCTCCGGCACCGGCTGCTTCAAGATTGATGAAAGCCTTGATGTTCTTCCTCCAGGGATGTTTAGTGATGAAGCCATGACTGGCTTGTAAGACGTTCTCCTCTGCTCCATTGAACAGGAAGATGATGTCATGACGAAGAGGATAGGGTGAGGTGGCTAGGTTCTGGAGGATCTCTAACATGATGCCGCAGCTAGCTGCATCGTCGCTGGCACCTGAGGCAAGGGGGGGGGGGAGAAAAAATATTGATGTTAAGAACTGATGTTTCGGTGATTATCATAATCGTTGCAGAATTTTGTTCAGTATGTGGTTTCAGTTTGGTATGAATTAGCTTTGTTTTTGGTTTGTTGTATTTTTCGGCCGACCATCGTTGGCAATTGATAAAAAATTCCACCTTTCTTGAAAATGTCAGGACACCAGGTGCCATGATTTTACAGGATGCTTGAGACTGTATTCACAGTCCAGTAAGGTATTTCATAATAATTTGGTAGTTTTGTTTTTTGATGTTTGAAAATGTTGTGTTTAACATATGCAGAATGTTCAGTACCGGTAGACACAAATGGCTATAAGCAATAGAGGGAAGCCCCCCCCCTCCCACTTTTAACATTTGTTTGCTTTGCTCGCCCATAGAATCCCCACTACAGAGACATAAACTGTGCACACCCCCCCCCCCACCCCACATTCTGCCACCATTAAATTTTAGAGATCAAATTTGGAGAAGGCAAATTAGCTACACAAATGGCTGAACTGATAACAAAGACAATAAGTGAGACTGCGAAAGTCACGTCCCTATTAACCTGCACTTTCATTCCTGTTAAAAGAGTGGAAAATTAACTGGTATCCATGGCAACATGACAATGGAAGACATTCCGGAGTATCTACATGCTATAAATCCCAGGCCAAAATGTCAAAACACAAAGTCACGACATATGTGACCAAGTATGACTGCGTAGTTTATATATTACACAGTACATTATAATAATTACAGTTTTTGTCTTTCTGAAGAGCATTCTAAAGTGCATGCGACTGCTTAAAATGAGCTGGTTCATTTATGTCCTGGTTCATTTTTGTCCGAGCAGTTTCTGTTTTTAATTTCACCTCCTGTATATAATTTATGAAGCAAACAAATGCACGACCAATGGCTGACCTTCCTCACAAGAACCTTTGATAATTAATTACAGTCATTCAAAAAACACAAGTTTTCAAACAGATCTGGACAATTAAACACACAAAAACCAAGGTAACCTATACAACCTTCACTCATGCCCAATTTAAAACAACCTAAACCTTTGCCACACAGTATCTATTTACTCCTGATATCTGCTGGATTATCAGAAACCTAACCAACTTAATTACAACCGTTACTGATACAATTTGCCCAAATCAACTCCATCCAGTCGACCCAAGCTTTCCCCCTAAGGGCCCCATCCCCCTGACAAGCAGACTCGTGCATCCCATTGGGAACCAGACTCGGCCTAATGCATTAATTTAATCTACGCCAAGTATGGTGCTGCACTTGTCGTAACTTGATCTGGATGTGATGTTTTGATTTACACCCTTACTGCGAAAGCCTTGAATTTATCTGAATTTTCAATTAATTTATTCATTTAAATTTTTTTTCCAAATATCTTCGACCTCGATGTCCAGTAATAAATAAATAAATATTATCTGCAAAAAAAAGAGATAAACTGCAACATTTTGACGAAACTAAATAGGTGGAAACATGTTGTTGTACAACAGAAACAGATACGTGTTGTGCAAAACAAGACTGAGCGTGAATCCAAATAAAAATGCAAAATTTATAAGAAAATTAAATTGTCCTGTGACAATACGAGAACAAAAATAATGCCTGAAGTTGATTTCACTTTTGCTTTTGTTTGAAACTGGGTGAGCGGGTAAAAGGTACAAATCATAAATCATTCAACTAAACCTCTTTCAAGCAACTGATACCTCAGTCCTATTGAAAGCAATTTTATGGAAAATACACAATTGAAAATGGAAAGCTTTCCCATTGTGAGAAAGGTTAATATGTTATATTTTTGTGTCAAATGATTACCATGAAACGGCTTAAATATCTAAACTCCTTTTTAATCAAACTCAGGTGTGTGGGTTTTTTTGTAATTAACCCAAACAAGTTTTGGAAAAAGAAAAAAAATGTGTGATAAAGCCAACGTTTTTAAGTTTGAAAATTTTGTTGGGTCTTCTGCACCAAGGAAAACTTAACAATCTTTTGTTGTCAAATATTGTGTCAAAATGTCCAGGCTGTATTGGATTTGTTTGTCAGGCTGTGCATGGAGCTATAACTCCATGGGCAGTGTAAGTAGTACTTATCAGGGTACCTGCAAAATGCTACTGGTCATTCTTACACCGCTTTGTCTGAGCTTGTTATTCAATAATTCAAGTGAGGACAAATTCAATTCAAATGTTCTGAACACTGCATCTTCAAGGCAACGAAATCAAAATAAAAAGGCAAGACAGATAATTGATAAAAAAAAAATCAGCTTGTTACAAAGGCTTTAAATACATGTAGAGACAGTGCATTAGGGCTGTTCATTTTCAAAAAAAATTAGAATTCGATTATTCGAAACTGCGTTGACCAAATATTTGAATATTCGAAACTCGCCAATCAAGTTTACACATGTATGCCAGCTGCATCTAAGTTGTATGCAAAGCACGTCAGACAAAACTTGCATTCAGCAATCAATGTTATGGGCTGCTGGAGTGTTCTGCAGTAAGTAATTTATAACTTACAAGGGTTACAAGACGATGGCAGTTCATTGTTCTCATCCTTCTAGCAGGTTAAAGCCTTTGACCAGGATGAGAACAATGAACCGCCATCGACAAAACAGACTTCAGACAATAAAGCGCCGCAACCTTAGGATTAAAATAACATCTTAACAAATGTGTACATAAAAAGTGCATTTTTTTTCTCTTTCTTTCGATATTCAAACCAGTAAAACGCCAATGGAATATTCCATTGAATATCAAATATTTGAATATTCAGGACAGCCCTACAGCTACATGCATAAGAACAAACAAAAATGGATGAAATTCTCTTTACGTTTCTTCATAATAAATGTTGTTCTGTAGTAAACAGGATAGGACAGATTAAGGGTTTCCTCATTACCATAACTGCATTCTTTCTTAAAGAATTCTCTTACTGGCAGCTTTTCTCAATAGGAAGGAACTCGTACAAGGAAGGACAGTTTATAACAAATGTTCATGGGAAGCCCCCAGCTGAAAGCAAGGCATTAGGATCTTCAGCGCACATCAACAATGAAAATATAAATCCCTGGTAAAAAGGTTTTTGGCCATCAAGGAAAAAAAATCCATATTCCATCATTACTTACATACTGTACATTGTCAATGAAAGCCGTTAAGAACACTTAGCGAGCTTTGTCTAGATGTACAATATAAATGACGCTGTGTGAGCTCGATCTTCAAGATATAGATTCTAATAGAATTCCGGTGGCTTCGCTTGAAAGAAAGCTTTAAATTGACAAAGAACCGAGCATTATTTTTCTGCAAGTGCTTTTTTCAAGTTGGGGAACATACCGTAGCATGTGTTCAGAATAAATATCATTCAAGAAAGATGTACATAGAGAGCTGTGTGTGGTCATTTGTATTGTTGTGTTGGAAAGAATGTTGCATCCTGATGCCACATTTTCATCATATCTTATCTCAATGAAGGTCAGTCACTGCAAAAATGTTGAAAAAACAGGAATGTGGGACTGAGAAACATTCCTAATTTTGTTAGAAAATACTTTGGAAATGCACTCAACTCTCCATAGACTTTGCACTTAAGATGACAACATTTTACAGAAGTGGCGTCTGGATACTACATTTTTTCCGGTTTTTTTTTTTCAATTCAATTTCCTGTTCAGATTATAAAATTGGCTTAAGGTGTTTTGTACTAGAACAAACAGACACAGAAGTACCAAAAAATGAGTAAGCTTTCAACGGTACCAACAAATCCATGCTTTTTCTTTTTCATCAAAATAAAATGGTGCACATGACTGTTTCTTATACTTAAGCATTTTGGTTCTCAAAACAAATATTTTGTTTGTTTTTTTTCTCCAAAAAAAATCCTCAAATTTCAAAAAAGATGTAGTGAAATTAAAACAAAATAAATTTTATTTTATCTTAAATAAAATAATCAACTTTGTTAAGCTATGTACATGTATGTACCGCATATATTCAAAAAAGATGTAGTGAGACAAACCAAATTTACATCTTTTAGTTCTTTCTGCATATTTTGGGGTTATGTTAGGGGCCATGCTCTAAAGATTCTAACCATAACTAAATAATAACAAACAATTCTGAGCCTGTACAATTTAAACAATAGAATGCATATTCCACCATAGGGTACTCTCGCACACAACCTCATCAATTCAGCACTCCATTCAGCAAAATCAATTGAGTGTGTAAAGTAATGCAATGGGGCGTTCATTGACACTACACAACAAAACCAGCAGGTGAATAGAAGAAAAAAAACAGCCTGGGAAAACAAAATTCCACACTGCACCTGTCGTCATGTGCTGCATTTAAGCTACCTCTAGGGTAAGGCTTAGGACTGCACACTAAGTGTATTGAAAATGAGTATTGAAAAAGTTTCACCTGCCCAACAGTGAAAACAGGATTTTAATTCTGGTCCAGATGTTCAAGGGGGGGGGGGGGTAATTCCTTTTGTTCTCCGTACATGTAACTGGAACCTTGAGTGCAGAAAAACATGCAAAACAAATTCTGGCCAACTTTACTCACTCTTTAGCTGATAAAATTCACCAAAGTTTTCATGAGGCAAAGACAAGGTCCTCAGTATTTCACAAGCCAAGTTTGAAGTCTCAATTCAATTCTTAAAGGAGACTTTTTCTTCAACTTTTGCACCTGAGAATAAGCCAAGTGATATTTCAATTTGAAGCCAATGACTACATGTAGATGTCCAACTGTTTGAAAAGATTGACCCTTTAGTGGTGGCAGACCAAGGAGAGATGTGTAGAAATAATAGACCAGTACCACTAGCAGATGTTTCTTTTGACACAGTTCACTGATGCAAAACTAAAGGGTTGTTGGACTAGTTGTTTTGTGCCAGACCATATGTTTTGCAACTTTTCAAAGTTTTGGGACTCTCATAGTCATACACAGTAGTGAGAGTCCCAAATTTTCAGACTACATACATAAAAAGTAATCTCCAGTTTGGTACAAACAATTGTTGTAATTTACAAAGGTGTATATTCCTAAATGCTTTTAACATAATCAACGTGCTTTACAAAGGGAAAATGAAATTAACAAATGGCAACAAAATGCTTTCTACAGAACAGCAAGTGCATACAAGAAGTCACTTCCCAGGAGCAGCGCAGAGGTTATAAAATGAATATCTTCACTCAAAAACTGGTAAAAAAAAAAAATCAAATTAACTACCGTACGTACAAGTACAAAGGGAAACTGACTCAGTACATATGGTACTGTAATTCTATTCACATACATCTCCGCCACTTTACATTCAAAATTTTCCAAACTCTAATCCAGCTTATTATTGGAGAAGAAAATCAATTTCTCAAGAAATTTTGCATCTCCATTTTCAAAAAACCAAGTACTCGTGTGTGACCCTTTGTTACAATTATGAAAAAATCTAGAAGTAGGAAACATGTAAAAATGTCAGTCAGATTGCACAGGCATGACTTGAAATAAATTGCATAAATTATTAAAAATACATTTTAAAGTTAGTTAACAATTAACTTTTAATATATATATTTTTTTTGTAATAAAAACAGTAAATTCTTACCAGGACTTCCCTCCACCGTGTCAAAGTGACCGTTCAGCAGCAGGCTGTGATCGTGAGCCCCTTCCCCCTGCCTCACAACTTCCTTGGCCGGACTCAAACGGGCCGCAATATTGGTAATCTTCTTGTAATAGGGCGAAAAACCACCCCAAATGTCCATCGTATATGAACCCTCAGGGAATGAAATGTCGATATCGACTTCATGAACCCCTGGTACAGCCATTTTCTTGATTTCTGAGAGTGCTTTCATGAGATACTCGACACAAAAGACCTCGTTTGCTCTAGATCCGCCAGGCCGAGGTCCGAAGCTCGTGATTTCAGCGACGTGCGCCCGGGCGCGCTCCTCAAGAAACTCCCCCGTGCCTCCGTGCCCAGCCACGGTCTTCGGCGCTGGCAGTCGGTGGTAACTCCAAAACGCCACCAGAAAAAGCACCCCCATGTAGACCAAAATGTACCCGAAAATAACCTCCGAGAGGTAGCGGGATGGTACCTTTTTGGTCTCGGGACCATTTTGGAGGCCATTTTTGGCGACATTGGGGATATTTTCGGTCCCAATGCTACGTTGTCGCACCTCTCTTCCACCGCTTTTCTCCATGGCTGATCGTGAACAGTAAATGACGTTCGGGGAATTATTTTGTGAGCGATGTAGTGCATGCCCAAAACACGTGATAAGCATTGTGCGCATATGGATCAGCTGATCGGCCGGCCGGGGACACGATTTCAACACATGCATGAAACCTTCGTCGTGTTTGTCAAAATAAACACAAACTAATGACAAATACAACCGATGACTGTTTCATGTCGTTTCTGCGCCCCATTCAACAGAGAGTTGCAAAATGACAGGTAGACAATAGTTGGAGGTTTTTTTCCCCTTTAATCTCGTATATTTGTTGTCTGGGCTTATCTTTGTGCTGCCACCAAATAGCTGTGAGTCATATCTGTCTAAACCGCACGATAACGGGCAACTGTTCTTTGACCCCAAATAACAGGCTTGACATTTTTTTCTCCAAGTCCAATTGAAATGCAGTATTTATTTTAAGAAAGAATTTTGAACATTGTATAAGATTTTGTTGTTGTTGTTGACAATATAAGTTTAAGCACTGTTTAGTGTTTTAATTGTCATGTTGCAAAAGCATAATGGTGAAAAATAAGGGGGAAAGTCTTAAATTTGAAAGGAAAAAATATGGGGAAAAATAAATTTAAGTTGAAAAGTAAGAAACCTTTCAACAAATAGACAAACACGTGTTTTTCATTTTATTTAAATGACTGAATTTATTCAAAATACAAAAGAAGTAGCACACTGGGAAATTTCCAATAACTGCTCGAATACATGCATTTTCACACAAAAGTTACAAAACTTAATCAACATCCATTTTATAATAACCATAAAAATGATAAGTAAGTAGCCAAATGAAATGACCAACTTCAAAACCTTTGATTATAAAAATATACATCTTTCCTACAAAATCTAGCAAACAATTCTTTACAAGGAAATCTTGTTGAAATACAAAAATATTGTACAAAATTCTGCTAAAAAATGCTATCAGACTCACTGTCACTGTTAAAAAAACACAGTTTTAATTCAATACCAAAATTGTTCCATAAGGCAGGACGGACATGTTTTATGGGTTTAGAAATATTGTAGCATTTCAGTTAATCCTTGTTGATCTAGCAGGACCATCAAATAAAAAAAATAATGGCTCAGCAATGAAATAACTTTGTACCAAGAGGCTTCCATAAAATTCAGCCAATATATCTTGGGATAAAGAAATCTACAATTTGCATCAAAATTATTCAAATTTTGTTTGGTAAATTATGATCCGAACTATGCATAGCATATCAAGGCACCGATGTATTTTGTCGTCAATAAAATTGATTCGCAATACAGCGTGTCATCAACAGTTGTTTTTTTTCTGTTTTGCAACTTCAAGGTCGACCTTCTGCATATATTACCATGTATCATTCATCCTTCATTGTTTACATGAAGCAGTACAAAAACTGTATCAAATTTGGAAGCCTCATGAATAACATTATATAAACAAAACAACAACAAACAAACCCTAAAACATGAAAATAAAGTGCTTGTTGCCTAGCGGACAGTCTTTGTTACATGTTATTTGTGATGCACACGAGTAGACAATTGTCTCTGAATTTAAATAACAAAACCGTCCTCGCTATAAGGTTTAGCAATGTCTATAAATAGATGCCAACGTTCTCCCATGATGCACAGCAAGACAATGAGGCAGTTTACTGCATTGTCAAGTGTTCATATCACCAAAATATCTTAAAGCTATAGTCCATCATTTGCAGCCATCCGAAAAAGTAACTGGCGTATTATTGTTGAAAAACATACTGGTTGAAAGATAGTAAGTGGACTAAACTCCCTGTGAAATTAATCTTTCTGGCAAGCTATCATTTTGAAGTAATCAACGAAAGAAGGCCTTTCCAATTTAAATTAGTAGTTCGTTTTGTTATGTGGCGCAGCGCGCGCAAGCATTGGCACGACGCACAGGCGCGCGCGGTTGCTTTAATTCGTCAGATCAGTGCACGACATCGTGTATAGCTGCAATTCAAAACGATTCAAAACATGATTCAGCAACTTTTGATTTGAAATTGAGATCCTAGAATGCTGTTTTTCTCGGAATATACAGCTGAAGTTGAGCTGAAACTTCATCAGGTTAGTTGTTCAGTATCCTTCATTATATTTTGAACACTTTTGTTGCTTCAAACGAACAAAATGCACTAATTACAAATGATGGACTATAGCTTTAAAATCCTTGTATGACAAGACTGGTTGGTTCAACCAATCAGAGTGGATTTTTACATCCCAGATGGCCTGTCGGTTACCCTGGCAACAAGCGTTGACATGGCATCGCCGATGCGAGCCACAGCATCAAGCATGTCCTTTGGATTATCACGTGTTCCTGAACAACAAAATGGAAATTTGTTGAAAAAAGGAAGAATGGAGCGAATAGGGTTTTACGATTCATCAATAAATCAATAATTATGAAACAAGAATGCTACAGTATAATAATAATAATATATCACTTCTATATAGCGCTTTCTACAGGCATTTCAAAGGTGCAATGAAATTTTTTTTAAACTGAATCGCCACCAATGGTTATGAATAAAGTTCAATAAGAGGTCTGAATTTGTCAGGAACACATTGTGCACAAAACACTGACTTTTAGAAATGTGCCTCCAAGTCGAGAAAAATAAGCAGTTGTAAAAGTTCACAAGGTTGCAAGCATGCTTATGGATTCCTCCTTTTATTTTGCATACAAATATTTTTTCAAACACATTTTAGCTTACCATGAGGGCGTCTAGTTCGCATGAAGGTAGGAGCTGGCTTGTAGGAGGGGCGGGGCTTCAACTCGGGGGAGGAGGGCTCATCTACAAGAGAATGCAGATTTGAAAACACAGCTGCAGACATTCAACTAAGTCCATAACAAGAACATTATTACTGTGAAAATCAATTTTCCATTACAAGAAATTCTTTGATCATATAGGCTTGTGAATGTTTTTGATCATTCAGGTATTGCAGATAATTTAATGCCACGTCGAGACCAGTCGGCCCGAAGAAGCATCCTGAAAAGGATATGAAATGTGGTCATTTATGATTGAATAACATTGCCCCAATCACATTTCTAGTCTAGATACTGCTAGGCACTTTTGATACTTCTATTTTGAGTTTCCTTGGATGAGGTTTTTGTAAGTCAAAATGTATTTACTTCCATAAATGCATCACAAATTTGAAGGTGAAACATTTTGGTTGGAATGATAAGTCAATATTCTCAAATAGTCAGAATAGTAATGGTTACCATGTGGACTAGTTGGATAGGCATCATTCAGTCGCTGCAAAATCTCGTTCATCTCTGCCTCTTCAGGAGGAAACATCCTTGAAGCAGACAAGTTGGGAAACATCACCGTTGATTGGTCAGTCAAATGGGCTGGGAGGAGCCTCCTGGATGCAAATGTGCCTGGAGTCATTGCTGATTGGTTGTGAGGGTAAAGTGGGCGGGGCATGGTGCTGTCACTCAACCCTGGAGTCATGGTCTGATTGGTTAGTTGATGTTGGTAAGTCCCTGGTGTCATCGCTGATTGGTCCAACTTTACAGGTGGGTGTACACTAATACTATCACTTGTGGTTGCATCCAATGGTGATTGGTTGATCATATTGGGTGGGCGGGGTCTATAACTGTCATTATTCATCACAGCTCCGGCTGATCGGTCAACCACTGCATCATCAGGAGTTGCAGGTATGAATACATTAGCATGTTCATTATCAGTCAAACCAATGCTGCGTTGTGATTGGTTGATGGCATGGTGATATGGTAATCTAGGTGGAGCCGTCTGATCAAGTAGGTCATTTGTGGGAGGAGCATGATAATGAGGGGGTGGAGCTGAGCGATTTGGCACATACATGGATTGACTGGTTTTTGTGGCAGTTTGTTTCTGAAATGTAAGATGAAATACGACACAGCTTATCAATAATACAATAAATGAAATGAGAACACGAAAACTTTGTAATATGAGGTTCAAAATACATGGCCAAAATTCATGGCCAAAAATCATGGCCAAAAATCATGGTCAAAATTTAGTTTACTTGTGGAGTTATTTCATTGCCCCGATACCTGCTTCAGGAGTTGCTTGAGTGTTCTCAGCTGTATCTCCAGCTGTCGGTTCTGTTCCTCCAGCATTTCCTGCTTGGCTCGGATCATCTCAGCCTCAGCATCCGATGCCTCGTTGTCACCGGACCCATCGCCATAGTTACCACCATCATCGTCACCAAGGTTACCATCAACATCATCGTCTCCATTGGGGTCACTGTCATCCGTTGGTGCCATCCGTTTCCTGACCAGCTGTTCTATGTCTTTGATGAGCTCCCTAAAGTAAAACACACCTTCATTTACTCTTTCATTCAACAGAGTGTGAAAAAAAAAACATTGCTTTTTCCGTGTTCCATGATTTTTCCTTCACAAGCTGATTTAAGATTGAAAGGCTTTGACTCACTCATTTTCCAGTTCCAGTACATCAATCAAATCCTCCAGGTCTCTACGTTCTTTGGACCGATCAGCAGATGACCTTTGACCTTTGGATGATGACCTACCAGACTCAGGGGATGCATCGGATGGGCGTGTCCAGCTATCGGGGGAGGGGGTGGGTGTGATGGAAGGTGGCACGGCTGGTTTCATGTCTTCAACTGCTGCTAATCTAAGATGTTATGTAAAATATTGCTTATTAAATTTATGCAACGAGTTGTGGGTTCGAGTCCAACCTGAGCATGTAGTGCGTGCATTGGGCAAGACACTCTGTCACTCATTGCTTCTCTCTACCCAGGAGTAAATGGGTACCTGTCAGAGCAGAGATGGTTATTGTGACTGATTTTAGCTGCTTTGTGCCGAAATGGCAGCATCAAGCTGTTTACTACCCAGGGAGCTGAGATTATTTTTAGAATGTTTCACTGGCTCAATGATCAGGGGTAATAATAATGTAAAGCACTTTGATCTTAGTTAAAAGTGCTACATAAGTATCCAGTTTTGTTAAAGATCAGCTGAATACTAGTCACAAGCAAGATAAATGGCATCATTCTTTGTCAGGTAAGCTGATTTTGCTAAGCATATTTTCTGTTCGGTAGAGGATAACCAAATATTCAGGAAGTCTTACTTTTCAGGGATGTGACCCAGACGAGAGTGCATGTCAATCTTCCTCATTAAGGGGTCACTGGGAGGAAAAAAACACAATACTGTCAATAAACTAACAAAAACTTGACACTTACATGTATGATAAAGCAGATTGTAAAATTGGGCCTAGGCTAATCAAACAATAAGTGCTTTTCAAAAAGATATTCAGTAAAACAACTGAATCATTCAGAAGTTTAAATCAGGTGAAATTTTAGCTGATATACAACTATGACAGGTTTTGTTCTTTAAATTCGATACCAATGAAAGTACACATTGTCTCCTTATGTATAGAGGAACAAAGACCTGCCCTCGGTGAGGGGGCTCTATTGCAACAGGTCTATAGTAACAAACTTCAGTGTTCAGCAAATTTTAGTTTGCCACTAATCGGCGAGAATTGTAACAATTGCACAAGTTGGACACTTAACAATGAGAAGTGCTTACCTGTAACTATAGGAATCTGCATCACTGTCATCTATGGGCAGGTACTTGTGTCCGACACCGCGGCCATGTTTCTTGCTCAGCTTGTTGCGTATCGTCTTGGCAAAGGCTCGCAGGTCCTCCTTTGAGGAAGTCTAAAAAATAATCGGAGAAAAAGTCATCAGAAAATTATTAGTAACAAATAGTTTGGAAGAGCTTAATAAAGTAAGTCAAATGAAAACGTCTTACCCCAAAGATGTATTCTTGAGTTGGATGCGAGAGCTTGTGCTTCTTGGTTGTCATGCCGACAAAGAAACAATCTTGACACATGTCGTAGTTGAGACACTTGAGGCACCTGAAGCGAAGGCCGATGATGGGAAGCATCTTGCAGATGTTGCACTTAGCTTCATGTCTCACTGACAACAAAAAATGGAAGAATAATCTGTCACATTGTAGGAACTGATTTGAGTTAATCCTATAGCACAGTAGCCCTTACCCTGCCAGATGCAACACAGCGTGGAAAAGTCTGTGGGTACTTGATGCATAAAGCCAGTGCTTATACGGCCAATTCTGAAGCAATGAGAATTGGTTTACTTGGGCAATGCCAAGATTTGGAGTTCTTTGTGACTGCTAAATACAACAAACTGTAACTCTTGTCAAAGTATGAAGCCTGCCCAGTGTAAAAATATCCAAAAATAAAAAGACCATATGAACAGTGTGCCATGCAATACAAATATGATTAATGAGAAACAAAAGTTAAGGGGACTTTTGTTTTATAACAATTCAACAAACAAAACATGACACAATCAGGATTCGAACTTCGGACCTCTGGGACACAGCACCAATTATCAATGATCAAGGCCTATGTGGGCTTCTTCTTATTGTCAATATCTTTGTTTTGTCTCTGCAAGCCACAATCATCATCCTCTGACTAATTTGAGCATCAGAGGGGTTTTGGTTGAATTGTCAGACGTACTGTTCTCAGAAGCTGCCAAGCGGTGCATTGTGGGTAACCAGGCGATGGTTTGGGGTTCGGCCATCAGCCAGCTCATGTACCTGTCGTGGGAGACGGTCGTTCCAATCACCTGGACATGTCAACCAAATGTAACGATTGTAAGAAATTTTAAACTTTTTTTTTGTTTTCTAATAATTTTGAGCAGAAAAAAAAAACCACGTTCAATGACATTAAAAATGCAAAAATGTTGTTTTTGATGAACTTACAGTAGCAAAACAGCTGTTGACTGCTGCGCCGGCATTTCTCCCTAAAGTAGCACTTTCATTGATCAACTCTGTTATCTTTAGAAAGAGGAAAATACAGACAGAGTGGTCCTTTTAAAACAATAACAAGGTATAGTTGGCAGAGTGGTATTTTCACTGTAATAAAAAAGGAAAACAAGTAAATCAAGATTTCATAAGAGCAACTTAGACAGGTCAGAATAGACTCTCAACTGTTGCAGCCTGACGTTCCACAGTCATAAAATAGAGCATAGTCTTGAAAGCAACTCAGATTGACCTAACCAGATTCTGGTTCCAGACGTATTAATTTTGAATCAATAAACAAGACTATGAAGTCATTCTAAACGATTGCAACTGATCTTTTGATGCATTAGCTCCCAACAGTGTTTCAAACTTTGAACTTTTTATGTACTCCATTCAAATTTTCAGACTAATTTAGTTTAGTGTGACTCTGGATACACAATTTGAAGAGAGCATTAATTGCTCTTGGTATTAACTGCATCAAATCTTAAAAAGCATGTTGAAGCATCATCCATACCCTGATGAGATCTTGAAGGAAGGCTGTCACATTCCGTCGACTGATGCCCCCTGCTCGGTCAGTCAGTTGCTGGTACCAGTCTAATTACAGAAAACAGACACTAAAATGTATAGACCAATACCAGCACAGAGCCTGTGTACACTCACAGTGTCCCCCAGTAATGGCGTCGTGTGCTGTTCAGAGAAGCTCATGTTTTTTACAACAGCTTGCACAATGCTACCCCATTACTGGGGGCCACTGCAGGTGTACAGTGACTCACTGCCATGGTCTGTTAGAAAAGTTACTCCTGTCATTCATATAATGCTTACACTTTTATTTCTGCTTTGAAATGTGGTTTCCTGCTCTTCAAAATATTAATTTGTTCCATCTTCTTTTAGGACTAACACAAGATATTCAGATATTGAAATGAGACATGCGATGTGGTAAACCAATTAAAATTCCAATTCATTTACTATGTGATAGTTACACAAGGTCAAGGGTTAAAGGTTGAGGTCAGGGGTCATATAAACTCTGAACCTTCCTCAGCAAATTGCTTTTTCAAAATGGCTTTACTCACACTGGTATTTCTCGGTCAGTTTGCTTGAGCAGAGCGCTACCATGCAAATCTTGGCTGACAGCACCTTGACACATCCAGTCCGACCCCTATGAAAATGGAAAGCACATACAAATAGATTTAGAACGTGAATGATCAGATACTTTTTTTTCCTTAAAGTTTTCACTTCGTTCTGAAAGTCTAGGGTGCTGGCTATAGACCATTATCATGTTGCAGCCATCTTGATTTATTCCCACTCAAATAACCAAAGTGAGGCTGGAAGGAAAAATAGTCTGGTTCCTTTTCGCACAAAAAACATTATCATTCAGTACTGTTATTGGATACAGGGAACATGACTGAAATGGTGGCAGCATGATAATGGTCTATACTGTGACAAGTGTTGAAGGGGCTGCGCAGCGGCTACTGGCCTCGTCTCCCAATCTTGTACCCACCACCATGAGTACTTCTTCCTCAGTCATTGTTGACAGATATCCAGAGACAAAGACAGAGAAAGAGAAACAGTTTTTGTACTCACATATCATAGAGATTGTATATCCAGTTCAACACTAGATCAGTACTACTCCCAACATCCACCATGCTGCTATGTCTACGGGAGTAAGTGACGTAGAACACCTCATAGATAATGCTGCGTAACTGAACAACGTCCAGAACGATGTCATTGTGATGTCGGAAGCCATGTTGGTCAAAAGATGAACTGATCGTAGATATGTCAACCAAATCCACTACAAAACAAAAAGGGTCAAAAGAATAAAACTCAACTTGTGTTTCTAAATAGACTCTGTTCAGGTCTAAAATCAACTCTCCAAGTCTCCATACGTATGTTTTCAGTTCATTTTATGTGTGTTACTTATTTGGCCTATTCTAAATTTAAGCTTAACTTGCATATTTATATATGAGAAGTGCAAATGGAAAGGCAGCTTGATCATGATAAGTGTGCAAAGGAAACGGTGCGTGTGCCAGTTCCTTCACACAGGTATGCCACAGAGGATGCACAACCAATTTTTATTTAAATATGCAACATCATATTAATATCTAGCAAACTAAGAATGCACCTGAGTATGGCACACTGCATTGGTGGGCATTCAAGTGTCCTTCAATCATTCCTCTTTTCACCATTGAGGGAGCATTTGGTCAATATTAAATTACAGTACCTCAAAAGCTAGTTAGGAAAGGTTGTGGGGACTAAAATACTCACAGTTGAGCTGTTTCTGCAGCATTCTCAGCTTCATAGCAGCTCTGTACTCGGCAAGTTGGATGTTACTCATCTCATCTGTATATTTCAAGAAGTTACAAGGAATAAAAGTAGTCACTGCCACCATGTAGCTTTTGGTTGCATAATTCTGCAACAGATAATTTTATATTTCTGCTGGAAAGTTTTTACTCTAATCTACAATTTTGTTTTAGTTTGGACAATGGCCAGTGTAGTGTCTTTCATTCTAAATTGTTGATTAGAACAAATGTGACCCGTCACCCTTCTCACAAAATCAGAGTCAAATCACCAGCTTGAAGTTGCCAGTTACCATTTAAAGAGACACAAATCTTCAGGAAATTCACCCATTAATCTTCCCACAAAGGCGTGACAAAAATTTACACAATTGTAAGATATTTTCATGTAAAACTCTGATTGGCACGCGTCCTTACCTAGCATTCTCAGGGCTTTGATAAACTCTGGGTGATCCCACTGCGTCCTCTCCGACATGTGACTGAAGCAAAAATCAGAAAATTGTCATCTTTGAGTTCTTGGCCTTATCCCAAACTCACATCTTGTAAATGGGCATACATGTAAGTTCAAGCTGTGATCTTTAGACATGGCAACAATTACAAAGAAATTTAAAAGGTAAAAGGGACCAAGAATTTGTTTAACCTTATCATTTTTGAGAACCACATTTTCAAACTATACCAGACTTTTGTTTCAATTATGAGAGGTTTTGCTTGATGCTACAGATCTAGGTGACAACAAAAACGTATAACATTACCCTTTTTACCTATTGAGGTATTCATTATGTTTTACTTACTTGATGTAATATGGGATGCCCATATTAGTGAATGCTTTCTCCCAAAGCTTATCCATGAATGTGCGAATGTTTTCCTGATCTGCAATTTAATAGACATGATAGAACATCAAATTTACAACCGTCAATTGTATTTTCTTATTTGTCTTCCAAGGAGTAGGGCCTAACTTGTTTTAAATTTAATTTACAATTAACCTAGTAAATTGGGTTTACAAAACTTTAAGGTTTTAAATTTGACTACTTCTTGGAAGAGAAGTTGAGTTAGTAATCTGTCACTACATTTATCTTCAACCATTTCAACAAAAGCACACAATAACCTCAACACAGCCATGACAGTGCAGCACTGGATGATTTTTCTGAAGAAGCCACCAAAATCATCAATATTTTTTATATTCTAGTAACTTTTGTTCTGTTTCAAGTTGATCATTAGCATCGTGAATGACTGAGTGCATGGTATGAGGTAGCTGGATGAAAACCTCAGCCCTAAATTTTATCATTGGGTTGTTGTTTATGGCTGGAGGGAATTTGTCAGTAGTAGAAAATGTGCCATTTAGTCCCTGTAACACACTAATTCCCACTGGGACTCACCCAAACCTTGCCCGACATAACCACTACGCAGGTCCCTAATCCTTAAAGAAAAGGTAGTGGATATTTTGCCGGAGGTAATGACGGCAAACTAACGATTACTAAAGGTTTGCCGGCGGCAATGCATATCAACAGAGGGCGCTGTACTCTTTAAAATAGGGCTGAATTATAAGATGTATTAAATTCCCACCAAAAGTTGTGAACCACGTTTGGTGTAGTGGTTAAGCAAAGGCTCTAGTAGACGGGATGACACGCGTTCAAGTTCGACCGCACCACATTTTTGAGTGGTCGGGCACAACCCGACCACTCTTTGGATCTGTTACGATTAATCTTTCTTTCTTTCTTTCTTTCTTTCTTTTCCGGACAATACTTCTCCGTGGGTTTTCTCTTAAACGGTATATGGTATGAACTTGTAACTTTCAATATATATCGCCCCTCATCCGAAGTGGTGCATATTACTCTGACGTCATGATTACGTCATCCGGTGTCAAATTACAAGTGATTTTATCTGAAAAATTGACCAATTACTTTCACCTATAACTCTTGAACTAAACAATCAATGATGTTTGTATTCTGTCATCAGATAGACCATTAATCGCTAAACAGTTTTTGTCGCGTACGTGAACTCGCTTGACCTTTACTTCCGGGTCTACCGGAAGGTCAAAGTTAGGTGAATTCAAAATGAAGACGTTAGCCTGACATCAAAACAAAGCAGCATTTCTTCCGAACGGTTCACGGTATGATCACAAAACCTTGTGTGAACTTGTACCATGTTACGAAGATGTTATAAATTTTGTTACGTCATCATGACGTTATCAGGTATCAAATTACAAGCGATTTAAGGGCAAATCTTGACAAAATAGTTTGCGTATATCTTTTGAACTAAATAGAGTATCGTGTTTGTTTTTTCGTGGGGTTGTAGACTATGCCGTGAGGAACATTTCTTGTCCCCCAGACACAAAACTGCTTGACCTTTACTTCCGGTGTTACCGGAAGTGCAATAAAAACTGAATATAGCTCAAAAGCGGAAGCATTTTACCACAGACACATATATTATGAAAGTGTTTAGTGAGGAATGCCAGACACAAAAACAATGTGATGGCGTCATCATCCGAAAGTCAAGGTCGTTTGACCTTTCCTTCCGGGGCTGCCGGAAGGTCAAAGTTAGGTGAATTCAAAATATAGAAATTAGCGTCAAATAAAAGGAAAACAAGATTTCTTTCCATAACCGATTGAAATCGCGCCTCACCAGTTTTCCTCACATATCTGAATGCTGAAAATTAATATTTCCACAGCGTGTAGCCACAAACGTTTCTGTCGTAAAGTCAGTGCAGAATTTTATTATGCCCATGCAAAAGAAAAAACCCATAAAAGCCATGTTATGATATGATTAGCATATGTTGCATAAACTCCAACGACGGTTGAGGCTCCGGCAAGTCTACCAATAGTCCTAACTGGTTGTAATGCTTGAGTAGCCATCCATGCAGCACCAGATGTGCGCTTCCTGATAGACCTACAAGTCTTGTCGAGGTAAAGCAACAAGTTAAACTGCAGGTTGTGTGACTTTCATTGTGAAAAACACAGGGTAATGGATATGCAGGGTAATTGGAGGAGTATTGTGCAGTTCAATTATGATTAAGTCATTGTAAACACAAGAAAATATGCCAGCCCGACCACTCTGCGTTTGTAACTCAACAAACGCAAACCTCTAGTTAAGTTTTTTTTTCTCATCCCTCAATAAGTATAACTCTTTAGTTGATAGTTCGTGTAGCGTTTATTAGTCATCAACCAATGACAACAGCGGCTGCAAAGTAAAGGAAAAGATTACATTATGAATCATAGTTCTATATGCCCCCCAAGTCTTTGGGAATAACAAAGGCTAACAATTCTAGGAAGAAAAGTTTCCAAATGTAACAGACATAACTAAGTAACCTAAAGAAATGCACAGATTGCAAAGGCGTGAACATGAACAATAAGCAAAGATCGAAACAAGAATAAGCATAGGTTATAGGAAGTAAACTGTAACTGTAACTTTGGCTATCAAAAAAAAAAAAAAAAAAAAAAAAAAAAAAACACTCAGTCGCCTGATGAAAACGATTCTCTTTTTGTACATTTTGCTGAATATCGTGTTCGGATCGCCGACGATATTGTTAAACTTTGATTCTAGACTTCCATTTTGAATCAGATGTGATAAATAATCCAAAGCCGCTGTTGTCATCAATAAGTATAACTCTTTAGTTGATAGTTCGTGTAGTGTTTATTAGTCATCAACCAATGACAACAGCGGCTGCAAAGTAAAGGAAAAGATTACATTATGAATCATAGTTCTATAATCCCCAAATAAATAAGAATATTCTTCTTTTATTATTTTAACATGTCTCAAACATTTTTTGCAGAATATTACATTTTCTTTTTCAGATTTGTGGCTCTGGAGGATTTTTTTAAAAAGAGAAATAAAGTCCGAAATTATAAAATGGTCTGAATCCCATCTTGTGAATACGAGGTAACAACGATAATTTTGGCATGGAGCCAGACTAAAACTTGTCACCGGAAAATGTTAAAGTACAAAAAAACAGTAACTGCGCATGTTCAGTGCACATCCGGCAAACTAACGTTTAATAAAGGTTTGCCGTCTCCGGCAAAATATACACTGCCTAAAGAAAATAACGATCCACGATGAAGAGTCAGCCTTCAATTGTAGTGAAAAGGAGGCATTTTACTGACAGCGGATCAAGTTATAGTGTCGCAGGCCAGAGCAGCAATTGTTTAAAGTACAAACAAAATTTGTGTACAAAGGAATGGCAATGCGCGGTCGATTACCATACACAGCGTGCACACCAGTCAAACTTGCAAACTGGCGCTGAAATGCACACCCGACGACTGTAACTGACTGTTGGTCGGCCAACTTCGTATGCCGTTCTACCGCATGCAGCCGTGTCAATGCACAAGCCTCATAAATGTATTTATGCAGCAGTGGTTGGTACCTGATTTGTCAATCTACGAATAGATGGGGTTATCCGGGCAAAAATGACATTTTAATGTAGCGCTCAGAGAAAATGATAGGGACAATTTCCGGGTTGGCATCGCGACGCGCGCTGCGGTCACATATACAACTTGCCGTCACGAAGTTATTTGAAGTCTTTACGAAATAACATTTGCACACAAGATAAAAGGTATGAAAATGTTTATTGTACACAAGTTTCAGCCATTTATGATGCCTAAAACGGAAATTACAGTACTTTGAAAACAGCCCACGACCCCGAGAATCAGCGTTGTCTAGGGCTAGGCCGTGCGTGGGGGCCGTTCGGCAATGTTCAGCCGCGCCGCGGCCGGCCTATACAAGCAGAAACAGGAGGAGTCAAGAAATGAGTGTGCAAAAGGCAAAGGTGGACTTTGAAATCAAGTCGGCGGAAAATATAAAGACAGATAGCAAATCCTCTTCAATCTTAGGGACGTAATTTGGAACGAGCCAATTCAAATATCGGGTGAGCTTACCGACTATTTATCATCAGTTTATCATTCAAAAACACAGCCAGTTCCCCGCCACCGCGCCATCATCAAAATAATTTGATGTGCAGAAGAAGGGCGCCCTCAATAGTCTCCGTACTGTCGATGTCCACCAGTACACAGTACAGTATGACCAGCTGATCTGTGCTGATCCCTTAAATTTCATCATCAATCATGATTCATGGTTCTACAAAGTTCTAACAAGTTTTAGTCCACGTCTCACTCATGCAGTTTACCAAAGTGCACTTTGGTTAGGGTTAATGTACACTTAAGTGTACATTAAAACTCAGGGACACGCGTCCACGTTGCGTGACTGTGTAGAATTAGAAACCGCACAAGAGTCTGGTTCAAACATTCATTCTCTCTCAAGTTTGGAAAAGGGCAAGTACTTGAACAAGTTGAAGCTTGAAGTAGGCATAGGCCCAGGCCTAGGCCCCTATCCAACATGTCCATTGCATGCAGTTCAGATTGCAATTATTTAAGGCTGTTGATATTTGGACGGCGCCGGTCATGGCAGTTTTCTTTTAATTTTCACGAAGTCTTTCCCTGATTGGCTGTTTTATTAAATGTACTTATGTTGGCTGTGCTGATTTTTTTTTGGCCAGAGTCTGCGGAATCATGAATCAAGATGACCGCTGGCAAAGTATTAAATGTTTGAGTCGGAATGACTGATATGATGTAATCATACATCGTGTAACTCAGCCAATCAGAGAAAGAAGCCTTCAATGAACATAACATTTACATGACAAAGGAAACCAGCGCCTGCCAAATATCTGCTGCCAAACTGGGTATGGCTAGATGCTCGGGATAATTTGTATACGGTCATATTTTGGACCTTTCACGGAAGTGTGTTTCTAATCATGGAGGAAGCACTTTCATGGTAATATGCGCCATCTTGCTGACGGGACAAATTTACACACGTTACGCATCATCAATCAAAAACTTTTGCGCTTCCAAGTCATCAGGCACTCATTCCATGCGTCTAACAATGCGTTGCCCCGTGAACAAGATAGCGCATTATTACCGTGAAACTGCATATTGATAGGAAGCCACTATTCCGTAAGTATTCCTGTTTTTCTCTCTCCTGTCTTAGGAATAGTCCATCATGTCCGAGCTCAGTTGGTGGAGTTTAGCAAAAGTCTTCGTACCCAAAGTCGTGCCAAGGCTTTGGCTTAACATCTGGCACTGGAATACGGTTGAAGAACGCCTGTTGGAATTCGTCAAGAGTACTGCTAAAGAGGGTGACGTGACCAGTGTGCTTTCTTCCGCGGATCGGTTCATCAGAGAAAAGGAGTGGATGATGAATATTCAGTGTGAGAAAAGTAAGAGCTGTGCAGTATACACTGTTCAATATGGGTTGCCTGCACGAACGGTACATGGCGCTTTTTGCGTTCATACTAATTACTGTCTGCTCTTTTAGTAATCTTGTGAGCCCAGTGGACCGGATACCCCATGAGCGCACACTAGTTCGCTCATATATGCATGAAGTACGCACAACTTATTGCATTACGAATGCGCAGAAAGCCAAGGCATCTTCCCGTAAGCATCGGCATCGTTGGCGATGCAGTTGAATAATTCCTCCCAGTGGTCCCCCCCCCCAACTCTCCCTTTGTAAACCATTGAGGGGGTACTTGTACACGGAGCCCATATCAAATTGCACAAGTAAGCAGGAGATTGTTGGTTGGAACTCCTACATGTAGGCGTACCTCTCCCAACCATCACGTCTCTCCTCAAATGGGGAGGGGGGAGGGGAGGGGGGCTTGCAGTGTGGAAATTTGACAAGTGGATAGGATTGGGGTGGACACCCGCATTTTTTCATTCCCTGACTCCCCTCCCCCCTCCCCTGCCTTTTTTAAGGATGGCTATATTTATTTTGATAAGGATATCTATCATAATGTACAACTGTTGAGGCTTATCCAGCTACTGTTGTCACTGATAAAGGGTTTGAAAACTAAAATTTAATAAATAAAATATGTTTGACTTTTGTTTAATCTTTCAGGACTGAAAATCGAGGAAGTCTTGGAGGAAAGGAAGCCCAAGGCTTGTTTGGAACTGGGGACTTATTTTGGCTACTCAGCCATATCGACAGCAAGCAAGCTGCCTAAAGAAGGTCGTCTGATCACATTGGAGATCAAAGAAAAGAATGCAGCAATCGCCCAGCAATTCATCCAATTTGCTGGTCTAAACGACAAGGTAGACCCAGGCTTTTGGAAAAGGAAATCACATAATTTGTAGTCGGAAGAATTGAGCATAGAAATGTAATTGGTAGACTTTTAACAACGGATGGTGATCATTGATAATGATAAGTGCATTTGCAATCCTCCTGCCCCCTTACGATATGCATGCACATTCAAAAGTAAGACATAAAAGAGGTGCATAAAAGTACGAAAAGAGGTGCACTACTGACTTTCTATTGGAAATTTTAAAAACAGTAAATTTAAATGAAGTGTAAAAATAAACTAAAAATGTGCCTTGCTCCCACAAAAGCCTGACAAAGTTGACAAATGTTGTTTTTTAGGTTGAGGCATTTTCAAATTCCTGATATTTTCAGCTTCAAAATGATATATGATTGCCATAGGTACCATGACCCTATCACCCCTGGCAGAAGGATTAAGAGATAAAAGCCTGACAAGCCAATTATGCGATAAATACGTGTATTGAGATCCTTTTTGTGTAAATATCTATACACTATTTTTTTCACAACATCAACAACAAACACACTTCTGCTTGATTGATTATATTCATATTTTTTGAGATTGTATATTTTTATTTACTGATGCACAAAATTTCAAAACCTAAAAATGGTCAGTTCCTACCCCAAATGACTTCACATGCCATTTGTGCAAAAACAACTTCTGCAATTTTGTCCGGATTTGTTGAAACAGGTCTCAAATATTAAAAGGGATTCATCCCTCTCAAAAAAAAAAAAATTCCTGGAAGAGCTGTAATTTAGAGCCGAATTTCTCTATGTAGAGTTATTCATTGCACAAAGGGATATCTGTTTCAATTATCACAAGTTATTTATTAATGGCTTTGAACTGATTTGAACTTCTAAATTTCAACAGATTTCCATCTCAGTTGGAAAAGCAACAGACATCATTCCAACTCTGCGCAGCCGTTACTCCATAGACAAGCTTGACTACGTCTTCCTAGACCACTGGAAGAGTGACTACTTGCCAGACCTCAAGCTTCTTGAAGAACATGGACTGCTAAGCAATGGAGCGGTAATCATAGCCGATAATATCCTGATTCCCGGTATCCCAGATTACCTAAAGTACGTAGAGAGCAGCGATAAGTTCACCACGGAGCGATTCTACTTCCAAGTGGAATCATTAGGCGTTAAAGACGCCATGACGATCTCCATCTACAATGGTAATCAGTAGATAACCGGAGCTAAATGCCTGAAAGTTGACGGCCAAGTCTTCAAACAAGATCACCAGCATTCCAACTATTGTGAACGCTCATTAAACCTTATGCATCGAGGGTAAATGAATTTTGTCCCAAAATGTCCCACAGTTGTGCCAAAATTTCACTCAGATCATGGTTCATGGAGAGTCCATCGTGTATCTTGGACTTACCTCTGAAAATTCCTTCTAGTCCACTTTGGTTTTACTTATAGAAATGTTTCTAACTCATTTTGTATTCTAGATAAAATTCTAGCAACAAACAATGCTCGATATTGAACGGTGTTAATTATTTTAAATCAATCTGGGCATTGTTTTTAACCAAAAATATCAAATTGACTGATTATTCTATGTAGTGCTCTGTTTTTAGAAAGAACAATATTTTAACAATTCAATTGTGTGTTTCATAAATTATAAACACTGCAGTACAGTGTTTATTAAATCAATCTGGAAGTTTTTTAATCTTTGAAAGAAAAAATATTATAACAATTCAATTTATTTTTTATAAAATTACTAACTGTTTATAATTCTATCAATCTGGGCATTTTGTTGATCTGAAATATTAAATTGACTTAATATTCTATGAAGTGCTCTGTTCTAAGACCAATATTTTAACATTTCAATTTTTTGGGTATGAACGACAAAGTGTCTGTGTCAAGGCATTTTTAAATAGCTTTTATTTCAGATACGTTCTAATGTCATGCCAATAAATGGCCAATATTTCCCTTTTGTGTTCATTGTACACGGTAAATGAAATTATAGAGATATCGAGACTTTATGTACTTACTGGTTGTAGCGATTGTATTAATAACAAAAAAATCAGTTAAAAAATAAAATAACAACGAATCTGCCTCAAACTGTTTCTGACCTGATTGACCTGAAATGTACACATTTATTAACAAAATTAGACGGCCTAACAGTTTTGATCAACAAAGATTCTGCTAGGATCGAACATTGGGCTGTATAATTTTGTTGGATTTTAAAAACGAAAAACGAAAAATATTAAAACACATTGAACCATTGCTATCCAATGCAGACCCTTTTGAAGAACAAAACATGACACAGCAGGAAGTTGAGTTCCCCCTTCTTTCCAAACCTGAAGAACATTAAAGGCTGCATTGTTAAAGAAAAGAAATAAGTGAATTTAAACCAACGGAAATTCAGTTCTTAAAGTATTGCTATTTTTTTCTCATTGGGGGAGGGGTGGTAGGGGTTGGGGAGGGGGAGGAGTCACACATACTGTCTGGCACCACACAGTGTCGCCCAGCAAATACCCAGCAAAAGCCTGAAATGAAACTGAGAAATGAAACATGATTCTATTCCGTGCTGGACTTTTTATTTTCCAATGAAGGCACATAAGACCACTATGTGCCTCACTCACCACACCAATTTCCACCAGATGCATTCTGGTATAGACCATGTGACATTTACTCCCAAATTGGATGTAGGGGTCATGTGACGCCATCTTTCAGCAAACTCTTCCCTTCTGCACTGCATGTGTGTCGGTCAAAATCTGCATGGTGTAAACAGCTGCCATGACGTTAGAGGTCACACGGTCCATAGCCAGTATTATTTGACTACCATCCACTGTTGCATCTTTGTATTACTACCAAGAAAACTATAAAACTGACCATACTTTCTACAGTAATTACTTCAATCATAAAATGGGTCAACACCACTCGTAACACAATTATGTTTGATTTAACAATTAATTAATCATCCTACTGTTCAGTAATTTCCACAAAGGCAAATTAACAGATTTGTAGTCAAGTCAATCACAAGTTGGAGAGTAGTAATATTGGATTTTTTTCCCTTACGCCAATCACACATACATTGTCCAAGCTCTTTTAAATCAGATTTGAACAAGCCAGCCGACCCCGGCAAGCTCGCTGGTCAAGTGATAAGACATCTGCACTAGTAAGCAGGAGGTTGTGGGTTCGAGTCCAAACCGAATAAGCTTGTGATTTTTCTCTGCAAGCCTTTGGGCAACACTGAATATACAGTGTTTACACGATTTTACATCAGCGACGGGCAAAAACCAATGTTAAATATTAGAGGTAACAATAAAATTACAGAAAAAATGTCTTTATCACAATTAATTTGAATAACCTGCCACTTGAATTAAAACTTAAGGGTTTGTGCGACTTGTCTGACTCGTCTAAAACTCTCTTTGGAAGAAATAATCCATACAAGCATCTATAATAATAAGCATGATTAAAATTATCATAAATTAGCATAATTTCAATATTTCAATCTCAAGCATGGAACATTCCACAAGCAGCAAATTAAAATTCTATATCATTAGATCTATTTTTAGTATATCTTCTCTTCACAATATAATGTGAATAAATAAACATTTGTACATATGATACACCTTACCACCCTTCTTACTTTGATTAAGCAAATTGCACTGGATACGATGTTTGGAACTAAACAATTTGTTTCTTTGTTTACTAGAAATGTGAAAAATATAAAATTATTCTTCAGTTGATAGTTTTTTATTAAGTTCAGGTTCAGAGAAAATAGAATTGTACTCAATTTTTGAGGAAAGATTCCCTCAATATTCTGTGTGGAGGGGGTTTTACACGAATCCCAGTTAATTTTACATTAAATACAAAAAGACCAGTGTGTGCAATGCCACTGAAAATTCTTACTTTTCAAAGTCTCAGCAATATAAGTCAAGTCGGAATTAGAAGTTGCTTCTCAACTGCACATGTGCACTGAATTGTTTTGGCTGGGTAAATATATGTGGAAACCATAAAAGGGGACTATAGATCTGGTTATGACTACACCAAGGTTGTTGTTAACATTCATTTGTTTATCTCGAAGTGAAATCATCAAATTGTGATGAAGTGCATGCATGTGAAGTATGAATCCCGAATTGCAGAATTGTAATTCAGTCTGTCACAAGTCAAAAGTCGTCACAAGTCAATCACAAGTCGTCCGGTCGCAAGTCAAGTCATGTGACAAGCCATTCAAATGGACTGTGACAAAGAAATTCCTGTGCCATTGTTCAACGCCAGTTACTTGTGAGCTGATTTGTGATTGACTTGAGATTGACTCGATTACAACTGCTGAGTAAGTAAAGTAAGTAAAGTCTGTCACGAGCCAATGTGGCCCATCAGGACGGTGTTTATCTCCGGTTTCAGTAGCATGAAACGATTGAGAATGTTTGTACTCCCCCCTGGATGGGATGCTAGTCCATGGCAGGTTACTCCCCAGCTAATGCCGGTACCCATTTATACTTCTGGGTGGAAAGAGGCAAGCTGAGGTGAAGTGGCTTGCCCAGGGACACAACATACGACCAGCAGCTGGATTGGAACTCCTGACCCTCTGATCGTGAGACACGAACCGTAACCACTAGGCCACACTCCCCACATTATAACTGCTGATCTGGCTCTTTATTCCATATCTTCTGCCTGGCATTGCTCTCTGGACAGCACCTCAAACTCATCTGATTCCTGCCCATCCTCACTCCTATCCCCTTCCCCTCCCCCTCCCAGAGGCCCCAGAGGCTCGATGATATCGATACTACCACTCAGGGACATCCCTAACCCCTGCAGATGAGTGTCGCCATCCACGCTGCCCCCTGAGGCCGGGCTGGAGTCCCCCTCAATGACCGAGACACTGGAAGGGCTGTCCAAACCCGGAGCTGAGGTCACAAAAGGTTCTGAATCAGTGGATGAAGAGGGAGTGATGGAAGCTGAGACGGTGTCAGCAACCTCTCCCGACTTTGGCTTCTCCTTTCTGACTTTAGCTTCCTCTTCTGGTTCCATTCCCCCAACCATGCCTTTGTCTGCAGACAGTCCTTCGCCTTGGCAGCTACCACCTTTTGCTGCCGTCCTGTACTCACTGGCTTTCTGGCTTGCTTCTGACGGACCCTGTGTTTTGGCAGCCTTTCTAGAATTGGAGCGTTCTTCCATAGAATCCAGCTCTGAGTTGGGGCACTCTACTGGCAGTCCCTGAATCTCTGTTCTCTTGGATCTCAATCGCTCATCCGAAGCCGCCCGAGATACACCAACCCTGGATGGGGAAACCCTCCTACCCTGAACTCCGTCAAGATGGAGACCACGAGGGCGTTGCCCCCGGAGATCATCTGCATCATCAGATGAGTCATCACCGCCGGATACGTCGCCATGGTAGGGGGCGCTCAGGGCCCCGTGGGCACCCAAGTTGAGAGCCTGTCGCGGCTGGCGTTGCTGGAGAACATCAGATTCACTGCTGCCACGTGGTCTGCGCCTCACCCTGGCTGGTGGTTCCTCAGCAGCCAAAGGTTGATTGGGATATTGGTGACGCTGGTGTTGGGCTTGTGGAATATCTTGGAGGTGTCCCCCGTCCATGTATGGGTTCAGGGCCGGCATGGGTGCTGGTTGGGCAACTTGGTAGCCAACCTTCCGAGGGTACTGCAAAATTAAAAATTTAAAAAAAATTTCAATAGCAAAGTATACATGGTTTTTCATTACCTAAAATATGTTTTGGAAATCTTTTTCACAAAAATGATTTATTAAACTGCTCTTCCAGTTGTCAAAATGTTCCTACATTAATACATTAACAGGCAAGTTTTCTTACATTGCAAGAGTTGGTCTTTGACCATTTTAGTTACAATGTCGCATGCCCACAGCGCTCCCTAAGTGAGGCAAGTTCTGTGGAAATATCATTAAAAAAAACACACATATAAGCTTGCATTTTTGTAAAGCTCTTTGCTCAAAATGTACTATCAAACTTGAAAACCCTGCAACAATTTACATCTTGTGCAAACCAGTGGTACATTGCATGGAACTTTAAGCACCAGAATTTGTCATATGAAAATAGAGACATACGTGATGTAATTTTTACTGCTTGTAACTAGTTCTCATATATTTTAGCTTCATACATAACAATGTCAAGCAATACTTAAATGGAACCGCTACAAGTATTTTAGTTCTGTTGGCTCCTTGCCACTCAAGTCAATAAGAGGATACCGAATCCATACAAAAGTAACCCTCATTACTTCTATACTACATTTCTTGTTTTACCTCCAATTCTTGAAGCCTTTCCCGTCTCCGATCGATGGCGTCTCTTTCTCTCAACTGATCCTCCAATTGACGGACTCTCTCCTGAGCTGCAACATCTTTCCTCCTGCGGCCCAGGCACGGGCAGTAGTACATCGCTATGCATATGGTAACCACAATGACTGGCACTGTTAAGAAAGCCGGGATCCAAGCAAAGTACGGCAGATCCCTGAAGAGCTCGCGGTTGAAGTCCGCGATGTGCTTGCCTAAAGGTTTCAACGGCTCCATGAACATGACAGAGACAGTGTGGGAGATTGCCTATAGACAAGGGAAAGTTAACAACGTCTTAGACTTATGCACAGTTCTTTACTGTGATCCTACTTAAATCAGATTTTTGCAATTTGTAAAGTTAAGAATTGTTTACTGTTAACTACTTGTCTCTCATCCTCAGAATTACTGTCAGCCTAAATTTGACCACTTCTAATCAAATTGAACAAAGAAATTGACTGGGCGGGGTTTGAACCTCTAGAATACTGTTCCGGTATTCCACAGGTCGTAGGTTCAAACCCCACTCCAGTTAATTTCATTGTACATTTTATAATTGCTATATGCACCAAGAAAGTTTCCCTTTGCGATTGACCAATTATATCAAGTTGATAATGGTCTAGCATGACAGACCATTTGGGACCAGCCAGCTGGCAACCAAGGATCAATCGCATTACCAATAACCACACGATTGTGAGATATCACATCTAGCCGTAGTTTGAAAAGTCCCTAGAATGCAATCAATGCATTGTTTGTACAATGGTTTTTATTACAATCTATCCAAGCCTCCGCAAATTAAGTACCACAACAGCTGAATGGCTAGTACAGTCCACATTGCAAATGGTAGATGAAAACCTTCCCCTCCCCTAACTGACTCACACGTCCCCAGACCCATCCCCTCCCCTAAAACCACTCCCCTCCCTGCCCCCACCTTCTCCTCTCCATCTGTCAAATTCTACCCACCCTTGTTGGAGGCACTTCATAAATAGGATCCACCAGGATGTTCTCATGATAGACATCACAAGCGTCTTCCTGGAAGGTCAACTGTTTGCGGAAGACTTCCTTGATGGAATCCCACCACGTCATCTTGTCTGGCGTACAATGCGCTGGCATCTCTCTGTCTTTCTGCATGTTGGAAATCTTATGCGCCAACTCTTTCTATATTTTACCCGAAAAAACCCAAAACAGTTCTGTTATAATAGCCAGTCTGTGCTGATGGCACTTGTATAGAAATTTTGTGTAATTTCTTATTTATCGGTGAAACATGCAAGCAAATATTGCAGACTTTCCTACTTAAATTACTAGAGTTACTATGGAGTAAGAGCAGATGACATCAATGGAGAACTTGAAGTGTTCGTTGGACAGAAACACAACGGCGCAGTTTGCTTTTTCGCCGTCCAAAAATCTATCGAGTTAAATAATTGCATGACCACTTTAACAGATATTCTTTGCTTTCAATAAGTAAAGCCACATTGACAGTTTTGTAAAACTTACAAGATACTTAGGTCCCCCTCCCCCAAACAAAAATCTTAAGGGGGCTGGCACAGGCTTTGGCTGAAGAGAGGATGTTCCTCCATCATCCTACCAGTGGCATTACAAGGGGAGGGGATATGCCCCCTTTCCCCTGCCCAAGGCTTGAAGTCCCCTTGGAATTTGGGGAAGGCAACAAAAATAGATTTTTATTGTTAAAGACTCACAAAATGAGGCCCCAATGTTTACTGCAAATTAAATCCCTAAGAAGCCTAGTTTCTTCTGCCGTCTCACCTTGTAGAGGTAGATCCAGTTCCAGCCGACGCTGATGAGAAACAAGACAACAAAGACAGCACTAAGTTGCTGCCACCATGTTGCCTGCGTCTTGGACTCGAATACAATCACTATGACGCTGAGGAGAAACAGCAGGACATACTGGAGACAAGGAAACAAAATATCAAAAATTAAAAATCTAACAATAATGTGAACATATATAATTCACACATCCACCAGTATTGGTGCCCAAGGCACTACATCATTATTACCCCTACTCATGGGGCCTACATTCCAATAACCATCTCAACTCCCTCGGGAGTATACAGCTTGATGCTGTCACTTCAGCACAAAGCATTTTAAACCAAGCACAGTAATCATCCCTGTTCTCACAGGTACCCATTTACTCCTGTTAGGGCAAAGTGTCTTGCCCAAGGACACAAGCACATAACTCCCAAGGCTGAACTCGAACCCAGAACCTGCAGAACGGAAGTTACCCACAGCTCTTGAGTTTGATGCTCCCGACCATGAGGCCATATCATAATCAAAGAATGAGACGTGCCACATTTAAGCAAATAAGTTGAAACAAAATGTTCAACTCACAAATTTAATGTTTGTCGGATCCATTCCTGTCATCCTTTCCAGCCAGCCGGGTTTGTCTGTCATGTTGTCATGGCGAGCGCTGACCAGCATATCGTCCATCAGGTCATGAGCATCCACTAGTTTGACCTTTCCTTTCTGCTGGACAAACTGACGGAGTTTGCTCCAGCTGTAGGTACCAAGCTCCACTCGGATTTCTGCTTCAAGTGGAGAATCCTTGTCATCTGTGCTCTGAGGAAAAACAAACAATCAAACTTCCCGCTTTTAAATTTACAAAAATTAAACTTTACACATCTTTCAACTTTACAAATACGAAATTTTGAATTTCAATATTAAATTTTACATGCTATTAATAAATACCTTGGAGAGTTGATAGCTTCTGATTGGTCGAGACTCAATCACATGGGGGTGCATTAACGGTGATATAAAGACCGGCTTCAAGAACAAGCGAATATATGGACCCTGAACCAGCATTGATCCAGCATCATGTAAGCCAAATGGCTGGCCAAATTTACAACAGTTCTACGGTAGCTTGTAACAATACACTAGTACACATGCACTCAACTACTTATGCGCATGTACGTAACACAGTTGCTATGTTCCGGGTGCACGCTAGGGAAGTTTTCAAACGACCTGTTCGTACTGCAGTGTGTGGATGTTTACGACGAAAGCGTGGATCTATCTGCAATTTATTTTCTTTAAACACTTCGCCCACGGACATATTTACTTTCTCTAAACCACGCATCATTGTAATTCTGGACACAAGGAATAGTTTAACGAAACTTCAGCTTCCTCCATCAGGTAAAAATATGAAGACAAATTGTTGTAATTTGTTTCGCTACAGCAGCAGAAGTTCATACCCTGAACATCAGTGGTCGTGATGCAATAAAGAGGTCATCCAGCGCAGCCTGGACCCGGCAAGGGTGGTATATAACACACATATTGAAGAGTCATGGTACCACGCATAAGCCAAAATATGGCCACTAAACACGAACACAAAAAATCTGGAAATATCGCCGAAAGAAAAGTCACAAAATTGGAGCATTTTAACTGTTTATTTTGTTAAAAAGGTATTTATTAATGGGAATGACAGTGTGAGGACCCAGTCTTCACTGCGTGATAATGACCGGGTATGGGGGTGACCGCTGTTAATGGACAGAGCCTTCGTCTCGGTCCATTAACAGCGGTCACCCCCAACCCGGTCAATATCACGCAGTGAAGACTGGGTCCTTACACTATTATTCCCTAACTACAAAATGTATACATCATTTAATATTCAAAGAACTCCCCCCCCCCCACACACAAACACACACACCCCCACACACACCCACACAGACTTGTTTCACATACCTAGTGTGGACTTTCCTTTCTTTTCGTGTAGTTAAGGAACACCAGTGGAAAAACTCATTTTTCTCAAACTGTGAAAACTCTTACAACCCAATTTTTTTTCAATGATTCCCTTTAGTGTTTCTCTTCATTCTGCTACAGATAAACCTAACCCAAAAATGCCTCTAAACCTGTTTTCCAGAAATGGGGAAACACTGTGTGGACGTGGGCAAGTCCACACTTCGTCGCTGCTACCTACATTATGTAGACGTCTTTTGTTCGGAAGTCCACACTGCGTATGTAAGACAAGCTCACACACACAAGAAAAGAAATGTTTGGGAGATCACACAAAAAATGATGAACTTTTTCAGAAATTTTTTTTTCCGAAATTGAGGGGGAGGGGGGAACCATTGATGCACCATACAGTAGCACTGATAAATGGCAGCAGATATTCTAGACAATATTGAACATGCCCAACTCTTACCTCAGCAATCAGCAAATTGATGAAACGTTTGGCAAACCGACGGAAGAACATCTGTTCCAGTTTACAGGGTGACTCCAGCGATTCATCCGCTGGGGCCGGCATATTGATGTTATAACCCAACTTACAATCAGCTAGATCCTCCTGGCATGTGGTCAACTCCTTCTTGCAACTTCCCACCTTCTGTGGATCACACAAAAAGGAACGGAGGTTGCCAAGTCTTGCTTTGTCAATTGTAAAGATAATCACGCTACTATATCAGTGCTAGACAATAGAGTGGCTTTTTAGTGTGCATGCGTGTTCACCAGTTCTTGCCAATCAGGGGCCGATTTCATGAATTCTTTCGCAAAAACTGCTGTGTAGTACTTACTTAAACCGCTGGAAGGAAAAAGCTCACTTGAATATGTTGAAGTTGAGCTACTAGAATTTGGACTGGTCAGAGATGATGATATTTCCGCAGGTATACCAAGTACCGGTACCTCACTCACATGGACAGTCGGAAGTTGGTCAGGGAGACCTTCGAATGCCTCGATCGCAATATTAACATTGTTTAAAACCACACTGACTCATGTGTATTGTACACTGTACGCGTGTGCAGCGTGCTCAATGTATGGTAATGTGGCATTTTTCCTCCCTCAAAATATGTTTATCAGGTTTCATGAGGGAGCAGCTCATGTGTTCTCTTGGGGGTGGGTCATACCCTGATTATGAAGGAGGGTGTAATGCACCGCAAGGAAACAAAAGTTGTCTTGCCTTTTCGGTATTGTTTACAAGAGATTATTAAGATGCTCTTGGGGGGATGCGACAATATAGGGCATCATCACTTGAAAATTTGACTTCAACTTGCAACAAATATCTCACTGCTGTTATGCAAATTAGACAAACGAGGAGCCCCTGACCAAACCAATGATTATAACACATCTTGGTCTACCCACATTCCAAGTCTCAACCCAATTGGACTTACAATTCCGTAGATATAGGACTTAAAAATATGCACATTTGTGATGACATCACATGACCCCCGACAAAGATAAATCCCAAAAGTGGCGTGTACAAAAATCGTGTGCAAATTTCTATGGCATATTGGAACAAAAAAAAGAAATGAGAAGAAAAAAATCAGAAAAAAAAGAAGGCTTTTCGCAACTTTGCGGAAAAGCCAATAACATGAAAAAAGGTACACACAGGAAGACAGAAATTCTTACATCATGGGCCTCATTTTTATCATACATCGCATCAATGAGCGTCTTCTCATGGAAATCGGCCAGGTTCTGACGACACTGAATGAGATCCGTCCGACACTCCTCAATCAAAGCCTAGAAAGCAATTAGTTGGAATGTATTCACTTTCTGAAAGGAACAGGCTGGTCAGAAATTACATAAAATCCTTCGAAATTAGACATGAAATGGGAACAAGTGCTGTCCATATGTACAAAGCAACTGGCATTAATAAAATAATAATAAAATTACATTTATTATGCGCATATACCATATAATGTTCAAATGGGCGTTACAAAATCTGAACAGTAGCTAAAATATTGTCATTAATAAAGCAACAGGAAAGAAAGAGAACAAAATTTTAAAATTAGTCTTGTGCCACTAGTTTCCTTTTCTTTCATGATAAGTGTAGACAATAACTCAAGTCTCTAGTGAATGGCAAAAGTGGACTTTTTACTTTCACTTACCGAGTATTTTTTCTCATTCTTTGGGCTTTTATTCCGCATTGTCCTGGTGGATGGGTCAAAGTTCAGCATGTCGGTGTGATCCACAACATCTCGGCTGGGGGTCTCTTCCCAAAGAAAGTCGTCATTGTCTTGAAGAGGATCCCCAATGGACACTGATGCGGTTGCCATGCCAACCAGGATGATGAGAAGCCCAAGAAGCATCTGTTCAACAAATGCCTGCATTTCCAACACATTACAACAGCGCGATGCATCGATTATGATAAATGAGTAGACTGGATCTCGTTTGTAAACACAAGTGCATTTCCAACAGTGATAGGGAGTCGGGAACTAGCTTGAACTGGTTTCCGCTCATAAAAGCTGCCCTAGTTCCCGACTCCCTATCATCGTTTGAAATACACTTGTGTTTACGAGATCCAGTCTACTCATTATCATAATCGATGCATCGCGCTAGGTAAAGGAATGGCACTCGGGATACGGGGACCATTGAATGAATGCTGGGCACAACCACATCCCATTGTTCAAACGCGAGTCAGAAATTTAACGTGTTCACGATCGCAAGGGGAACTCTCGGAATTGAAGGGGAAATTTCACTTTTCATCCGGATCATAAGTAAACTTCAGTACAACCATCTTAATTATTTTGTACCTCAGGTGGTGTATTTAGTACTTTGTAGGCTATTTTGAGGGTGAAATCTGATGTTTTTGTCGGGCAATGTTGGGTTTTTGGGTCAAGAACAGAATTGTGTCGAGCAACAGCAGCGGTTTAGCTTGGACCTTACTATCGTCAGACCATGTCCGAATGTTAAAAAGGTGATAAGTTGGTTCCAAGCTACTCGGACTAGATTTAAACCAGGGATTTTTTTTAAGACACTGAAATGTGTACGTTTAAGGCAGATTAAAGTGTGATTATTTTCCATACAAAAAGGGGTGCAGAAACACAATTGAAATGCTCAAAACTCAGAATCTTTGTCTTTATTCATGCTTATTTCAATAAATATATGGCAGACGGCAATCATGATTTCAAAAATTCTGATATTTGAATTTCGGAAAAAATGTTGTAACCTGACGCTAGGTTTTCTTCATATATCATCTCAATGAAGGTCATTCATTGCAAAAATGATGATAAGAGTTAAGACATAAATCTGGCACTGAGAAATATTTCCAATTTGTTAGGAAATACTCGGAAAATTGTCTTGACTCTCCATAGACTTTGTACACAATCACACTCACAGAAGTAGCGGTCCAGGTTGCAAAATTTTCCTGAGTTTCAATAGAACAGTATGAATGTGCCAAAAAATCAAGATTTTAATCACAATTTCCTATTCAGAAAAATGGGTCACCAAATGAACAGCGCCCTCACACATTTTCTAATGCGGATAAACAATGGCACTTTGTTGTGAACCCGTCATTCCCGTCTTTTATTAAGATTAACTTATTAAGAGCATAAAATCCCTGACTCACCTCAAACATTGAGTCAATGTTGTCCTTATGTTTAATCCTTCTTTTTTAAAAGTAACTAAAATACGCTGTTAAAACCAAGAATAGTTGAAATCACTTACCATTCTCGATTGTGAGAATTCGAGAAATCGGAAGTCCCTATGGAAAATTTCTCTATACGTACGTAAGTCTGGTGCTCTTGCTATCCAGTGTACAGAAAATGTGGTGCTGGGACTGGGAACCATGCAGGCAAGACGTGTTTACGTTTTTGGTTTGTTTACCTTTTACTTATTTTAGACTCCTCTTCAGCGGTTATTTTGATTTTAGATGTATACATTCAGACTCGGGAATTTATAATCAGCACGCAGAGAAAATTAGATTTCATTGAAATTGATTAAGAAATATATAATAATACAGGCTAAGGCTTAATTGAAAAAATTTTATGTTTTCACTGCATTATTTAAACAAAAATATCCCAAACCACGACCGGTAATAACACAATCACAACCACCAGATGTTTAGATTTAGCCGACGACTATTAAGTGTTTCTACATATTGGGCAATGTTGAAGGGGGTGGGTCATATCCTGAATATGAAGGAGGGTGTAATGCACCGCAAGAAAACAAAAGTTGTCTTGCCTTTTCGGTATTGTTTACAAGAGATTATTAAGATGTTCTTGGGGGATGCGAAAATATAGGGCATCATTACTTGAAAATTTGACTTCAACTTGCAACAAAATGTCTCACTGCTGTTATGCAAATTAGACAAACGTGGAGCCCCTGACCAAACTAATGATTCACGGTGTTTGGAACCAGCAAGACGATCACATAAAAAGTCTAATGAACTTGAAATTCCAAAAATTCACGCTCTTGCGGAATTGGATATCTTATTTTGTAACGCGGGAGGAAAATTCTTGAGAGGTCCGTCAAAATAGAGATGTGCTGAAATTTTAACTTTGAGCTTTGGAGAACCGGAGGACGCCTCTGTACAGAAGAAGATGATAACATCTTAGAATATTTTTCTTGCGGCTAAAAGCCACTCGATCGGTTCTTGCGTTGATTACGAGAATAATAAAGGTCAAAGCTTTCCAGTTGAGCTTGGACGGTGTTTGCGAACATTATCACCCGCGGGATAATCGATGCGGATTGCTTGTACTTTGAAGTTAGTGGGCGGTTCTAATCATAGCTTTGCGGCGGGCGGCTGTACTTTCTTATTCTCGTATCTTAAAGATCTTGGGCGGGAAACCGTGTTGTTTATCAGGGCACTTGAACTTTGCCGCATATTTGGCCTGTTGACTTTCACCTCATTCCTTGACTTTCATCTCTGTCCATTCAACCGTTCCGATCTCTTTTTAAATGTCCAACTTCCAAGTATAGAGATCCAGTATACGTCTTTATAGGGTGGTTACAGTGTTAATTGAAGTATGCATCTAGAGACAAATAAACTTAATAATTAAGTAACAATCAACTGAGTGTTCAGGCCCTTAGGCGGGGTGGGGGGGGGTCGGACAACTCCCCCCCCCCAAAAAAAAAACCAAATCGGCCGCAGGTCCCCTTTTCCCTCTCGATCGACATTTCAGTTTTTACTCAAATGTGTATGTGCACGGAATGTACTGCACGACCCTGATTTTGCAATATCTTATGGCCTTATTCATTCGACAATACTGAGACGAAAGGCTCCCCCCCCCCAAAGAAAGCAATCCTTGCTCATACGTGACTCCTTAATAATCAATACGTCCCCGCAGTCTGAGCCTGTAGGCTTTCATCGCGCACAAGACGAATCAAATCCAGTCTTAGGATCAATGGCACCCGGACCCAAGAAAATCTGAGCACATATCACGCACACACGTGGGTCGTGGGTCTCGGTGCCAACATTCCTAAGACTGTAGGTTTAATAAGATAGGTTGTTCGCGGTAGCACCACGTGATAAACATCTTTTGTGTATGTGTGGTTCTGAAAAGGACTGGAGGGAACTCAACGTTTCTGCCCTTCGTACCCGACAGGAGACTATATGGGTTTGTACTTTGTTTCAATTTGTAGACTATTATAGCATTCTCACCGCAGCAAGCTCCCGCGTTATACGGGATCCGGCTGTATAAGGGAAACAATCAAATTCAGTCTTGGATCAGGATTCGTAAGCGCATGATCTTCCTTTCCCGATCCCATCCCATCCTAGTCTATGGAATAGACCATGGCGAAAGCCATACAGGAGAACTGGGCTCCGTGGATAACGGATACTCAGACTATAAATCCCGTTTTCTTCGAGTACATGAATAATTCCTGTGTTATTGTAGCATGAGTGGTTTGCGTTGCAAGCCGAAGGTGTCTCATCTCCCACTTCAATGTATAATTCCTTTTCTTGGAGATTTTCATGGATTTTTTAAATCACAAATTTCATATAAATGTCAGATTCTTGAATAGCTTCCGTTTAAACACAACCAGGCTCTCAGAGGGAGTATAAACCGAGTCGAGGGTTTCAATATTCTTCGAGTATTATTTCAAAGATCAAAAAAACAACACTTTATACGGCGCTCGTATAATTCGTCTGAACAAAAAATCACATTCGGCGAATGGTAACTTACGCTACATCCTATACGAGCTAGTCGCTAAAAATGAAAAGGATAAACTACATGCAGACTTATACATATTTTGATTATTATTGTAATCCCAACAACTTGCATTTATAAACATCCATTACTGAGAATCTGGCATCTTCACGGACAAAATAAGACAGAATCTTTAAGGTCGTTGAATAATGTTTGTCCCCTGCCTCCGAAGAAAATTGACCAACATGGTTCAATAACCGTCACAGTTTCCTACCAGACACCGGCGGACTATTGCCCCGTCAATTCTCGTTTCGGTTTCGATGGAAGCGCAAGGGAATTCAACGATCTGTGGCATGGAGGTGGCCAACTTACTCATCCTTTATTCTCTTGAACTTCAGACCGGTTTTCCGGAACGGGTTTATGTTATTGTCTGCTGCAAATCTAGACACATGGACTTACAAGCGATGGCCCATCGCCAAAATGAATGGGCAACATACTAGTCTATATCAAGCGTCTATGATATGCGTGCAGATTACTCACACTGCATCTTGATCTCCAGATTCAGACCATTCAGCGCGGGTGCCTTCTATCTTCGGTATAAGTAACCCTTGTTGTATTGAGGGAAGCAAATTGACAAATCAACAGCTTAGGCTGAATTTCTGCTCGAAATGACGTCACAATTTCTAAAGTCGACTCCGATTGGCTGGCGCGCGGGTCGCTTAAAATTTGCACGCACACATGAATTATATCAGACATTGTTGCGGAGCGTGCGTGCGGGCTCCGTAGAATTATTAACGAATGATACTCAGTCTATAGCAAAGTACCAGGGACTATTCTGAATTCCACTCTAACATGCGTATGATGTCATCAGTCCTTTAAAGAGAGATGCACAACATTACCTCACTGAGGTCAAATCTCGTAAATATGTGAGATGTGCTTGATGTGCTATTTGCTATTAAAATTAAAACATCGATTGCAAATTCCTAATTAGTATTTATTTATTTTTTACAATAATGGGGATACTCCCTTCCTGACCATTAAATGCACCATTCCACTCAAAAATGTCCAAGCCTTCCTACGGCTCCGCCCACAACCTTGCGAACTGCCGTGCTTCGCTATTACGTGCCTCCTTCATTTCACATTGCAAGTTTTGTATGCAACCAAATCATTGGAGCGTGTATTTATAAGTTCAAGGCACAGGTATAGGCATGGGCGTCGCCAGGATTTTTTGTAGAGGGGGGCAAAAAAAATTTTGCCAAAAAATGCTTGTATTTCTCAACACATTCTCGATTTATCAGTTTTAGAGGGGGGCAGGGACATTTTGCCCCCCCCCCCAACTCATTAAATTTACACCACTTTGTCTTCGCTCCTCTTTTTCTTTTCTTTTTTTTCTTTTCTTTTTCTTCCTTTTTATTTTTTTTTATTTTTTATTTTCCAGGGGGGGGGGGGGGCAAGTGCCCCCCCCCTCGCGACGCCCATGGGTATAGGTAGATCGTCTCAGATAATGCCTGATCTAAGATAATCCTGCCCAAAACGCCTGAAATGAATACATCATACTTCAATGACCCAGAGTTCATTATGTTTCTCCCGCCGCATCCGCGGATCAATTTCTGGAAAACTGTTCTACCGTTAACCACAATCCAACCGGGAGAAATTACAACGCAACTGGAAATGATTTATTAATAAATCAAAATATGTCTATTTCGAGAACCTTTGGCCCCGGGGAGCCCACAAGGGAAAAAGTCACGGTAAGACCATGGGTGGGAATATTGAACCACTCGGGGATTGGGAAGCTCAGGCTTGATCAGCCAAAACTCAGAAGGAAAGATATTACTAGTGGGAATCACGTCAAGTTCATGGGGTCAGGAACAGTGCGAACCGCAGCTTGCAGAAAAATGACCATGAAAAAAAAGATGACAATCTTACAATGGGGACAATGTTTTCAGTGAACCCAAATAACCTGAATAAGTGTGGCATAAAATAGAGGAAAGTTTTCGGTTAACACCATGTGGAAAGAAATCTCTTCTTGGAAGAAGTGTGGTTCTGAAAAGAACCGGTTGGTTGAGAGTGTAACTCGACGTTTAGGACAGAGTGCTCTGAGGACGGACAGAGCACACTGTCTGAAACGTCGAGTTCTACCTCAACCAACCGGTTCTTTTCAGAACCCCACTTCTTCCAAGAAGAGATTTCTTTCCACGTGGTGTTACCCGCAAATTTTCCTCTATTTTATCTCATCCGCCATGCAAAGCTTCAAGTCACATATAAGTGTGGCAACGTTTTTTCTCAACATAGATCGTATTAAGAGGAGCTAGGCCATGGCTGTAACCATTGCAAAACCATGTGCTGCTTGACTTGAATGTTAGTGCCTGGAAAATCTCACCAGAACTTCTACAATTCAGCCTGACACCTTTCAGTTCACAGATGTGGTCAGTTATCCGCGGGTGGGGATCTTGGCTCGGACACTCCGAAAACAAAACTTCACAAACTGAATTCCAGCAGAAAAGTGAGACATTCCTACTTTCATATCCTGTATCTCAAACCGCAGACTCCACTGTGTATGGGAAACGAGACAGATGACCATTTGATATTTTGAATTCAAACAAAATTATTCATATGTTTCTGATTACTACTTCCTGGGGAAAAAAACACAAGTCAGATTCGACTATAAAACACGCAGTCCCATAGCACCCAGCTGATCGACTTTGTAGACAATAATAGAGGTATGTTTGACTATTTTCTATAGTCAAAAATAAGTGTGGGTGTTAGGGTTAGAAGCAGTAAATTGGCGCATGCGCCCAGGACTGTTCAAATGTTCACGTAGGAGGTACAGGCGTTGAGGGTCACCGCCAGAAACGGAATACGTATCTGATGATTAGACGTCAGGTGGAAGATACACGGGGGGCAGGTGCACAGGAAATCAGCCTGAAAGGCAACGCTTTCCGGCGCTGTATCGTAGAAAAACATACGGAAGATAGACAAACGGACCTATATTTGGGTGTCTTGAGCCAAGACCACGAGCATCATCAAGTCAAATGAGATGAGATTAATGTGATATATCAACCTTCAGTGCAATCAATGCCAAACGCACAGTAGATAAATATCTCATTTTAAGCGTATGAAAGTTAACTGACAGATTGCAATGATGGTCGGTGTCTGTTCTCGGTATTATTGAAACACCCACACTTTTGGTCTTTTAAGCCGCAAAAAGTATGATGACATCGTTTCTACGGAAATGCCTCCGAGTCGTCCATGTCACGGAGCCTCGCCACTCAACGTACTGCGCATGCTCTCATCTCGGCCAATCACCTTCCAACAACCGTTTCAACCCGTGACTGTATGAAAACCTAAAGAATGACCAAAGTCGAACTGTATAAGGAGTACACCATTCAGCAACTTGATGCGAGAGCTTTTACACCGACTTGCTATCAACTGGTAATTACATGACAATTTGAGAGTTGTTTTGGGGGCAAAAAGGTGCGCTTCTTGACTCGGGATGAAGTTCTTCATAGTGTCCCTGTTGTTGGTGCTATGCGCTGATGTTCTGGTAGTTTCAGCAGCCTTGGTGAGTAAACACATTAAACACGACTGGTCTTAATATGACGGTTCTTAATTGGTAAAATGATACCAGTACCTTGACAAAATTAAGACGAAAAGAAAGTTTTGCTTTATGTTCCTTTCCATGTACTTCAGGGAAACGGTAACGAAAAGCAATTCCTCTTTTTCTGTGAGGTCAAAATGTCTTATTGTTTTGAAAAATGTTGAGTTATTATTTTTTTTATTGTTGTTGCTAAATCATTCTGCAATCTTATCTGATGTAGGCTTCGCTTTAAGCAGTAATTGCTCAAAGAGAGGTACTGGAGATAATTGTTTCCTGTCATTTAAATACTTGTACTTTCCCTGGTTTGTCCCTCATACTATAAGATGCCACGACCTTTTTAGAAAAACTAACAGCCACACTTAACAGTTAAGTGTACACCAAATTGAATACTCGCCTTTCCTCTTTGAGGTTGCTCGGTTTCAAATACTTCACACAGAAGGCGCAACGGATAACAGATCAATGAGCCCTGCCCGTGGGCCGAACACGCGCCCGTAAATTTGCAAGATTTGACGGCGCAAGACTTCTGCCGGCGCACGCTCCCCACGCCTCGGGTTCCGTGAACAACAACACGGTCGCACTCTATTCTGGTTCCAGAGGTCGATCTGATGCATCGATTTGGGAATGTCTAAACATGCATGGATGAGATAAACAAGTGCTGCGACAATTTTCAATCGATTGTTCCCCGAAAAATGGATATTGTTTTATGACATGGACTTCAAACAGTGACGCTTTGCTTTCCATATGGTATTGTGACGTGAGACTATAAAATATAAGTAATGCCGAAAAACAAATCTGTTGTCAACCCCCATTTGAAGAATGACCACATTTGAATCCAAGTGCCCACAGACCAGTGAATAATCGTCATCAATTTTCCGTGAAACACCCGTGACTGCAATGATAAATTTGCAACAGTTGCTCTTTTGATATAAACCCTTGTTTTATAGCCCACTTGTCCCCATTTTCCTTCGATTTTCGACGAAGTCATTCGGGAAAACAGATTCAACAGGTTGCTATCACATGTACTACATGTCGTAGCAAACATAAGCTGTTATAATAAATCGTAGTATTTTGTTACAGTTCAGTTTGTTTAAATACCTTATGCGATGCATATCTTAATTTAGAGGGTTTGTTGTTGTTATTCTAAAGAGAGTAAAAATGAATGCACAATATGTTTACTCATGCCGATCCAAGCGAAACAAAACTATTGCCCTCCGACTCCTCCTTAACGCATAATGTCTATTCTGATCAGTAGTTTGTACGACCATAGTGGGGAACATCACTTTCACAACACCCCCATTCAACATAGTTGCCAAGGTTTTCGTCTGATGAATTCATCTATTTTGTTTGGCATCGGCTGCGACATTATCTTAAATTACATATTCCTGGCACACATGTTTCTGAGGCAATGTTCCTCCTCTAATATCGTCACATTTTACCGCCATTCCCGACGGCAGTTTAACAGCAACCACGTGGAAGTTTGTTTTCCAGAGATCGAAATGATATAGTTCTTAATAACACATTATGAGAAACGTATATACACACGGATTCGATTTATGCCAGCAGCCTAGTGATTGGACATGCTCTGGTTGTTGAAGTTCATGTGAAGAAACTTGACGAGCATGAAGGCTTTTCACAGAATGCTTGCATCTTAGTCTCTTGACCCGGATTCAACCGTAACATTTGTGGGTTTATATAGACGACTTCTTTTCTGGCAGTTCCAGGAAATGTTGTCGTAGAATTCTATGTTAATCTCAAGAGAGGGATTAGCAATGTGCTGTTTTTTGGGGGGAATAAAGTTTAAATAAATACATGAATACTTTCAGGTCTTCGTGAAAGAAAATTGAATCGTATACTTCACACTTGGTCACTTGTTACTCATTATAGGTCAGAAACACAACACCGCACTTGCACACATGACTGACCCAACAACAAGACTTAATCATTTCATAAATTGTAAATTAAAAAGAAGATAACACAAATCAAATTGCTTTCCCCCTGGGAGCTATAAATACCAGTTATTGTCGGCCAGCACCGATAGACACTAATTGATTATGATGGCGGAGGGAATTGCAAAGCGTTGCCTTAATTTGTGACTTCACTCGGACTCGCCGAACATTGAACCTGTTATTTTACGACTGTCGTGGGAAGATGAATTAAAGTGCAACCCGTATGTGATTGAGCGTGACAGTCCAGTGTTAGAGGCCGGTTCAACTTTATTATTCATCTGGACTTCAAGGAAAAGGATACGAGTTGATTTCTAATTAAAGGTGGAGAAGTTATCTTCGGTTACTTGGCAGCTCGGCAGGGACAATACTGGCGCACGAACTGCACAAAAGTGGCGCACATTGTATCACCATTTGGGTGTCTCTTTCAACAATCAGTCCTGACATTTGCAGGGACGAAAATAATGACGCCAACCGTGTCACTTTAATTATTGTGTCCTTTCTCTATGCCCAAGCACCCCCCAGTTTAGGTATTGTAGACATTACTCAGGTCTACGGAAACCAGGAGTTTTATTTGGGGCACCAGTGTCCAATCTGGCCGCCGTATTTTAACCAATTTCCCCCGATGTCATGTCTTGAAGTTTCCTTTACATCTCGCACGTTCAGGCCGTACATATATGCAGACTTCTGTCGCCACCGTTGTTCAAAAATCAAGCCCTTATAGCTCAAAGATGCTTGCGAAAGAATTACTCTTTGAAAAGTCAATCACCGGTCGTTGAGTGTGTCAATGTCCTCAAGATATTGTAATTAAGGCCACATCTTTGAGGTTATCGTGACTGATAAAAACTGATGAATCCTTGGTAACTAGGGAAGGCAATTAACAAAGAGGTCATTGCTCCATGACGTAGAGGCTGCGTTACGTTAGTTAAAAGCATATACTAAATCGATAACGATGATCATGTGCAAACTATCCAACAAATACCAAAGACTCATACATCAAATTAATCATCTTTAAAAAATACGAAAAGTTTATTTTTTTTAATTTTATATCTTCGGACAATAATTAAAAATCTATTTAAAAGAAAAATTAAAATTGTCCTGGTCTAGACAAAAGTTTGTAAAAACTGTCATCAAAGATGTGTCAGACCAAAAGAAAAATAGAAAAAAAAAGTTATACAGTATAAATAATGACTATATGATCAATAATAATAATTTAAAAATCCCATAAAAAAACCCACCCAGAAAAAATATCAACAAACAAGCAAATTATAAACAAACAAACAAATACGCAAAAAGGGCAAGTATAAGCAGAACCCAGGAGAAAGAAATTTACGCAAAAGACTAAATACCCAATAAAATACTAAAGATGTAAAAACCGTAATGTTCCAGTTTTGTTACACCATTTTCTTCTCCATGTAACTGATAATATAGAAGACGATCCTCAAAATGAAAACAGACGATCAATTTTAATTTTGGCTGATTTAATTTGTTGATTTTCCGGTGGGGAGTTCTGTTCTTATTATCATCCCTATCTTTATTCATGCGTACGCGTACTCCATCTCTTTTTAATCCCTGTGATTTCGCACTTATCTTTTCTCAAGAGACCGTACGTAGTCGTAATACGCTAGGGCCTATAGACCGCGTTGCAGCAAACGAGACAGTTATAGTATCTTAGCTTAGAAAAAATGTGCATTGAAAAGTATGAGATTTCGGGAAATACAATATAAGATCGGCACAATAATTCGCGTTTACATTTGAGCCAAAAAATAGGCCTGTAAAAATATCGATCAGACCAAAGCTTGAGCAAAACGTTTACATTATTCATATAGAAAGAACCTTTCCCCCTAATATCATTGTATAGGTAGGCCTACAGTTGCACCAATGCGGCGGATTATGTACAATATGTAGCAAGCAAGTTAATTTAGGAAGATACCAATCGGTGATAACTACATGCATGTACCTTTTTTGTCTTTGACAACAGCCTTACGTCCAGTACTGCCACACCGACATGGACTGTAGGTGGAACATGTTTGGTCGTCGTTACTGCCTGGGCTGGGAGTGTGAGCGGTACTACCAGATGACTCCTTGTACTAAGGACTCGGATTGTAAAGGCCGACGAGGCGGGAACAAGGTCTGCAGGAATATGTACTGCAGGAGCACTCGGTCAAGTGAGTAAAATAATGAAGGGTTTGAAACAGGTCAGAAACCCAGACAAAACTGCTAATGTGTGCATGCTCAATATGACGTAAATAATTTGAAAAGGACCGGTGTGTTTGCTGCCACCAATCGTCTCGAAAGTCTCCCATTATTCACGATTTCTGTACCAACAGTAAATACTTTCTAAAAGATTTTAAAACCAACATTCCTACGAACGGTGACGCCAGGGTAGACATGAAAAAAGGCATAAAAACCTACCACCCGTAAATTTATGGCACAGTTTCGATGTAACGCTAATTTTCCAGATATCAATTTTTTTTTTCGAGGATTTAACAAAATCAGTCTTTTGTTTCAGGACGGTGAAAACTGGAAATGGTGGAACTTGGAACGTTCGTCAAACATTAACGTAAGTTAAAGTGTAAAAGGTTTTTGGACATCATACTGAAACCTTTAATTCCTGATTGTGAAACTGCAATAGAGTCAACATTTTTGTCCGCATTAGAAACAAAAGAAGCGATATTCGTTGATAAAAAGCGATGACCAAAGCACTTTAAAGAACGTAATAGCACATCAAACAATGATCACTGTTTTGCAATGCATCTTTCAGTACTGAGGCCGATGGCATACTATTTTCTAAAACCGACAAATCTTGACAGGAAATACTCCTCCCTGATCAGTTTGACATTAATTGTTTTTTTTTTACATAGAGCATAACACTAACATCTTCGCAACATCCCAAATGACATTTACATTCATGTTGAACTCATGTTTTCCCGCTTTGTTTATCGTCACAGAATGATTGGCGCCCGTACGACAACAGCTCTATACGGTAACACGACATCCAGCCAACCACACCACGCCCTTTCATTGACCTCTATTCCTACGCCCGATCTATATTTAGCAACTATGGTTGGTGATTTTTTTTTTTTTGTCTCCAAAACATATTATGCCTCTGAGTTTAAAAAAACAACAACATAAGATTACCTTTAATATTCAACTCCATGCCTTGGGAATAATAGACGAGTACTCAAGCGAATGATTGGAGGGGGGAGACATAATTGCAATTTATCGAGTGATCTTTGGCAGATGTGTGCATATATTCTTGCGAGGATCTTATTTCGCGAATGTAAGTTATTGAGTATTTTGATCTGGGTCTGTAGTAGATTTTCTTTTTAATGTCTTTTTTGTTGATATAGGCTTGGATTGTTCGGACCACGCTATGAGTCCATGATGCACGATGTATTGATATAATAATGTAAATAATAGTCACATCTCTTGGTGTTCGTTTCATGTTTTTTAAACACTAAAAAAAACCTATTAGGACTGTTTTGTCACTGGAATCCGATCTATTAATTATTCAATTATACAAAAAACTGTATGGAAGTAGCATTCATGGTAAATACGACGCCGGTTATTCTTCAGCACGAACTCGAATGTTAGTGAAAATGCCACGAAATACTTAACACAATCTATATGCATACCTGAGGCTAAAACACATCCGTCCACTTACGAGCGGTTAGTGTGTGTTTTAGTCTTTAAGCTATCTGGAGGGGTATCTTTTCAGTTTCACCGCACAAAAGAAAACGCCTTTGGACGTTAAAGTGATAAAGATGATGTTGCTGGATTTGAGGTCATAATTAGTAAGCAATCGATATTGTGGAAACTTGCTATATTTTCTGCTTTGTAATGAGTTATATGAGTTAGCTGTTGTACGAAATAAGAATATCCTTGTCTATTGTTAATAAACAGGTTTATTTTCGAATTAATGCATCTATAAATAATTGATATAAAACAAAACAATTAAAAATTCCGGTGAAATTCACTCCCTGATACCTGGTGATGTTTTTTAATATGACAGTGAAATGTTTACGACACAGTGCCTACGGTGAAACTTGTTCCCCTTATTTTCGCAAGAAATGTAGATACAATGGAATAGGAATTCCAATTTCAAATCGCCAACGTGTTGTGTACCTCATTCAGCTTTGATGTATTCAATGTTCAAGTCGTAGGCATTGCTACCCCGCAGGGTAACTTCATAAAATTGTCAAAAGTATTGCCAGAGATTTGACGACACCAATTCCTCCACCCCCGCAAAATGGGCTTCTTTCATTAAAAATAGTTCGTGTAGAAGGGCCATGCGTGGTTCTATACCACAATTTCATGTTGTGAGTGACAGCATATTACATCAACAACCGTAAATTCCCACTTGGGACCCGATTCACAGATTGAATCTCCTTGAAACGGATGGTATCTAGTCGTGATTAATCTCTGTCCCCTGTTGGCAAATCTTGATAGGCGACAGCGCGTGATTTAAGGCTTGGTGAATGAGCGGCCGCTTCCCCCGAGCAACATCAGACGCACGCAGGCGTGCACCAGGTTATTTCTCGAAATAACGACAATGAGGATTCTGATTAAAATCGTAGTCTAAAGGATGCTCACAGCGAGGCTCGCATACAAAAATAGTTTGGTTCATTCATCCGACAAATGAAGCAATACATGCAACTATATCCTTTCAATAAGGTAAGTTGTTGCGGTAGCGCCATGTGGCAAAATCTGACGACGGGCAGCGCAAACTGTCCGAAACGTTGAGTACCCTCCGGTTCTTTTCAGAACCACACATACTCACAAAAGAGATTTTGCCACATGGTGCTACCGCCACAACTTACCTTATATTACCCTTCATCATGCACACCTTCAAATCTCATAATTCAGAGAACTTGAAATTTGGGGGAAAGGATATGTGCTTGAATGCACAAACAAGTAGTCGGTCGTATAGGACAATTACTATGGCACGCCACCCGACCACAAAACGATTGAGTTACTGGTCATCTGTTTATGAGAATATTGTTGGTATTTTTGCTGGTCACAGAGGCCAGCATAGTGCCCCCTTTGTACCTGACTGACCGACTTACTGACTACCCCACTGACTGACTGACTATCACTTGTGCGCCGGGCAGTGCTATCGTATAGGAGTACCACCTAACGCCAATGGATCAGTGGCCCATCGTGTAGATAGACTCGATTATTAAATAAAAGCCTTCCAGTAAAGCGGCTATGCTGAATCGATTGAATAATAGTGTGCACGCTGGGACCAGCTTTAATAGCGTTGACTTGTTTTGTTCTACTGTTGGTAAAATACTTGCAAAATTCTCTTTGCTTAAACATCAACATATTGGGCATTCCCAACGAATTTTGAAGGGTAATCTACAGGTCATTACACTGAACACAAAATAGGTATCTCTATAATGAGTGATTGATTTTTCCTGCCGAGGCCTGGCGAGGGGGGAAAATGTACTAATTTAAGACCTACAATGTATACGATCGAAATCGCCTAGGGACAACGGCCAGCGCACAATAACCTGTCCTTCAACTTGAGTTTAAAACGGGAATGTCTCCTTTTTTTTTAATTAGAAGGGAGAATGGAGGCAGTTTGCTTGGGATCTGACAGTAAAACGAAGGCTTCAAGGTTCAAATGAGCTATATTGGTGAATTGGTCCATGAATTCATCCTCAGGAGCGGGAAGAGGCGAAACTAATTCGGCGAACATGATAAGCTAGCTTCTCATTTTCTTGCTGTTAAACTCACAGGGAGACTGACAAAGCTGAGGTTATTTCACTAATTTAAAACAACAAAGAGCGTGTTTTTTAAAACATAAATTAGCCCATAATTATATCAACACGATGAACATTCATGCGTTTTAATAAACCTTTTTTAAAGCAGATGTGTGACTAGAATTACGACCATCAGCACTTTAACCGCTCGATATTTTGAAGGTCAAATTTTAAGGTGTGGTTGTGTGGACGTTTATACTCTATTTTCAAATGCTCTTTCCAGTTGATATCATTTCGTGAAAAGAAGATGTTTTACAGCCCAATTGGGCGCTCCCATTACGCAGTGTCCCTTAAGGTTGCCGAATCGAAACATTATTTCATCACCTTGACCATCAGCAAGCCAATGTCATACAGGGCGAGTCAAAAAGAAGGTGTTCTAATAAGAACAAATATGAAAAAAGAATATATGTGGCTTGGTTCATTTAATAAAAATAATGAAGGGATTAAGTACATATTATTGACTAGTAGCTGTAAAAAAAATCACATTATCTACATACTATATTCGCAAGTTTTGTATATTTACAAACATCACAACATTCAGCTGTCCACCAGTGATCATTTACCGTTGACATGTACAATGAAAACATGGCGTGTTCTTGCTTTCATGAATATTGAACGAACATTTGCACTGGAACAAACAAAAATTACCAACATTATTTCAGATTTTTTTTTTCATATTTAAAACACAAAATAATGATTCAGTCGACAAAAATTCTGTAAATCTCATTTGTATCTTAATGCCTGTGTGTAATTTCTGGTTCTTACTCAGCTCAAAAGCTTCAAATGGCATTCTATGTGGACAGCTGTAAAAATGAATTATTTTAGTAAAATATGCATAACTTCTCATTATAGCATGGATCAACTTCAGTAAGTCTTTTTTTTTCTTCAAATGAGTGGAAGAGTATACTCGTTTGATATATGCTTCGTTGGTGTGTCAAATTTAATTGCTTTTTGAGGGAAGAAAATATATAATCCAGGTCACAGATTTCTTTTTGACTCATCCTGTATTATGGGGCGACTGACCAAGGCTGTAATTATGACAGACTACTTATGAAACTAAAAATCTGCATTTGATATCGCACCGCTGTTTCGATGTTTGCTGACAGATCTAATAGTGTAAATGGAATGCATCATTGCAGTATGGAAACTAATCTACAGATTTACAGACGATAAGCGTAGTGAACTTCTCATCAACGAAAATGGTAAGAAAGAACGAACTGAACCTCCATGCACGATATAGTACTTACAATGTTATACGGATTTATTATTACATTATTAAGAATACATTGTTACATGAAAAGTACCAAAAAATTCATGATACAATTTATTGTAATACAAAAGTGAAGTATAACATGGAAAAACATCAGAAATGTACATGTACCATGTTATTTTTCTAGTGCTGGAATGACTGGACCATTTAGCCTAAAGATAATAGGTGTGCTCTGCCAAAGTTGTGACAACAATTAATTGAAAGTTCCCAGTTCAATTAACAATTTGCCGGATTTAGGGGTCTTTTTTTACAATTTGTTTTGCACTATACAAGCCGATTTTTTTTTATTGGTTGATGGGTTAGTTGGCAATGAGGGACGTACAGTAGTGATTTGGGTTTGATTCCAGATAGTGGGAATAAATTCAAGGCTCTTATTCCAAATCATAGTTTTAAAGGCGAGAAAGTCAAAGCAAGCCAATTTATCTCGCACTTGCCATTTGTGGGACTTCCTTCAGTTTCAGTGAAACAATCAATGCCACTTAATTTATACAACCCAAAACCTAGACTAGACCCAAGTCGCTTTTTTCTCTTGGTTGTGATGGCAGTTGTAATGGCAGTGGGTGCTGTGGATATCAACTTGAGTCCGACTTGAGTTACGTCTATACCAAAACCTGACACCCATTTTCTCCTCAGTCTCCCACGTAGTTACAGAATAAACGTATATTGGGTAAAACAGTTATGTAGGCCTATACATTGACTGCACATAACGAGAGAATGTCATACTGGAAAATGTTCATGAAAAACTGTTCTGAAATGTGTTATAAGACGTGCAGTTACAGTGATTCATATCTCCTCAAAACCATTTAGGCTACATGTAGCCATGGTTTATCATTTCATTGACATTTACGAAGAGAAGACTTGCAGAAATATGTTGTTCTCCACATTCAGGATAGCATTAGACCATCATTACACTAGCTACCGATATGTGCAGCAGTATTTACGTCAAACACGTACCCGTGCAATGTCTTATGATAACACTGTATACTTGCGAAGCTCATCAGGAATTTTCAGCTTGAGAAAGGTCTTAAAGTGCATGACAACTTGCTGAGCAAGTTAGTATATGTTAGTACTGACAAGTTAATGTACAGATACAAAACAAACTATTTTCTGAGAACCAGTCAACACCAATGAGGTAGCATTTGGTTGGTAACTTGTCCTTGCTAAGCTGAGCTTTAGTGTGCTTAGCCACATTTTTGTCCTCAGATGTTCCATAAAATTGGTAACTGGACTTTTAATCTTCAAAACATACTGTTCCACAGCGGTTTATCCGAGGTTGCGCTCCGCGAGTACGAGTACTTCCTCGACTGCCCGTCACTTGCGTAAATTTTCTTGTGATTGGTTGGTTTCTCGTCGCTGTAGATGTCGTGCGCGGTGCGGTGGCCAATCAGGTACCTCCTGAAAACGTGGCTGTCGACTTGGGGAATGAGGTAGGGTGAACCGGTGTACTTGGGAATACTGCGGTTTCTGTTTATTGTGGAAGAGAAACAAAGAGAGAATTCAAATTGATATTTGCGAGATATTGATAACTTAGAAAAAATCCGAAATACTCTATGAAAGACGAACGTACGTTTGCAACATGTTGTCCTTGTTTCTTTTCTTCTTCTCGATAAACTTGGTCCAGCTGTCTGCTTTAGGCTTCCGGGAGCTCTTACTTGACCTGCTCGACATGACGTCATCTTGGATGTGACGAGAAGTATTGGCAATCACATCTCTGTCTGTCACGGGAGCTGTCAATCAATCAATCAATCAATCAATTAACCAATCAATCAATTAATCAGTCAATCACGTTATCGATCAAAACAGGTGTTTTGGTATAGGAACGTTTTCAGGCTTCAATAGTTTCTAAATTCCGATGAATTGTATAAACTGACGTTTCAAAAATACTGTTGAATATATCTCGTTTCAGTTCTGTAACTTTAAAATATTGATGTGAGCACGTGGTAGTAAGAAAACTCAACTTGATCTTACATAGTTGAATGGGTGGTTCCTCTGTCGATGGGCTGACGCTGGGGGCGTATCTCTCCCTTGTTGTCATGGCACTCCCGTCCTCCTCAACCTCCTTCTCCGTCGCTTCTTCTTGAGCTTCCTCTTCTTTTCCTTCCTCTATGAGGCCCATCTGAACGAGGTATGGTCTACTTTCCTCGTCCACCGTGCAACCTCGATCCAACAGGACCTTGCAGCATTCTCGGTACTCACGCGAAGCGGCAAGATACAGTGCTGTGTGGTTGTCACTGTCTCGCATGTCTAAAGCGTTTATTGAATCGTCTTTGCTGTAAAAGAAAAAGAAAAAAAAAGGCATTTGGAATTCGTAAACAAATCTCGAAAATGGAGAAGCGTTTTCAGTTTTAAGTTTATTTTTAATCAATATCCTCCTGATTAATCGTTTTAGTCTTTTTGATTATTGTCAAATCACCTGTTATTTTCTGTTCCCGTGTTTTCTTTGTCCTGTTCCGCTGACGTCCTATTGACGAGAATTTTGAGAATATCCAGATAATCGCACTCAGCTGCGTGGTGGATTGGCGTCCTGGAAAGTAAAATTAAACAATTAAAGGGGAAAACCTAACTCGGAAAATTAGAAGATCATCGAATTCGTTAAAGTTTCACCAAAAGAGAATTGAAGTAATACATTCTCTGTAATGTTATATTATTTTAATACCTATTACATGTATGAAATATTGTTTCAAACCGAATTAAAAAAACCGACAGTTTTTCAATTGGGTTTTTCGATTATTCCCAAAATAATGCATACTTTAACCCATACCTTTCATCTTCATCCGTCATGGACACGCCCCTTGATCCATTATTCATGAGGATCTCGACCACATCTTTGTGCTCATTGGTTGTGGCAAGGTGGAGGGGCGTCTCGCGTTTTTCATTGGTCGGATCCGCGTTTGCGCCCTGGTTGAGAAGCAGACGGCAGAGGGTGCTGTCACCCCTCGAAGCAGCAAAATGTAACGCAGTGAAGCCCTGGTATTCAAAGGTTACAAAAATAATAATAATCCACGCCTTCATGATGGCATAGTGTTAGATTATTTTTGCTATAAAAATGTGGGGGAAAACAGCACAAGTTAATGAAACTCTTTGGCGAGCTTGGCCTCCTTACGTCGTATTCATTTGTGCACCGAGGGAGTTATGCTTAGCAAGTTTGCTTAGCTAGCGAAACAAGAACTGAGTGACAGCTGCAACCAAAGACATGACATGAAGATTGGCCAACTCGTTACTGAGCAATTGATGGTGTTCCATGCTTGCACGATCGTGTGATTAGTAGTTCCATCAATGAGGTTTCGTCCTGATGAACTTACAGATGTCCTCAATTGGCCAGCTTTACCACTGAGCAAACAGTGTTAGGCTTTTCGTCAAAAATAAAGATTCAATTTGGAAGGAAAGTCGAAAGACTTACGTCTCGATCGAATGCATTCATTTCCACCTGCTTCTCCAGTATGATCTCGCATATCTCTTGGTAGCCCAGGGATGCTGCATAGACGAAGGGCGTCCGGGAAGCGAAATCAATCAGACCAAGATTGCAACCCTGGCCAAAAAAAGACAGAATATTGTATCGTCGTATTCTCGTTTACATGTATGTTACGTCTTTAAAGCATTTCGTAAGCTACTTAATGAAACCATTACAACTTATCACAAAATGACAACTACAAGAGGTGGCTATTTTCTGATTGTTCCAAGTTCGCAATTAATTCAATTTCAAAATAATATAAATATCTTAATTTATTTTGTGAATGTTTGAACAAAGAAATTGAAGGGAACGGCTTAGGATCTGTGACCTCCAGTACGCTACCAGCCGGCATTCTACCTACCCAGCTTTAAGTGAGGCTCTCAAATTGTTAGTGACATTGTTGTTTATTGGATTAAGTTATATACAATGCACTATCATTAGATACAAATGACCACAAAACATGACATGACCTAAGATGGCTTGAACCAAAGACGTGATGTTGAATGTCCATACCAATAATGTTTATATGCAGTCAGGGGACATGACCAAGATGGCGGCATGCCTTACCTTGTGTACGAGTAGTCGTGCGATGTCCGGTCTGTTGATCTGCACGGCACAGTGGATCGGATAGAAACCAAACTTGTCTCGCACGTCGATAGCGTTCTCGCCTTCGCTCTCCAAAAGAATCTCAACACTTGTTTTCTACATTATACCAAAATGAAGACAAAATGTTGATTAAAAGAGTAATTCTATTTATCTTTAAATTTTCGCAGTATGATGCTGATTGTCCAGAGAATGACTATAATTGATGTCTCATCAATTACGTGGATGGTATAGTGATAACAGACTTATATAGCTCTGGAGGCCCGTGTTAGACATGGTCTATTTTGGTAAACAGGGCAAATATTTTGATTTTTTTAACTGAACTGAAACTGAAACTTACCAGGTTAGGTTTTTGAACAGTTTCTTTGGATTTTGAGTGGTGTTATTATTTAAAACGAACAAAATGCATGACAAGCAAATGATCCTATATGCCTTCAACGAGGACATGCCACACTCAGTTTATTTAACACCTTGTTTTTAGCAGTTTTATGACATGGTTTCGACACTTACCATTCCTTGTATGACAGCCCAGTGCAGTGGCGTGCGTCCCAAATTATCCAGCTCGTTTCTCTTGGACTCACGTTGCAAAAGATAGCTAATAAGCTCATCATTTCCCTACAAATAAAAATGTAAAATCATTAATGATCAAAATGTAAAAGCATATAATAGCAGTTGGTTTATATGACTGTCATTTGACAGAACAGAAAACAACAGTGGTGAGAAAACTTTGAGTGCAAATTGGTTTTAAATTATCAAAGAAAAATGTGAGAGAGCAGAAATTCACAGTAGTTTATAACTGACCTCGCCGGCTACCAGGTGAAGCACGGTTTGCTTATGTTTGTCGGTCGCGTGAACCAGCGAAGGATCCTTGTCAATCAGAAGCTTTGCACACTTCGTGGTCTAAAATGAAAGAATGCAAAGTACGGCAAAGGTAACGAGAACTCAATCACTATGAAACTACACAAAAAAATATGTTGCACCCGTTTTAAGGCCGGTATTTACTTCGAAAGCAAAGCGAATTTTACGCCATTGAACACATTACTGACACATTGTCGTAAAAGTTGGTACCTGAAAATTTCTATGCAAAGCCTCCCCCCCCCCCACACACACCGGGAGTTTGTGTAGAAAATTTCAGACGGTTATTTATTACTTCCCATCACGTTCAATTCACTTCGGCAGCGACCGCACGCCCCATTTGAAAGAAAAAGTTAAGACCGGATCAAGGTACCAACTTTTACGACGACGTGCTGGTAATGTTCCCATCACTCATGAAAATCGCTCGATCTTTGGAAACGCAGATCTCAGCATTTCACAAGATCCGTGGCCTTGATTTAACTGCTCCCCCACTTTGCACTTTCTTTACTTCCAAGTTGGGGTTCGGCATCAATGTATATTTTTTTTACCTTCTATCATTTTGTTTTCTTACTTTTAATGTATTGTTAGCGTTTGTGGAAAACATATTTATATCCGACAGGCTCTATTGCCGCTGCACCCACCGAGGGCTTCCCAAATCCCACATTTGACAAAAAAGCAGAGAGCTTTGAGAAAAACAAGTTTTAAGTGGTTAATATTTGAAAGCGAGGATAGCCATTAACCCTGTGCACCACTCGCCATCAATCATGGATACCTGTGACATTGAAGAGAGATTTTTTTTCAGAGTCAGTGAAATTTAAAATTTGGATGAGATCTTATTATAATCACACCTGCATGGCAAGCTGCTTTGCACCTGTGAGCCCACGCAATGTAATTGTTTTAATGCAATCCTTGGAAACGCACCTTTGTGTCCCATTTAACCTTATTTTCAATTTTCGTTTTTGCTATTTTTAACGGTATTTTGGTGATTTTTGGTTTTTATGCTTAAGCGAATTTCCATATTAATGAGCAAAACTGTGATGTCATTCTAGGCAGAAAGGCCAAGATTACAGCTACTTCAGCACAGAAAGTTGCTAGAATTTGGGATATTTTGCTGTCATAAATGTTCTTTTCTTTGGTGATTCGTTGTTTTGTCAGTACATATGGCAGTAAGCCAATAAGTTAGTAGCCCTTTCCCACAAATGTTTTCAATAAGCAACATTTTGGTTCACAATTTGAACAGAAAACCCCTAATTTACTGAACAGTGCCTTCCTGAAATGATATCACAGCAACGGCGCCCTCAATTGTCTTAAAAAATCATGGAAAATTAAAAATGCTTAAAGAGTGCCCTTTTCAATAAAACTAACCGAAAAGAGATGTAAAATAGTTTTCATCCGTTTAAGAAGCGGAGAAAGTTGCACACATTGTTTTCTTATAAGAAAAATACATCCGTGGAACCTTTAAGCATTTAAAAGTCTCTGAAACCAGGTCATCGAAAGTTAGCCGAAATTACAAAATGTCTGAGACTTTTACACCAAAATTTGGACTACACAAATTATAAAGAAAGAATTCCTTTACTTTCATTTGCTGTGAAATTCACCAGAGTTGAAATGTGTTTAACTTTTGCGCAGTGCGAATATTTGCCATGACGTCACAAATTCGCGTTCGTTTTGGTGTCGAGTATGAGGCGGGCTTTGCACTGACTTTCCAGAGTCGTATAGAATGAAACTATTAAGTTTAATGTTTAAAACAATATAGGAGCAACTGCCTAATCAGTCGTCTAATCAGTCGCCTACTCAGTCGTCGAAAAGATGGACTGCATGCAGTAATATTGTTCGGACTGACAGGGCATTTTGGTTCAGCGCAACTTTGAAATGCCGGTCTGAAACAGCCAAACTATTAAAAGTGTATATGCCTATACTGTACCAGCATGGAACAATGTACATAAGGATTGTGTCTGCTCCAGTTTCCATAAAACGGCTGAGAGCAAGTATAGCCTAACTCCCCGCACTGGTAAACATTTACAATCCAAGATGGATAGGGGAAAGTACTTTGTGATCATGAGTCACAAACATGCACGTCAGACAAAGATTTACCTTATTTTGCTCTGTTCTGTATAATGCTGTTTTCCCTTCGATGTCGGCGATGGTAGGCTGCGCTCCTTTCTCCAAGAGATACTCAACCTGCAAAAATAAACAAAATAATACGTCAACTGGTTATCAGAAACATGAAACCATCGGCATTAGAACACACTGTTCTATTCTTTTCAGAAAAAATATTCTATTTCCTTTGACTTAGTTTTGATTCGTCCGAGTAGATTTATTTACAAAAGGAACCGCTTTATTTCTTTGCGTACACTCTGTGAGCTTAGCCTGCGTGAGTTTATGATACAGTCGAGATAAATAAGCATCAATTCCGCTTACAATACCTTTATTTCAGATTCGAGTTGCGCGGCAACCATCAGCGCAGTATCGCCATTATCATCCTCTGCGTCGATCTCAGCTCCAGCCAATAGCAGCAGGTCTAGTGTCTTGACGTCTCCCTTTGCTATGGCATATGTCAGCAGAGTCTGGCCCTTGGCGTTGACTTGGTTGGGGTTTTCTCCGTACAGTTGGAAGTGAGACTGTAGTTTTTGGAGGTTGTCTTCACCGCGATGGCACGCCTTGAAAACTTCATTAACCTGTTGTTGAACGCCAGACAAAAATAATTAGCGTTTTTTCCCCAATACAGATGTTGGATATTTACGAACTTGACTGTAAGTTCTCAATCGCTGAGAGATTTACACTGGCTGCTTCAAGGGCATGCAGTGAAATGAAACATTTGACTTAACTTTAATAAAGATTTTACAATAAAGATTAAACTAACTTATCAGCCAAATGATACTTTTAAACTTAAATTACAGGGGAAATATACTTTTTGACTCTGATGTAAAAATTAGGCCAACTTGAAATCAACTTGATATCACCGATGAACACAGTGGAAAGCCAGATGAACAGAATTTGTTAAATAGACAAAATGGTATGACTGTATTATATAAATTCATGTATTTTTAGTAGTGGGAATACTATAAGTAAAGTACCGATATAGTAAATTTAAAGTAAACTTAAATGTTACCTCTGCTTCATCATCTTTATTTTCGCCACTGTTCTCATCCAGCTCAATCAAGAGAGCGTTAGTGGAATCATCCTGCATTATTGGGGAAAAACACACGAGAAACATTTATCGAATATGCAAGGAATAAAACATTGACTTTTGGTTTCCTTTTTTTTTTTAAATCATGTATGCTTCAGGAGAAGGCAGCTTGCTGTGTATTTTGTAAATTGTTAACACATTTTCCAAATCTTACGTTTTTCTCTTTCCATTTCTCATGGCATTCCGATGAGCAGAGCAGCGTCCTGTCGTTGCCATGTAGACTGTAGAACTTGGCTGCAGCATTCCCGCATTCGGCACAAACTGAAAGTTCGTTCAAAAAAAGATACTTGTCAAACCTATCGTCTTCAAAATATTTAGGATCTTATTATCGGATCTTATTCATTGTGCACGTTTTCAATGCGTTTTGTCCCCGTTGCATATGCCATTCTAAACCGCAGTTCAAACCAAGCAACGGACACAAATGGACTAAAATCACACAAATATAGGCCCTTCTTATTTTCAAGCTATAAAATTTACAGACATAAATTTGATAATCAAGTAGATTTTATCTGATTTACTTCATCCAAAGTGTCTTCACTTTCAAAATTCTCCACAATAATTTTGTTTGGGATTGCGAGCCTCGGTGATTTGGGATTGCGAGCTTCGGTGAGTGTCACGGACGCATAAAACTGCTTCGGTTCATAACTAGAGATAAATAATTCACTAGTAAATTTTATATCATGAGGTCATTGTTATTTTTGTCCAACGGCCGTTCACCATCAGCGCCAGTAGACCACGTTGCGGCCATTTTCCAAACCCGCAGTGCATGGGTCAGAAACCAACCAGGCATGTTGACTGGCGCCAAAGAGTTGTCATGACAACGCAAAGCTTTCAAACATACACCCTCAAGGCCATATGCGCTACAATAACTTTCAACCTGCGTTTTTCCTTCGTTTACTGTAGGCCAAATGCACTCCACTGAAACAAATTAACGAGGAGCAATAATTAATGCATGTAAATGTGCTCAAGACAAGCGGGAACAATAACCTCTACGCTCGCTGACCGCAATTTAGTCTCAATTATTTCAGTGATCGAGCAATTAAATTGATTATGTCTTCCTTCGTTTAAAAAATCATACAAAGGTTGGTGATCGAAAGCTGAACAATTTGCTGAACAATTTTCTATTCATTTTTGAAAACGAATCCTACTAATAGACCGCTAAACCAAACAAAAGAACATATCTCAATGAATTCTGATTTTGTTGATTTTAGAAAATACAGATATTGGACATCTTGGCATGTATTTTATTTTAATTTTTACATCTCAAAGTTTATTGTAAAAGAGAATTGGATATCAATACCGAAATAAACCAAGAATGGAAAAGGAAATGAAATGGATGGTTTGTTTCTAAAAAAAACAAACACCAGAGTTGAATTTTAGTTAAGTGGTATGCAAGAATAAGGGAAGAAAACAAGTGTAGTTACAATTCACGAGTCACTGTGACAGTGTTAAACGCCATTTTGAATCGTCCAAAACAAGATGATCCTTGTTGCTATGGAACCCAAGAGGGCAGACCAACTTGTCTCCCCTAAGGAGAGATTATCCATCCATGTTTTGTAACACAGACGCAACTCGTATGGGTTCTGCATTTGAAATCTACAGCCTTTTTTGAGCCCAGCCTTGAACAGAAAAAGACCTATAGACCTCTATACATCACGTCCCGATAGACGATTGTTACATGACTACATGTGTTTATAAAACCCATGATGTCGATTGTAACAATCTCCTTGAGGAAAGAAAAGCTCATTGAAAATAGCCGACGTTTTTTTTTCTCACAATAACCTTACAATAATTCCTCCATTTACCCGCTGTTGTTTGCCATCAGACGCTTTTTATGTGGTTCTCATAATAGTCGTTGGAATCATCTGCCGCATACTTAAACGACACGAAAGGTATCATGTAAAATTTGGAATGTATGAAATACGGACGCATTAATCGCACTGTGCATGTCGTGGTGCAGAGAAAAAAAATGAGAAGTCACAGATACATTCGTGACTGCATTTCGAGGGAACGGTTTCATAAAAGTCCAAATATTATAGGACACCTGGCCAAAACGTGATCTCAAATGTAAAATGCACAACGATAGAACCAACATTTTACACTATTCGTATTTCAATATTATTGATACACACAGTGTTAAATAGTGTACACAAAGTTCACATCGTATGTCGTCAGGTAAAAAAATATATCGCATCAACTGACCTTGGTTGCCTAACAACGAGAGGCAATTGACTATAATCGTTATTTTTCAATTCAATGCATTTCCTGTACTTTTCACCAGACGGTTGGAAAAAAAACACGCAAGTCATGCACAGGCAATATTTTTTGATGTTAAAAATGCAGCATTTGTTGATATAAGTTCATGATATAACCCTTGTACATCACTGTTGTCTGTCAATTTATTGGGAGTCCATTGTCTGTATGCTCCGTGCAAACAAAATATGATCTGCCGACTGTAAGTGCATTGGTACCCATGACGTGCTTCCTATTTTATCGGAAACTTTGTTTTCTATTGCAAAATCAATTTATGCACATACATTTAATGTTTCTAACTGCTATATTTTCTAAGCATGTTTAATCAAAGAAGACAAATGGTACCGGTATCATATCATTACATTTTTACAAAGAGTTTCACACATTCGATTTTCAATCTCAAACGAGTTCAAACATTACATTTTCCTAAGCAATACATTTTATGCGGATTTTTAGATGGAGGACCATATTTCAATTCGGGCCTTGAGTTGTCTGTGCATTTAGAAGATATTTGACGTGATTTTACAACCTATTTAGGTCTACTAATTCAGTGCATTATGCCTAAAATAAAGGTGTAAATGAAGAACTATGAATTAACAGATATTATTAAGTAACAATGATAGTGTAAGCATGGTATGAAACAGATAATACATTTTATTGATAATATCGACCTGAAACAACAATATCACAACATTCAAATCAATAATAGTAAATTCTACGTACCTTTTGCGTCAGTAGTCATGGTGATTGATTCTTGTCGCTTGTCACTTGATCAACTTCATTCATGCGGACATTTACAAAATCATAATCTTGTATAATCTGCTTTATAAGTGTAAAAAAGTCTTGCAGCAGGTTATGTAACAACTCAGTCAACAATATTATTCCATTACATTGTTGACGTCAGGATATTTGTCCAAATGATGCTGGCACTTTGAAGAAAAAGGCAATTCGTACCAACAATCTTGAAAGTTATTGCGGTTGATGGACAAAAATCATTTGCCACTATAAAGTGGCTATGATAAACACTTTTCAATTAGACAATCTGTGCATATCACTGGACGACAATACATCTCACAAGAAGAATCCCACATGCAGCTCTTCTGTATTACATTGTTTATCTGCAATTAGCCTATTATCCGTTTCAGCTCAGCGACACAACATCAAAGCGCAGAACGGGCGTGTGTCTCGTGGGCAAAACAGGTGCATTTCACGGCTTGTAGTCACAGATCAACACGGTCCTCGAGTTGTGAAGACAGAGTCCACGAGAACACGCACTCTACAAGGAGGTAGACTTGTCAGAATTGACTAGGAACATTCCATGGGGTGACTTTTCCTTAGTACGGCGTATGGTAGATATGATTTGTCAGATACTATAGCAATGTGTTGATAATGACATTAAGCTGGAACGATCCTCGACAGCAGATAACACAAATCAATCACTGGTCAAACAAAGCGAGCTATTTGATTTCTGTATCTTCATACAGGTTACAGTTTGTTCGTCCTCGTTCCGAGTCAGTACTCACAGTGACCCAGAAACTTGGCATACGTGCCGTGCCGGAGTTTACAATCGCGCTTCAAAGCCGGGTATTCTTTGCTAACAAACGCCCCTTTGCCGAGAAAATGATCCTTTTCCCATTCAGGAACGTTTTACGAGGATCGATGAGTCCATCGAGCACACAATGCCGTGCAAACGTCATCAATATTGTGGGTTTTACTGTTGCCTGAGCTGTGTTTGGTTGGGCAATCCGTTGCCAACCAATCAATACACGGACGGTCTTCCAGCGCTCGGACACATTCAACCACAGTGTATTATTGTGGCTAAATAAACACAATAGCGAGTGGTCATTGCTTATTGTGGTGCATGTGGCTTCTCAATAAGTACTATCACAAAGCACAACGCCTCTGATCATTGTTAGATGGTGCATACCTCCATGGATGGTGTTTCTCTGAAGATTTCATGTCAGCTCACGTTCATCATTCTCTTGCAGAAAATACAGTTCCTTTATTTCTTGGATTAATTCAAGAGATGTACAGAGATGGACAAATCAGAACAAAAGTAAACTTTCCATGTACACTTTTATATCATGACGGTCCCGATCTTAGCACAATTAAATGTTGGTACATAATGTAATTGAAATTGCTGTGTAGTAATGTGGTTACTTTTGAACAGTTGATGTCAAGACTGCGCATGATGACCAGAAATATGCATCATGTTGTCTTTTGATGAAAGTTGTTATTTCTTGATTATATCGTTACATGATTGGGGGAGGGGGAGGGGACTAGTCCGTGCAAGATCGAGTTTGTCTTGGGAGGACTGACAGCCAGTCTAGAAATTCCTGAATTAGATTAACTACTACTGGTGTTACGCGTTTGCCAAACTCAAGGCTTCGAGTCTTACGCGTCAAAACTTTTTGTTGAAGTTTTGGCGGGCCAATCGTCACGGTGCAGAAATATTGGCAAGAATGGATCATTTTGAAAGGGATGAAAGTAAAGCCGAAAAAAAACCACTTCTCCTGGTTTTCTTTTCTTCTTTACAATATCGCCCCCACGCGGACCAGAAAATGCAGGACGGCAAAGCAGAATACAGTGAAGATTCGCTGATGTGGTAAAAGGACAAATAAAAACGGAGGCACGGTTCGTTGGAGAAACGGTTTGTTGGAGACAATTCGCATACAAACACAAGCTAGTGCACTCAGGAAAATGACCCGGTTCTATGGAATTTGAACTACATGCATGACAAATTTCGGTACCACTGACTAAAGTAACCATCTCCTTGTGATAGAGCTTTCAACAATTATGGCACAAGTAACATTGTTTTTTTCCAAAGACACGATCAATAAATATAGCAATTGTTTGATTTTTAAAATAATAGTATAATCCCCCAAACTATTTGATTTTGTATTGAAAGTTGGTACGTACAATGCATATTGTGTTGAAAAAGCTTAAGCAAATTTGAATAGCTGTTACTCAAAATAAGTACAAATGGGGGGGGGGGGGTTATTTGCAAATACTAAATACCACTTTAAAATAACACCAAAGACATTCCCAAAAGTTCAACTAAATGAATTAGAAGTCAAAGTTAGAATCAGGCAAATTCCATAAAATCCAATTCTCTGCGTCCGACCACACGATGTACATGTACAAGGTCGTTAAGGTGGTGGTACCTTAATTTGGTCTGTAATTGTTTCCTACTTATTAGATGTCACATTATTAGGTATGTATCACATTCACTTTTCCAACAGCAACTCATTAATGTGTCTGACATGTACCTTCGAATGTACAGAATTGCCCAAACAATTCCTAACACCGGATGGACTGACAACCAGATTAGAAATCCTGAATTTCAAAACCAAACACCGGAGCATTTTCTAGTAACGAAGTTGTTTATTCATCTGTTCCCACTAAGATCATGCAATCACTATTTTGAGATTTCAACTTCAATAACTTCCTACAATTACCTCCTTTATGCATTTTGTACAATTTCAGCAAATTTACCTTAAAATGTCATCAAAAAATCATACCATTCCCAATAGTCTGAATATTAAAACGTTGGGTAAATATAAAAGGGCTATATAATGGGCGTCCATAACCATGGCTAAAATTACAAAAATAAAAGCAAACGCCCCAGTATTTTAATGAAGTACATGTAGAAAAAAAGAATTCTAAATTGAATTCTAATTTTCTCCTTTCTAATTCCCCAATACCCCCCATGTTAGGTAAATGATTTTAACAATGAATATATAATGGTTTCTTTATTTTGTAGGACAAAATTTTCAAATCATCCAATATGCGACCAGATTTTGTTTAAGTAACTACTTAAAGTAAAGCAACAATGGTTCTGTTTCAAAAAACATTAATTAGTTTCCCTTTTAAAAGCCCCCTATGAATGCTGATGACATGTTAAAAAATGTGAAGATCAATATCAACAATAAAATTGGAATTTATAAAAAGTATTTTAAACTAATTGGGAAACAAATTGAAACCTTCAAAAATATACCTGATGTTATTTGGCCATGCTAAAAAGAAATGAAAACAGACAAAACCCTTTATACTGGTGGCTGACATAACCTTCATGTTTTGTTCTATACAAAATATACAACAATAATAGCAAAATACCTATTTCAACTAATTACATGCAATCACTATTCATGTATGTTACAGTAAATACAAGGATTATTACTCCGTCTCCAAAAAAAAAAGAGAAAAAAAAAGAAGTTAAAACATGTTCAATGTAAAGCTGCGTGGATGTAAATAATGGGCAATTTGTGAACAAACAATTCGTAATAAAAAGAAAAACATAAAAACAAAGAGAACAGCGTCTGCAAATCACCTCTGGTTCTTTTAAGAACCACCTTCGGTTCTCCTTGGAATACTGATGGTTCCCTCAGAAACAATCTGTTTCTAGCTTTGCCTAATAATAATAATTGTATTCCTTTGAAACAGTTTTGACATTGGAAACAAAAACAAACCTTGAACTGCATCTCCTACCATGCAGAGCTTCAAAATGTATTAAAAATAACTGATTAAAAAATTAAGAATTTAAAAGAAGGTAAATTCATGTTTCAATATCAACACTGACCATTCATCTGCTTGATTCCATCAAAATTACGTATTGGCAAGAGTTTAAAAAGTAAATTGAATGAAACAATGATTTTGTCTTTAAGAATGTTAAAACAGTCAGGTTTATAGCCTGCCATTGAAATGCAACATTTAAAAATACGACGTCATCAAATAAAAACAATTTACCAGAGATGATTTTGAGTTACTGATCTTTGTCAAGATATGCTGACTTATCAAAAATGGATTAGCAAATTTATGTTCCAAACTGGAAGTCAAATGAGAACCAGCAACAAGCATTCTACAAACATTGTGTTACCTTGACCAGGGGATGCCTTACCAAATGATCACCTGAGAGACGTTGGTCATGGGCTGTTTGATCTTAGTCTTCTCAGGAAACAGCTCTGCCTCGCTAGCTGTGGTAGGCAGTCGCCAGGCGTAATGTCCAGATAGGGTGAGGGTTAACAGACATTGATCTGATCACCTGAGAGACTTGAGTTTAGTGACAGACTTGCGGACGTTAGTCATGGGCTGTTTGATCTTAGGCTTGTCAGGAAACAGCTCTGCCTCACTAGCTGTGGTAGGCAGTCGCCGGGCGTAGATGTCCAGATAGGGTGAGGGTTAACAGACATTGATCTGATCACCTGAGAGACTTGAGTTTGGTGAAGGACTTGCGGACGTTGGTCATGGGCTGTTTGATCTTAGGCTTCTCAGGAAACAGCTTTGCCTCGCTAGCTTTGGTAGGCAGTCGCCAGGCGTAGATGTCCAGATAGGGTGAGGGTTAACAGACATTGATCTGATCACCTGAGAGACTTGAGCTTGGTGAAGGACTTGCGGACGTTAGTCATGGGCTGTTTGATCTTAGGCTTGTCAGGAAACATCTCTGCCTCGCTAGCTGTGGTAGGCAATCGCCGGGCGTAGATGTCCAGATAGGGTGAGGGTTAACAGACATTGATCTGATCACCTGAGAGACTTGAGCTTGGTGAAGGACTTGCGGACGTTGGTCATGGGCTGTTTGATCTTAGGCTTCTCAGGAAACAGCTCTGCCTCGCTGGCTGTGGTAGGCAATCGCCAGGCGTAGATGTCCAGATAGGGTGAGGGTTAACAGACATTGATCTGATCACCTGAGAGACTTGAGTTTGGTGAAGGACTTGCGGACGTTGGTCATGGGCTGTTTGATCTTAGGCTTCTCAGGAAACAGCTCTGCCTCGCTGGCTGTGGTGGGCAGTCGTCGGGCGTAAATGTCTGGATAGGTTTTCTGGAACTGGGAAAGGACAGAAGCATTGATTAACTTGACGTTACCGGGGTATATTCCCTGAGATTCCTATTAGGTACTTTCTGATAGTTTTTCTCTTTGCTTAACAAAACTCACTTTGATCCAATACCCATCAGTTTTTTTAATACGGATCTACAGAGCATTTATATTACTGGCCAACTTTTACTATATCAATGTTTTTGTAAAGCATTAAGAATTTTACAATTTCCAATGCAGCACTGAAAGGACTTGGTACTTTTGAAGTCTTTTTTAATGAGCCACTTCAAAACCTTTTGATGTTTACCAGCAAACTTTTGGATACATCACCGCAAAACATTTTGAAAATATGAATTTTGACAAGTGAATTTACCAGTTCATCACTGCAAAGCATTATATATTTTTTACAAGCTAATTTTGTTTTTATATTAATTAATTACCTGTTTGAGTTTCTTCTTCTTGTCTTTTGCCGGCATGTTGTGATCACGGATGATGACCTCCAGAAGGTCAGCCACGGCCCGCTGCGAGTTGCTCAGTTTCTGTGCCTCGTATTGCTCCACGCTCATCTTCTGGCAGTATGAGGGCGCTGTTGCTGTCTGGTTCTCCGTCTCTGTTACGTACTTGATCTGGGAAAGATTGGACGGAGCAACAACATTGAAATTGTGTCAACTTCAGCCTTGATTAATCTCAGGGTGAAGAAAATTTGAGGAAAGAGAATTTGGGCATGAATCTAGGGCTGAATTAATTTTTTTAAGGCAAGGGCAAACATCGCAATGAAACTTTAATTGTTAAGGTGATACAGTTGGGATATCAGAGGGCAAATAACAGTCGGACATATACCATTTTCTGACCCTTTACTGTCATTCTTAAAGCAAGAAAGCAGTGCTTAGTCAAATTTTGTAGGCCTACTGTAACTTCCACAGAGCATCTAGAATCCAAAATTTTCCCTACGCTGTAAGAGCTTCACGCTCACATTAGTCCTCGGAACAAAATGCCCCTAGGCTATATTTTCACCCTGGCTAGAACACCGACTGTAGGTACATTCAGTGAAATTTTGACATACTACTAACATCTCCAAATTGATTTTGCTTGTTCGCTTGGCTGTGAAGTCTCATTTCACCCTCTGGCATAGTGTCAAGTCAAGTCTGTCACGAGCCAATATGGCCCATCATGCCGGCGTTTATCTCCGGTTTCAGTAGCATGAAACAACTGAGATTAGTTCTACTCCCCCTGGATGGAATGCTAGTCCATCGCAGGTTACTCCCCAGCTAATGCCGGTACCCATTTATGCTCCTGGGTGGACAGAGACAAGTGGGGGTGAAATGGCTTTCCCAAGGACACAATATAGTTATGTTAATTCAATTCTGTTGTTATTTTTTACAAAGGATTTTTGACACCAAATAAGAAGTCAGAGACTTGTACAAACTGTTATAAATTAAAATTGTACACAAAAAAAAGTCCCCCGAAAATAATAGTTCTGCTTCCGTTTACCCTACCTACCCTATTTTCACAGCCCCTACCCTATTTTTTTTTTTGGGGGGGGGGAAATGAGAAAAAAAAAACACCCTGAAAATCATCAATTACTACCTTTTAGCCTTGACTACCTGCAGACACCTCCATATGATTGTACACAATAAAATTGCCCCCCCCCCCAAAAAAAATTCCCTACCTAACTACCGTATTTTCAAATGCTATGAAATCGGAAGCACAACTATTTTTTGCTTTTTTGGCCTTACAAGAATAAAGATTTATGATTACAATTCTTTTACAATGAATGAATTCTGACCTGGCTCCGGCCTAGATAGACCAGCCTGTCCTGAATGTCAGCCTTGAGCTCCTCGGGCTGTGTAAAGACGTTGCCATGGTTATCCATCAGATACTCAACGATGCGGGAGGCGAGGGTTTCATTGTAGTCAATCTCCTCCTGGGAGCAGAGGATAGCTCGGCTGAATGTCTCAAGAACCTGGCACAGACAGAGAAGAAAGAGAAATATTGCTGAATAGACTGATCCATTAAAGGAAAATAGGATCATTTGCATGTATCCCAAAGTAACCTTCTGAATTATCATCAAAAGCTTACTTGGATCAAAGATCACACTACCATAGTGCTAAACACACACTGAAATTATTTCGCCTGGTTTGCTGTCATTTAGAGGGAATCAAAAAATGTAGGTGATATCCAACGATCAGTCAACTGACAAATTTTTGGAAATAAAGAGTCATAAAGACAAAATAGTGTTCCCTGATCGAAAGGTTGTGCATGGTAGTCAGTTGTTTTCTCAAAAGTGTAATATCCACTGAGCTGAAACTTCACCAGGTTAGGTTTGGAACATTCTTCTTTGGATTTTGAGTGGTGTTAGTATTGGAAACAAACAAAATGCATGAAAAGCAAATGTTCCTATATGCCTTTAACAAGAAAATACTGAACTGAGCAACACTGTACCTAGCAACTCCATGCCATCAGCCCAAGATGCCTATTTATTGTTGGGATAAATTTGCTAAGCGCTATTTCCATTTAAAAGTAGCTCAGCCAAATAAAGGAAGACTACTTACAAGCTGTCTGGTGGTCTTGCGGCTGCTGAGCACCAGTTCAGGGTTGGCCTCCATCTTTGTCATGAGCTTCAAGAGGAGATGAAGCTTGCGTCTGTTGACAGGAGGCAGGAGGAGACAGCATAGTCTCAAGGCTTCCTCTGTGTAAGACTTGTCATCACTCAGGTACAAGCCTGAAGCGGGATGGACAAGAGATGGAGAGGAGTGGTAAAGTAGAAATATGGACAGTAGTAATAGGCCTGAGACCTAATGACATCACGCTTTGTTCACATCGTCTGGTGTCCTGACCTCACTCCAATAGGAAAGTGCTTATGTAAACAAAGCCATTACGTCATTAGGTCTCAGGTCTATTGTCTGTTGTTTGAATCCAAAGGCTGTTCCTTTTTTGGTAATACAGAATGGACAATTTCATATGATTGTGTTTTTCAATGAAAAAATCAGTTTGCTGGAAGCAAGTGTAGGGTTGGGCCATTAAATGAGGGTCAGTTGGGTAACCAGAAGCACATATTTTTTTTTGGGTTGATGGCCTAAAGACATGTAATGGTCCCTACATGGAACTTTTAAAGGTCTTCTCAGCATTTCGACTGGTGTGCTAGAGTTATCCTTGGGAACATCAAATAAAAGGAGTGGCAATTCCAAAATGTAATGACCAAACTATTTCAAGGGAAATTAGAAAAACTGGCATTAGGCCTTTTTTTTCAGGAAAACTAACATGAAAGTTATTTGAAAGGGATTCTGAATTTTGTACAATGTAGGAAGAGCATAGATTCAATAGATATGAAAGACAAAATGAAGTTTCACATGCAAAGTGTTAATCACATTTGAATCAACCCATGAAATATTATCTGGACAAAAATGAGTTACTCTAGATTTTTATTATTTTCTGGATAAAAAATAGCAATGACTTGTTTGGCAAGTCGACCTTACTTGCTGTGCTGTCGCTTCTTTTCATTTTCTGATATCCTGCTGAACTTTCAACTTTGGCCGTTGACCTCACATCTGAAGAACTGCCACTGCGTAGTCCGTTGACCTGCGGGTGGGAATCGGGGGTGTGGCTGGCGCTGTTCTCTCGCGAGCTGCCGATGTCCGAGTAGGAGAGGGTAGCTCGAAGGGGTGGGGGATAAGATGGGCTGATTCTGTCTTGTTGTCTGTCATTGATGTTGGTGACTGTCGTGGGATTTGGCGGGGTAGCTCTGTCAAGATTTGGAATGGAGTTTGAGGGTTGTTGGGTCTGTTGGTGGACCAGGTTAGGCGTGGACCCCCTGAGTTGATGACCGAGTGAGATGGGTTGTCTTGGAGCATCGGCTTCCCTGCTGCTACTCTTCTTCTTGAAGATCTTCTGTATCAGCTCACTCGCTGAGCCGAATCTTTTAGAGACAAAGAGGTTGCGGGTGTGGGTTTCCTTGGGTGGGCATTCCGTCTGGTTGGACTTCAAGGCATTCCCGATATCATTCATGGAGCCAAAGCCTCGTCTAGTGTTGGTAGCTGGGTCTGGATACTGTAATGGGAATCCGTAGTTCAGGTCCTTGGAGCTACTGCTGGTTTCAGTCGAAGGGCGTGTCTGACTTGATGCAAAACCTGTCATGGGTCTGTGTGTGCTAGATGAGGTTCCTTTACCTTTATCACTGATTATGATCTGTGACGTGAACTTTCTTGACTTGCCGCCTAGGCCTGGAATCTCCCGCTGGTGATGCTCAGGGACGTGGAGGTTAGATGCCGAGGGGAACTTTGGTGTCCGCTGTTGGACTGGAGCTGAGAGAGGTCTGTGTCGTTGATGTAGATGCTGCTGATGTCTGGACCCGTGATTCTCCCTTGGAGGTTCTTGGTTGTGCTGCCAGCCGGACTCCATTCTGTTTGAGGATGTAATGGGTGGAGATTCTCTTGGCACTCGTACTGGATAGTTCTGTTTAATTCCTTGACATCCTGTTGTTGGTTCTGATATACAGCGTCTCATCCCTTGAGGTTGGATGGACGAGTGCTTCCCATCTCCGTCAACAGGTTGTTGATTTCCATCTGAGTTAGGTCTGGTGAAACCTGTGACAGACATGCTTGAGGAGCGCTGGATGCCCCTCTTGCCTCGTCTTGAAGGTGGAGAACAAGATCCGCGTAAGGCGTCACTACTCCTCCCTGAAGAACCATGACCACCCTCAGCCTCAATGTGGAATGCAGTGGTACTAGGAGGTATCCCTCTCACATCACCAATCCACTTCCTTCCGTCCATCAACTTGAGCCTCTTAGACATAGCATCTTCAGCGAACCTTCCCTTCCTATCGATTGCCCCTCTGGCTCGCTCTGGTGCTCCAGCTAGCTCCGGTGAGAGCCCAAACATTCCTGCTGAGGTCATGTTCAGCATCAGGTTCTCGACAGACTCGAAAGAGGTCAAGCCCTGGATGGTCTGGGGAGGGGTGGTCAGCGGCTCTGCCCCTGGGTACAGACCTCTGTCTCTGCGCTCAGCGGTTACTGTTAATAAGGAGGATGAGAATGGGGGAGAGGGAGTAAGCGAAAGGGTCAATTGAGCATGAATGGGGGATGAGGGGAAAATAGGTAGCAATAGTTTTAAATGGTTGTTTTAGTATATTTTTAGGATAAATGATTAGAAAAGAAAGTAAATACAATTTTCACTTTTTGCATGAATAAGTATGATCAATCAAAAACTGTTAAAAGCAGAAAAAAATGATCATGCAGTTTTGAAAGCATGAAAGTTTTGATGTCAGCAGGAAAAACATAATCTTTATTATTGAGGCTGGAAAAGAATTTAGAAATTTATTAGAAAGCATGGAAAAGATATTAAGACAGACAATGAGGTATATTCTTCATCTGGGTATTACTTGTTAATATCTATAGGGTGAAAGATTTGACAGTCTTTTTCAATAACTATATTTACCAAAATAATAAACAACTGATTTCCATTTTACTCACCAAAAGACTCAACGATGAGATCATAGAGGTGAAAGGTCAGTAGTGGTTGAGATAAGCCCAGGAAGTAGGAGCTAATGGTCTTGAAGACATCTCTCTCAAAGCCAGGGTAGTTAGGGAGTCCTGAATCGGGACTGTTGGGCCCTGGGAGCAGAAAAATAACCAAAATGAGTGGCTAAGAGGTTCAAAATTGAGAAAATCTGAACTCAGAAAAGCAATTTTTAAGCTATTCACAAAACTGACCGATGAAACTTGTTAATCATTGACTGGCTCTTGGACATGAAGTATGCAACACGGTGACTCAAAGGAACAGAATTTAAGGACAATCTCTGGTTTTGAGCGAGGGAAATCTGTTGTTCCAGCTATTGGATTCATGTGATTTGTTCTGCAGTAGGATTCTGTTTGATCCAAGAAGGAGTTGAAGAAACTCGGAAGGGAAGTTTTCAACCTCAACTCTCCAAGGTCCTACAAAATCTCCTAGGAGGTTCGGAACATTTTTCAGGATCCAGAACCCAACCATTATTAGTTTACATGAGCTTTGACACCAACTGAAAACTAAAGTGCAAAGAATGTACCATTGGTTTTTGTATCTATTTGAATTTTTTTAAAGAAGATTCAGTAAGTTTTCTGAAGAAAAAAAAACCCTGGGAAGTCAGGGGTAATCAATAACCCAAACCCTCTCCAGGAAATTTTGTTTAGAAATCCTGCCAACAACATATAAAGCCTGCCTCTCATGACAAGATCCAACATGCTAAAAAAAATCCAAGGCTAAAGTGCAGAGTCTGTGGTTGCCAAATACAACAGGGTAAAACGTTAGCATTGTTCAATGGGACTAGCTCCAATTCAGGCGTTTCACAATGCAGTGCGTAACCAAGAGTTTGCCACGGAGCGTTTATTTTTCCCAGTGCATTGTGGGAGATGGTCGACAAATTCACAGCGCGGGACATTTGAAATCGTTCGTTTTTCTGGTCAGTAGTTTCGTAAGCGAATTATTTGAGTATCTGTTTGCCCTTTTCTTTTCTTTTTATCAATATAGTGTTTTTTTGTAACGTGGCAGAAAGCTATGCTCCAATCTATAACAAATTAGCTCAAGTTGTCTACTGACACTCATTCAAAATGGGCCATGTTTCGTGGAAACGTAAACTTGAAAAAAATGGACTCTCCATGGCAAACTCTTGGTGGCGCACTGCATTGTGAATCCCCTGAATTGTCTCCACAATGGCTGTTAATGCATCGGTGTTGATGGCTCAATGCGACAAGATCCCACAGACTTTTACAGCAATGAACGGCATCTTGCAGGGTTAGGGACAATAACTTACAATTGGCCAGGCACTTCATTGCCGATAGCACCCAGTGAGGTAGGTCATCCTGATCCTTGGGCACCAAGACCACACCGTTCCTGCTGACGTGGGTACAGCTATGCATGATGTGCTTAGCGCTGACAAGGCCGGCGTCTAGGAGGCCGTCTAAGGAAGTCAGCCAAAGGAGTCTCTGTAACCTGCAAGTATATATATGGTGCCTATATGTTATGTACAATTTGAAAGAAGCCTGAAATCAGGCAGTTGCAGGTGGACTCACATCCCTGAGAAGTGTTTTAAGAAGTATTAGGAGCAACAAGGAAATGTTCCATGACGGCCATGGGACCAGATACCATACTCATTAGTAGGCAGAATACCTAGGTACCTTGCCTTTGGTGATTTTTGGGTGCCCAATTAAAAAAAACCAACATTATAAATTAATAGCTGTATTCTTGAACAATTCTTTTCGAATAACTGCTTATGTTGGCCTTAAACTTCCCCAATCAAGCATCCCTAATCCTAACCCTTCAGGGTATTTTGGCTAGAAACTCTGCCAAACGCAGCAACATGCAGCACTTGTCTCAGTGACAAGCATGCCAAGTGTAGCGAGATCCATCAAGTCAAAAGTCTCAAGGCCAAAATGCCTCAGAGTTGGCGGTCCTCGAACGCAGCGGGATACAACTGTGGTTTTGTTCAATGGGACTAGCTCTCATTGTTTCAGAATTGGCCAGTTATGCACTGGTGTTGATGGCTCAATGCACCAAGGCCCCACACACTTGTACACCTGATGCACTGTGTAGCATCTGGCAGGGTTAGGGTTAATTTGTTACCGATTAAGAGTTGCGCTCTTCCAGACTTCCTCCCTCTGAGCCGGTGTCAGGGGTCTCTGAACCAGACGGCACTGTGGGAGTCCCCTGCTAGGTCCTCCCCCTTTCCCCTTCCCCTGGCCGGCCGACTCCCTGTCTGCATCTTGGGCACTGAATGCTGGGTTGTCGTAGGACAGAGTCCTGCTCATAGGCTCCGAGTTGAGAGTCTTCAGTGGTGTCCGGGCGGTGCGGAGGTTGGAGCGGCTGCTTAGCGCAGAACGGAGCTTTTTCATTGGAGAGACTGGGACAAATCTGTGCAATTGAAATATGAATAAAGAAAAAAGATAATACTCCTATTACCGAGGCAAAACTCATAAAATCGCATTTCTCTTATCTCATATCATGTAGAAGTTCAGTTTGTTTATGAACAGTCAATGTGACATTGACAGTGTGATGGATTGGCTATAGGTTGATTTGTTAAGCACTACCCTATAAAGTCACGACCAATTCAAAACCATGACTGTGCAACCAAGATATCTGACAAGGGTTGTGCAAACGCACATGTTGCCAAAGTGCAAAGTGGACGGGCCTTATGGCAAAGTCTAACGTGGTTCACTGACAAATGAAGTCAAGATCAATTAATAATTGTAGGTGCTATCTTTTCTTCAACTGACTTGTAGAGATCACCGTTGTCCTCAAACTTGACTGGACTGCTCTTAGTCGACCCCTTGACCCCTTGTACGACCTTGCTGTGAAGAAACTTCTCGAGCAGCGACACAGTCTGTGCCCTGGTAACCCAGGGGCCGAATCTGTCACAGTTCTGCAAGTAATCGTGGAGCCAGTCTATTGCCTCTGTGGAGGTGAAACAGTTGTCATGGTGACGACCTCGTAGTCCCTTGCGATGACGCTTCAGAGGCATTCCAGCTCGAAAATCTCGGATGATCATATTCCACTTTAACCATGTTAACAAAAGAAGATTGAAAAAGATTCGTTAACAAAATAAAAGTTTGTTTCCATTTTTTTTTGAATACTGGGTCGACTCGTATGTGAGCCAACTTGTACGCAACTAACTCGTACATGGGCCAACACATAAGCAGGCCCACATGAGTGTCAACTAGCATGGTATACTGATATTACTGTTTAAGATAAGGTGCATAGTGGATATATTGCCGGTGGCAATCCCTATCAACAGAGGGCGCTGTACTCTCTAAGATAGGGCTGAATTATAAGAATTAAGATATATTGAATTAATACCACCAATGGTTGTGTAGCACCTGTGGCCAGTGGATAAGCAACGGATCTTATGAGCGGGAAGATCCGGGATTGATCCCCGCTGGCAAATTTTAAAGGTTTTTTCCCCCCATCCCCAAATATAAGAATATTCTTCTTTTAATTATTTAAACATGTCTCAAACATTTTATTGCAGAGTATTACATTTTCTGGTGCAACTATAGAATGCAGGGCCACGCCGAAGCAAGGGTTTTTATTTCGCCTGGAGGCGTGGATGGAATAGGAGTAATACTGCAAACCTGCAAAAAGTGCTAAGTACAGCGAAGGAATGCACTTGTCTTCTAAGCTTCTCATGAAGGATCGGAAGGGAGGGCGTGCTTGTAAATGTGTTGGGGGCACTGTCTGGAGTGGCGGAGGCGCGGAGTCTTGGAGTCGCGGAGACGCGGGGCACTGGAGTGGCCGCAGTGCTAGTGGCGGAGGCGCGGAGTCGCGGAGACGCAGAGACTCGCGCCGATAGAGGGCGCAATTCTCGGTGGAATTTTTTTGAGAACGAAGCATCCATACCCATTTTAAATGGGCGCGCAAATTAGGAAGGGAGGAGGGCGACGGGGCACTGTCTGGAGTGGCGGAGGCGCGGAGGCGCGGAGTCTTGGAGTCGCAGAATCGCTTTAAATGGGCGCGCAAATTAGGAAGGGAGGAGGACGACGGAGTACTGTCTGGAGTGGCAGAGGCGCGGAGTCTTGGAGTCGCAGAATCGCGGAGACGCGGGGCACACGAGTGGCGGAGGCGCGGAGTCGCGGAGTCGCAGAGGCTCCACGATCGATTTTCGGAGGTAGGTCGACTGCGGTTCCACGCCTCCAAGCAGCCGTACGGAGGCGCGGATGTAGAGTAAAGTGGCCCTGCATTCTATAGTTGTACCCATTTTCTTTTTCAGATTTGTGGCTCTGCCTCTGGAGGATTTTTTTTAAAGGGACATAAAGTCCGAAATTGTAAAATGGTCTGATTCCCATCTTGTTGTGAATACGAATTTACAACGATAATGTTGGCATGGAGCCAGACTAAAGTTTGTCACCGGAAAATAATCTAATTAAAAAAAGCAGTAGCCTAACTGCGCATGTTCAGTCATGTGTCAGTGCATATACGGCAAGCCAACGTTTACAAATGGGAAACAAAAACAAAAACCACAAAAAACACATTCCCCCCCCCCAACAATGGCAACATGCCCCCCCCCCCCCAACATGCCCAAAAATAAAATAAAAAATAGGCCTAGGCCCTACAAAGAAAGAAAGAACATTAAAATTAAACGTTAAGATTTTTAGGTAATTTGACATGTTTGATGAAGCGTTATAACTTATTTCCAAATTGTCAAAAAAAATTCTCAACGACAAATTGGCATATCGCAACTGGTTAACCATGGCATGTTAACTAAGTAAGAGTCATGTAACTTTGAGTTTGAACGTCGGGACTCGGGCAGCTTGCATTCTCAAGCGTTAAAACAACCTGGAATTAGGCAAAATCTCACCAATTTTGTAGCCTTGAAAGGCTCTCCACAAAGATGAGGTGGATCCATGTTGTAAAAACATGAACAGAAGTCCACATTCAAGGAAATGGGCGGAAGTTTGGAGCAGGTTTCATGAGCAAAAATATCAACTGCGAGCAGCCATCTTGATTGGCATTCAAAAGCAGCGCTTGTAAAAGAACCCCTCTGATTGGCTGAAGGTTGTTGCAAAAAAATTAAAGAAAACGATTGGCTGATTTCTACTTGATCTCTTGAGGGCGGTATTCACGCACACCGGGCGTGCGCTAAAAACCAAAATGTCTGCCTTTTCTAGTAAAACTTCAATGGAAGGTCCACTAAGTAAGTGGACAAATGTCATGAAAGGATGGCAATATCGATGGTTTGTCCTAGATTACCAGACGGGGTTGCTCTCCTACTATGTGGTAAGTTAAAATAGTGGAAATGATCGCGGTAGTAATTGATTTTTTTGGTGGGTTAAATTCATCCATGTCCTTCGCTTTTCAGGTGAATGATTTTTCCCCATTAGATTTGTACAGTCTTTATGTAGTGTGTGGTCGAGCAAAAAAAAAAAAGGTGGGCGGGCGGGGCAGGGGTCTTGGTAAATTTAGGGTGGATGGGTCCGATTACTCCTAGAACTATGAGGCTCCACGTAGTGGAGCCTCATAGATTAAGAACCCCGCAAAATTGTTTTCAGCACAAAACACTAATTAAGTACAAAAACGTCCATCAAAATGCAGACATTTCCTACTCCTAGAACTATGAGGCTCCACGTAGTGGAGCCTCATAGGTTCAGAAGCCCGCAAAATTGTTGTCAGCACAAAACACTAATTAAGTACAAAAACGTCCATCCCAAGCAGGCCGTTTTCCACAGAACCGCTGCACAGTTTGCCCCTAAACTCCATACAATACCTCATGACATACTCACGTTATGTGCACCCAACAAACATCGGTGGATTCTGTCTGTTTTTCGGCAAAAATGATGAAAAATATGCCCTTTCCGCACTGAGCCAACCTAACACTTGAAACGAGCACGCGTGCAGAATGATCGCAGTCATTTTCGGTTCGATCGCTCGGAGCGCGCCGCGGGGGGTATGGTGTAGAGCGGAACGATAGTATGCACATGCGTACAAGTGCAAGTACGTACCCCCCGCGGCGCGCTCCGAGCGATCGAACCGAAAATGACTGCGATCATTCTGCACGCGTGCTCGTTTCAAGTGTTAGGTTGGCTCAGTGCGGAAAGGGCATATTTTTCATCATTTTTGCCGAAAAACAGACAGAATCCACCGATGTTTGTTGGGTGCACATAACGTGAGTATGTCATGAGGTATTGTATGGAGTTTAGGGGCAAACTGTGCAGCGGTTCTGTGGAAAACGGCCTGCTTGGGATGGACGTTTTTGTACTTAATTAGTGTTTTGTGCTGACAACAATTTTGCGGGCTTCTGAACCTATGAGGCTCCACTACGTGGAGCCTCATAGTTCTAGGAGTAGACATTTCCCACAGAACCGCTGCACAGTTTGCCTCCAAACTCCGTACTACACCTCATGACATACTCACAAAATATGCGCAGAACAAACATCGCTGGATTTTGTCGGTTTTTTGGCCAAAATGATGAAAAATATGCCCTTTCCGCACTGAGCCAACCTGACACTTGAAGCGTGCGTGCATATGATCGAGCGATGATTTTTGGTTCGCTCGGAGCGCGCCGCGGGGGGTACGGTACAAGCGAAATGTAGTATGCGCATGCGTACAAGTGCTTGTACCGGAATGTCAGACAAGTCGACCGTTGAGACAACTCGACTCGGGACAAGTCGACCGTTGAGACAACTCGACCGTTGAGACAAGTCGACCGTTGAGACAACTCGATTCGGGACAACTCGACCGTTGAGACAGCTCGACTTAATGGAAATGTAAACACGTGGAGTGGAAAAAGGTGCAAAAATCTGTGGCAGGACCAGTCCTGGGCGCGGCGCGGGCATACTCGATGCACAGAGGGCGCTCCGATCCGGTGGCCGTCGCGTCGGGTGGGCGCGCCCCGCCCGCGAGGACCGGGCCCGGCCCAGCACGCGGGTACGTCAACCGGCGCGGCAAGTGGGCGCACAGGCCCGGCAAAAACGATGTCACCGTGCACGGTACCGACACGTTGACCGGGGATAAGTGCGCGCACAGGCCCGGCAAAAATGAGTGTCACCGTGCACGGTACGGACAAGTTGACCGGCAAGTGGGCGCACAGACCCGGCACAAAAACGATGTCACCGTGCACGGTACGGCCACGTTGACTGGGGATGCGCGCACAGGCCCGGAAAAAACGAACGATGTGCACGGACAATCACGCTGCGCTATATATCGGCTCTGTTATATGCAACCCAAAAAACTCAGCCGCCGTCAAAAATCCCCGGTACTATCCCCAAAACTAGGCCCAAAACATGCGAGGCGACTTGTCTCAACGGTCAACTTGTCTCAACGGTCGACTTGGGCCAAGTTCGTGCAAGGACTATAGTTGACCAATGGTTAACTAACGTTTGCCCGAACTCTGTCTAGTCAACGGTGGTTGACTACGCTAGTTGACTATTTGGAACCAGCCTACTGGGGTTGGTTGCTTCGCTGGTAACTAATAGCCGCGCGCATTCATAACGCTAGCAGAGAGCCAGGATCCCGAAGTTTTGCGATGACATTTTGACCAGCGTTTGACAAGAGACGGTCGCACGTTGCTATCAGTGCGCAGGCGTAAGGTACGTCACAAATCAACCACTAGTCGACTAATGGTCCTTGCCTGAACTTGGCCTTGTCTTTCCATTTATCGCACATACGGTCGACTTGTCTTAACGGTCGAGTTGTCTCAACGGTCGACTCGTCCCAAGTCGAGTTGTCTCAACGGTCGACTTGTCTGACCCCCCTTGTACCGTACCCCCCGCGGCGCGCTCCGAGCGAACCGAAAATCATCGCTCGATCATATGCGCGCACGCTTCAAGTGTCAGGTTGGTTCAGTGCGGAAAGGGCATATTTTTCATCATTTTGGCCAAAAAAACGACAAAATCCAGCGATGTTTGTTCTGCGCATATTTTGTGAGTATGTCATGAGGTGTAGTACGGAGTTTGGGGGCAAACTGTGCAGCGGTTCTGTGGGAAATGTCTGCATTTTGATGGACGTTTTTGTACTTAATTAGTGTTTTGTGCTGAAAACAATTTTGCGGGGTTCTTAATCTATAGTTCTAGGAGTAGGGTCCGATAGGGTGCCATTTTGCGAGTTCTGAAGGCACATTTAACAATTTGTAATGACTTAATCTTTATGGCAGCTGTAAATAAATGTAATGCAATTTTAAATGAATTTTTGCTTCTTTCTTATTTTGATATGCAGGCCCATTAACATTAATTAGGGGGACCTAAGCCACTCTAACCTGTAACTAAGTGTAAGCTGCAACGAACACACTGGGGTCTGTACAAATGTTCCTTATACTAGGCCCTATAGTTATCTTAATAGTGATTGTGCATTATAATAGAATTTACCATTTCGGGAGCCAAAGGCAGATGTTTGTAGGGTGCCAGGTCAACTCGTCCCCTGGCCGACTCGCCCCCTGACTGACTCGCCTCTTACAAGCTCGCCCCCTGGCCGACTCGCCCTCTCGCCAACTCGCCTCCTATAAATAAATAAAATGCTGCTACCGGTTTCCCTACCTACCCTATTCTGACAGCCCCTACCCTAAATTTTTTTATGGGAAAAATAAGGGGGAAAAAACACCCAAAACCATCAATTTTTTACGAATTAGGCCCTAATTTGGAACGCAATGTATCCATTGAATATCTTGAATGCTTGAATAATTGAATAATATACAACTTTTTTTTCATTAATGAATTGATTAAATAGAGGGCTTGAATATTTTCTTCAATTTTTGGATATAGATATTAATATAACATTTCAACAGTTTATTATGAATAAGACAATAAATATCCTTGGATATTAATTATCTTGTTCATAAATATTGTATGACATTGGGTTCGCCACCTGTAGGGGAACCCGTGGCCAATTTTTATGATCATTTTGACCTTGACCTTATGATGACCTTTGACCCCAGTTTGGTCATGTGACATGTTTGGGCTGGGCTTCAGATACTTTATACAAAGTTTGGTTGAAATCAGTCAAAGTATGTAGGAGCAATAGACAATTTTACAACATTTGTTACTAACCAATGGACTAACGATTTGTTGAGCTGCTACTGTTACCTGCAGCTAAAAATATTCTAGACATAATGGCACAGAAATCCTTTTCTTATAGTCATAAAAATGTTAAGAAATTGGTTAGCTAAACATCTGCAGACTGGATTCTCACCATCAGGTTGTTTCATTTCCTCTTTCTTTGATTTATTTTTTTAGTCCAAGGAGAAGATGATGAGAGGGTCAAGAAGAGGCTGTGTGAGATTGAGGGTAATTATCAATTAATTGCTCATCCTATTTATATAAAAACAATAAAGTCAATTGTATCGATATAAATCGTTTATTGCCAATCCAGTTATTTGATTATTCAGGTACCCTCATATTAACACCCCTTATTAGAAAGATTGTGTATTACGGTAGACTTTGTTAGTCTTTTTGAAAGATTTTCTGGTATTTATTAGTTGTGTCTTGTGTACAGTTAACATTGTGTTCATTTCCCTGGTTAGTTGATGCTTGAACTACGCATACACCATTTTGCTAGCGCAGGTTTCACACATCTTCTTGTGTTGCTTTTTTACATTCACATTGAAAACAAGGTCAACTTGTTTAACTGAATATTGGTCGAAAATGCAAGATGGCATAAAAATTAAAAGTAAGATTTTGCAGGAAAAGTGCATGAAGCTTCAAGATGTTTACACAAAAAGTGACTGCAGAGTTGAAAAATCTGCAAACTGATTTGTCCGTATAACCCTTCTCCTTTGACCTTTTGACCTTTGGATGTCTGGATTTGTTCCAATAAGAGCCAGTCTAAATTTTTTCTGCCTGACGAGGCCATGAGGTAAATATCTATCCTGTTGGATTTCTTTGAGGTGAAAAAGTCACTGTGTGCAGTCAACCTGAGCTACAATGTACTTGTATGTGCTGAGCTAAAAAGATCTACTAGCCAATGAAATCACATACAAATGTACTCGGTACACGTGATTAAAAGATATTTTTGAACAAAGTTTCTAAAGCCTGCTGGCGTTTGTCCCCATTTTTTAAATCATATGACTGACAAACAAGAATAATGTGCTTTCATTGGCTAGCTAATCTTTTAGCTCAACACGTACTGGTAGCTCAGGTTGACCGCGCACGGTGAGTTTTGAAATCAAACAGGATAGATTTTTGCTTGCGAGGCAGAAAACTCTGCAAAGATTCACCATACACGGTGATATTTTGTGAGCTATGTGAGGAGCAAACGGCCTTGAATGACTTTTGTGTGGTGGGCTTAAGGAGGGAATTCCAGACCCTCCTTTGTTCATCCTTTTGTCCCCCTGTGGCCTAGATTCAACCCCTGTCTTTAGTTCCCAAGTCTTCTCAGTAATCCTCCGTGGTTTGTTTCTGCTTGACAAACTCCACATAATTTAGAGCTTACACATGCGGAGCTTGGATACAAAAATGCAAATTGAGTTGAAATGCAAATTGAGACCATAGATTGATGCTGGTACTGTACAGTATTTAGCAGTTAGACAAAGGAGGAGAAATCATGCATGTTATTATCATAACCCAGTGGACTCTTCTTCAGCACACAAGCTGATTTGTCCAAATTTTCTAATGGCATGACGTCAGCTTATCATTTATTTTTTTTAACTACCAGCATATGCTACCTTCATTTTACAACCATGTAAATATTCTGATACTCTCCCAATATGATCAGTGATATGTTGTACATTATGTTTCTGTTTCAAGTATCAGCATAATGTGTGGATATTGATACTGGGTCTTTATGGTTGACTAACTACAAACCATGCGTGACTGCACAGAAGCACTGTACAGTAGTGAGTCTGTTCTAGCCTGTCCCTTTGTATGAAAGCACTTGCTTTCAGCTGGCACCACATTGTCAATTGTTGTATTTGTGATCAATATTCCTGGGAGCATGGTGATGGTTGTCAGTCTCATATCTGTGGACATTCTGGATGTGTCTGGAGGAGTTTTGTGCATGCAGTGGAATAACTAGCGCCAAGTGAGCCTTGATATGGTGTATAATACCTCAAGGGGTTACAAGGGGGTACAAATGGCTGACAACTCTGAAGAGCAGTTGTACATGGATTATGTGGTCATTCCAGACGGGATGCAGGATGAGGATCAGGTAGGTTGGGACCTCAATAACAGCAACGGTGTTATCACTGGTTTGATGTAGGTTCCAGACATGCATGCACACTCTATTACATAGAGAATGCATACGCAAGCAACTCTCTGTAAGCAAAACTACTACCCTAAGAATATGTTTTTTGTGCTGTATGGCTTGTCTTACATAATTTTTGAGGAATTCTTTTTTTTAATGGGAGAACATAGTATCTTGAAGCCACACCTTTTTCAACTTCAAATAACATCAGTGATGGTCAGTCATTGCAAATATGTTGGGAAAAAAATAAATTGGGGACTGATAAACTCAACATTTGTTAGAAAATACTTTTAAAAATGACTCTTCATGGACTTTGTACTAAGCAACGAGATTAGCATCAGGATTCTACACTGTTTCCATTTTGCGATGAAGGAGGTGCATTGATGAATGTGGTAGAGTAAATATGGGTCATTTCTTTCTATACATTTAGGGTCCAAAGTGTGACATTTGTCCTGTCCCTGTAAACTTGGTACTTTGTAATTTGCCATTCAAGTATGTATGAATGACTCCAAATGATTTCTTATTTGCTGGGTACATGTAGGTAGTTTGCTATTCATAATCACCCTTGGAGGATGACTGCATTAAGGAGTGCATCAGCATTATACAATCATAAATGTCAGATGTAACAGGGACAGGGAATAAAGTCGACCCAAATTTATAGAATGACCCACTTATGTGTAAGACCCCTCCTCTCCATAAAACTTAAATAAAGAGTTCATTATTGGGTATTGATCAGTATCTGATTTCCTGACAGGGTGCATTGATCGGTATTGATGACCAGGATGATTCCACCTTCACCATTACCTGCGACCAGAAAACCTTCCATTTCCAAGGTAAACCATTGTAACTTCAATTATGTGAGGCGTGCTGGCAAAATGAGACAGAACTGGGCAGAGGTCGAAATGAGGGTTTGTAGGTATTAGGAAAGAGAATACAATTCTCCTTACAATACTGTTTGTTGGACTTCAATCGGAAATTCCGTTGACAAGTTATGGCTGTTTATAGTTCGCATCTATCGACATGTCAGACAAGTAAACTACTGAGAAAAAGGCCTTTAATATTTCACGTTTTCTGGTTGTCAAAATGAAAGATGCTAATTTTTTTCCTTAAAAACAATTTTATTCCATGACTATTAGTCTACCGGGTATTACTTTAAAATATGTGTAGTAGACATACCAAAGATTACAAATATCAGTAAATCTGAAAATTGAAAAAAAAACACCTTTTTTTTTAAAAAATTATTTTTTTCCACTACGCCCTGTGCCCAGTTCTGTCTCATCTTGCAAGAAGGCCTCACATTATTGTGGTCTCCTCAGTGAAGACATTTCATTCTACAAATGAAATAAATCCTTTTCAGACCAAGATTCAGAAACACTAGCTGGGTTTTGAACCTACTACCAATAATATCTTAAATTAAAGATCTTAGGTTGGCACATCTACCGCCTTGGACATAAATCTCTACATGTGTGGATGTACATAAAGCATAATTATTCATTCAATATTTTTGTTGCAATCTTCAATCAGCTCAACATGCTGACGAGAGGGTGCAGTGGGTCAATGCACTGGAGGAAACAATTCTCAAACATTCACAGCCTGCCAGGGTAAGCAATCCGACTTTCTTTCTTAAAACAAGTCAATAATGTTAAAACAATGTCAGAGATATAAATCATGATAGAAAGCGTAAACGTTCTCGTCTGTAATCTTGTAGCAACAAACGAAATGTAAATATTGTCTTTGTTTTGTAGTCACTACAAAACCACAAGAGGGCATGTTACATCTGATAATGTAGTAACAAATGGATAACGTATCACCTGATAGCCTATGAGCGCTCCCTGGATGTACAGTGGAACGTCGCTATACCGAACACCACTATACCGAACATTCGGCTATATACCGAACATCATCCTTGGCTCCCGGTTTTAATGTACAAAACATACCGAACATCGTTGTTAAAAAAGTCAACGTATTCCAATGTATTCCATGTACACGTATTAAACACTGCTGGGCCACTTTCTATTCCCGAACATCAAACCACCCATGGTTACATCGTGTTTGAATGTGGAAGAGTGATTGATGGCTATTATTTCCCCAAGGAATAAAATGGAAAACCACCCGTTGCTAAACGTTTGTGACAACTCCTCGTTCGTCCGCGGGATGTGAGAAATGCCAGTTCAGTGACTGCACTATTGGTCAAAAGAGGGTACCGGCTGTTCAAAATCGCTATACCGAACGATCGTTATTACAAACACTTTCTATGGATCCCACGATGTTTGTTATAGCCGCGTTCCACTGTAATACATATTATGCTCTGTATTCCCAGTAGAATGCTCACTTTTTTTCAATGAATACATTTTTCTAAGTAAAATCTCAACATGTAAACTGTAAGTTGGAGTTTTATAAAGTGTGGATAGTTAACATTGTTTAGATCCGTATTGCAAAGTGTATGTGTGTGATGATAATTCTTTACATAACATCAAACATTTACTGAAGTGGTAGAAGTTATAGGTTTTGAGTTTCAGTTGTAGTGGAGAATTTGTTTTACTTCAATTTCTTTTTAATTCACCCTCTGTGTTCTTAGCCTCATGGTGTTGTACGATGTACATGTACATGTACAAGACTCTGCATTTCATGATGATCGATGTATACTCGCCAGTCATGGTTGGCCTGCTTTCAGTGGAGTACCGAAGTGAATACGTCATGCGCACAAAATGTGTATGAAAGACATTAGCGCGTTATTCAGCCCGTGAACCAACACGTGCGCGTACTGAACCGTACTCCATTCATTTGGGCTACACTTTCTGGTTCTAAATGACGTCACACTTCTGTACTCCATTCTTGCGATACAGACTTACACTACAGTACTTTACTTTTGTATGAAAGCCCATCATTGTCAGACATGCATACAGTGGATTGTGTAGGAGGATACATTGGTCATGTATAAGACACATTGTCACTCATGGTATACATACATGAACATGGAAATGTGTACCGGTATCTAGGCTTTTATTTACACACATGTAAATACGTATACAGATGCCGCTATATTTGGCGGTTATCCACTATTGGCTGGAGGAAATAAATAAATATATACTGGTAAGTATTGACATGACTGAGTTCATACTCATGCTTAATACCATATTTGCATAGTTTCAATCAATTAAATTTTCCCATTACGACTACTATGAACAGGACCTTTGATATTGATAAGTATCCCATTAGGTAAATAAAAAGCAACTGTTGCACATGTAATGTACTCTGTATCAAAGTACATGTATACTTGTTGATGGCGTCAGTCAAGGCATGTAGTCAGTTACATATAATCAATCAGTTTAGCTGGTACCCATCAGATGCAGGTGCAGTAACGCCATCTCCGAAAGGGTGTGTTTGTATAGCAAGGCTATTTCTTGCAGCACTCCTTGTTTATAAATATTTTGCGTTAACTGATTTTTTTTTACAGAGAGAACGGCTTATTAGTCAGACACCCCAAAAAATTCTGCTTAAAAAAATTGTCATTTGCCCATCTCCGAACTTGATATGGATATGATGCAACATGTCACTTAAAACTTATCATTAAAAATATCAAACAGGAAATTTATTTTGGATTTTGTTGATTTGAGCAGTAAACAGAAGGCTATTTGTTCTGTATCTGTTGGATTCTGTAGGATTCAAATAATACTGGCCAGGAGCAAGGTGTACATGTAATGTGGGCAATTCCAAAGAATAACATAAATCTCAATGACAAAACTTCCAAAACATCCCAATGCCACAGTTAATCATGTTTTTCATTGTGTAGCTTAGTATCTGTATTTGATTAAAATGTAGTTGTTGTTTTTTAACAATGTTAACAGTTCAGCTGTTATTCAGCTGAAAAATTATGAATAGTACACAAAAACAAAATCCATTTGTCTGAGTGCAATCACACCATGGTGTTCAGAACTGATTTCTACTACAGCAAAACAGTTGGATGAATAATTTAAAAAAAAACTATTGTAGTAACTAACTGATAAGTGTTATCAGAATTAAAATCCACTTGATGATAAAACTTCTATTACGCACGCAGTTGAGTTGTCCAAGATGACGTCCGACACTGTGGAACTGCCCAACTACCATTATCTTGAAGTACAATGTACTTCACCAAAATAAAGTAGAAGCCAATTTTAAGGTGGAATCACGGTAAACCACCTGAGCAATTTTGTAATGCTATTGGTTGAAGGAGCCTGGGGTGTGCGTACCAGCTGAGCGCCACTCGCGTGAGCCTTTTTACTTCCTCAGAAAATGGCTGTCACTAGATAAATATTCTTTTCAACCTCCTGGAAATAGCAACCATGACTTTTTCAGTTTTTCCTCTACATTATTAAGACAGCTACTCAACTTTATACAGTCTGTGTTCCAATCTCATACATGTACCATAAATTGAGAAGTTATCTCAACAGAAAAGCATTTGTGCAAACAAGTTTAGAACACTCCACCCATGATCTATGTAATTCATTGCTTGCAGCATGGCTCTGTACATTCCATCATAGTAGTATCATATCATTCCGTGTCCATGCTTTGTCAAGTAAGGATGACAAATTGATCAAAAATTTCCTAAGAGTACCCAAAAACCGTGTAGAACAATCCTTATATGACTAATGTAAAGTACTTGGGCCTAATTTAGATCTGCGATCTCGCCTGTGATCTAGGTAAGTTGGATTTTTTAAAACCGGCCCACATGTCAAGTACCACTTGTGTAGTTTTGATGAGTTCACAAGTCCAGTTTGTTCCAGGGGTACATTTCAAAGGTACATGTACATGTAGGTACCATCGGTCACTATTAGAAGTATTATTTTTAGATGTCAAAGATTGCCTTTTTGCCCCAATGAAATAGGGAGTACAGAAGTTGTCATGTGATAAGTTGCTCATCAGTATGTGGATATCAGAAGTCACAACTCACATTTTGCTGTTTATTCCTGGATTAACAAAAATGCTACACAGGTGATTCGCAATATTGCTGCAGTGATCTGCGTTTGACTTTCTGCTTCGGTCCATTTTGTGGGAAGTCCTTGCGCTGGAACTGAAACAAAGGATTTTCGTCCTGGAAGCTCATTGATTTGGAAATTATGCGCACCTGTCATACAGAATTTCTGAAGACTTTCCTATGGATGCATATTGTCACCAAGACTTTGCAGTGAAATTCCTACAGCAGCTGTATATGTTAGAACTGTCCTGGCCAAAGAAGTAAAAAGCTAGTGTAGTCTTCTTCTGAGTACTGTAAATGGCAAAGGAATGTTTGAGTTCTATTTCCCATTGTGTTAAGTTCTTTGGACTGGGCACGGCATTCCATTCCATTCCACACGCCTGTTTTCAAAACTGCTCGACTTGTCTTACAATTCCATGCAGTCAAACTTCCAGGAAATATGAGGCTTAATATGCACTACTTCAGACCACAAAATGGATATTTTTGAGTTTGATTGAATTAACTGAAGGTGCATACAGTCCAAGTTGGCAGTCTGTGGTCTGGATAAAATGATGGGCCTTTGAAAAATTGTCAAAACTAAAGTTGGAATACTCAGTAATAGATGCAGTGATGTCCGTGAGTGTTAACCAGTGAGAAGTGTCTTGCCTTTTATGCTGTGAATCTTGGTACTCACACGTAGTGATGTACACTGTGTGGAGAACTCATCATCATCATCATCATCATCCTCCACAAGACACAAAGCAAGAACCCGCAATGAACACGGAAGAGGCGGCACCTAGGGAGGTGGTGCGCAAGAGGAGAACTAGTTTGACTAAGAGATTACTAAGGAAACGTTCCTCAACCAGAGACAGTAAATTGTGCGAAGATAAGCAACGAGAGCCTGAGCATGATCATGATCGGACGGACTTGGCAAACTCGGTAGGGAGAAATATTCAATGTGTGATTTTCTCCCAAAAAAATTATAATAGGGTTTTTGTGATATTGTCCTCATTTCACAAACAACATGATGTTAAAAATGACAACTGAAATCCCTGTATCAAACTAATTTTTTTGACATTTTCATTTGAAATTGATTTGATTTCTTAACATTTTTTTTCAAGTAATTTAAAATGGTGTATTACTCAAAATTGGCTCAGGAGAGTTTTGATCCTATTGGGGTTTTTTGGTCAAAAAAGGCTTGAATAAATTTAGTACAAATCTTGTGTCCCACCCTTTTTCAGTATGAATAGGCACACATTATTTTTTTGTGTAAATGAATCAACTTTTTCTGTCAAAGATTGAAACCCTTTCGACAAAGAGTACTTACAATTTCCTACATTATTGTATAATCCATTGTATGTACAGCTACTGCATGGTTGTACTGTTCCCTTTGGCAAACAATTCATGGTCTGGTAGCTCACAAAAAGAGACCTTTCTAAACCTTTCTTCGCTTTGTAAATAATGTGTAGTTGGGTTGGAGAGTTTCTAGTTGGTTTTTCCGCATGTTGAAAACTATAAATGCATACTTTGTATTGGAGTAAACTGCAATGTTAGGCTATGCATACTACGGTGAAAGAAGTGGTTGCTTTGCTCTGTGTTTCATCTGGTCTCAGTTCAAGCCACTTTGTGTTCCCTGCTGATGCTTTCATCATCTTGAATAGTTGGCATCATGGCCATGAGTGGTATTAACACTTTGAGAAGGAGACTAAGTTCTTTTGATCGCTGGTACAAACAGGTAAAATTGATGACATGTAATGTGGGATTTTGTGCATTTTTAGGAATGTTAAGGTTTAAGTTGGGTTTTGCCCTTCACTGATGTAACATTGTACAATTCACGGTACTGTGTGAGAAATTGTGAAAAAAACTCACAAGCTTGCTCAGATACACGTAGTTTCTGGTTTTTATTTCGCAAGGCTGCTTGCTAGTGCAGACATCGTGAGCACTCACCCACAAGTGTGCGTGACTGATTAATGCACCTGTCAGACCCCATGACCACCCCCCCTCCCCTGCATGGTGCGTCAAGTGTGCGTCATGCTCCTCATGGCTGTGACACAGGGGTGTGTCAAGTCATGATTTGGTGTGTCTTAATATTTGTGGGGTGCATCACAGCCTGTGAAAGGTTGGTCAAAAATGCTGCCAAATGGCATAAAAACTATGCATTTGGTGCATCACTACTCTGACACAGGGGTGTGTAGATTCCACAAAAGGATGACCCACTGTTGGACAATGACACACCAATCCCCGGATAGGTGCATTATAACGAAATGTGCACAAGGGTGCATAATTTTTCTGTGTTCAATAAGAATGATCCTGTTTAGTGCATTTTTTTCCCTTAAAGGGGTAGTTACGTACAGATTGTATTCACAAATTAGTGTGTATTTATTCTTGAACGTTTATCTGCAAAGATCTTGAGTGGACATCATACCGAAGAGCTGATTCTGTGAAATGCACTCAGAAGCCAAAACAAGAAATGGAATTCCTAATTATTATCCAAGGATGCATCACCGTCATTCCCTTCAATCATAATGAATCTCTACTAATCCACATGTACATATTCTGCTGCAATCACTACAGATGCACTTAAGCCGTCATATGTGTAAATATAATTACAGTAGAAGCCATCATGATCAAATATAATTCATTAGACGATGACATCCGGTTTGTAATAATAAAAACACATCATAGACGTCTCAAGGATCAAGGAAGGGAGGTTGCCTAGTTGCGATTACGCAAGCATCATTGGTTGTTCATGTATGAAACAAGGATCGGCGTGTCTGCATACAGACCGTTCATTTCATTGATGTGTTGATGTTGAGGCGTGCTCTTGGTTTTTTGGATACTCTGTCTTGTAATGAAGCCGGTTATCAAAAGATACTGAACGTATTTTCATGTATGCATAACTCAGACAGACTGATACATCTGTGTTCATGTAGATTAGGAGCAGCTAATTACTCCAAGGACTGGAAACTGAGATTGGTAAATAAATTGTACTTGTTTGCTAGAATATTTATTTAAGGTGTTGGTTTTTCTGGAATCAGCACATTTTCACTATTTTGTTGTCTGACGTGATGATGCCTTTGAAACCTGACAAATAAATTGGAAAGTTGCTTTGCTTGTTTCTGTCGACTCAGCTTTTCTGGATACTGCTGTTGAACATATTAAAAACCTTTGAACATTAGCCTCTCTGGTTAGATTCGAACCACCAACTCTAACTTGCTAGTTCATTCAATCCCTGAGCTTCCTGACGTCACCTGACTGATTGGAGTCCTGTGCAGGAGTGTAGACTGAGATTGTATGCCGGGGGTTCCGGGTTCGAATCCTGGCTGGAATGAAGTTGTCCCCGGTGGTGCCAAAGCACGGAATATGGTAGACTGGAATGTGCATGTAAAATGGAATCTAGAAGAGAAAACATGTATATTTGTAGTGTTTCACATGTTTCTGATACTGATCCCAAACAGCTGCAAAGTTTACCATTGTTCATCGACCTTGAAATGGATTTGAATATTTAATATACTTATTTGTTCAATAACGCGTTTTCTACTAATTACGTGATACATACCGTGGGAAATAAGGTTAATTATCGTGAGATAGACAGCAAATCTACAGACCTTCATACATTCCTTAGTCTGGAGTCGTATCCTGTCCATTCATGGGTCAGACGCATTCCGTAGGTTGCTGTTTCTGCGTAAGGTCCGGGGCTGCGGTGAGTTACTGGAAAAGGGATTTGGCTGTGTCGTAAAATTGAAGTTGTAGCTGTGTAGAAATAGATTCTGTAGATGTATTAGGAAGACTACCTGAGAATCAATCCTTATTCATGTTATCTATGCAGGATGATGGGTCATCTAGTATTGCCTGATGTACCCAGGACTGTTCATTTCTGTGAGTTGGATCAGCTTGTCAAAGCCAAATATGAAGAATAAGTGTAGAACATTATGCATTCTGTCATCGAAGAATTGTGTGAACTGTCTCACCTACAACAGTTAAGCCTGCTGTATCCATCGGAATCCATCAGATTGAACTGAAAGTCATTGATTTATCTCCTGTGTCAATTGAATCCAGTTGATAATTACACCCATTGTTAGGACGGACAGATTTCAGTAGAATTATGGTCATTAATTTTGTCAAATGCATGTTTTACTGATTTTCCCTTGTGTCGCTCCAAACCACCTGCTGTCCTTTTACTCCCTTTACTGCCCCAAAGCACCCCGGCACAAGATGGTTGTATGGATTCACCAGGGAATAAATACAGTGTATTACAATGTATTACAATGTATTACAATGTAGTACAATGTGTTACAATGTAGTACAATGTAGAAAATTGTAGTTCACTGTAGTACAATGTAGTACAGGGCTAATGGGTTAAAAGCTATTGCAATTTCAACTAGAATTCAGAGACAAAAAAGTGCATAATTTATATGGAGTTTTCTTTTTGTTTTGTGACTCCTTATTACAGTTTGGTAACAAGTCACGCCCCCGACCCAAACCAACAGTCCAGGATTTCGACAGGAAACTTGCCGAGTCAGACGCCTACCTCCAGATCCTCATCGACCAAGTCTGTGCGTTTGAGGCACGGATTGAAAAACTAGAAGACGAGGCGGAGAAACAGAAATATGAACAACTCAGGGCTCAGGCCAAGGTCAGTGTTTTTATTTTGAAGGGGGGGGGGGGAGGAGGGATGGAGGGGGGTGGTGGAACGATAATCCACCATAATCTTCCAAGAGTCTTGGGAAATCTATCGAGAAGTATTGAGGATTTTTCAGAATTGAGGATGATTGAGCACAGGCGCCTTTACTTCCACCCTCCCAGATCTCTCACATTCTACAAGGAATTTTTTGAAACCCTGGCAGTATTTAAAAATGATTGAGCCAGGCCCCCGTCATTTTTACATGGCATTCTCTGTAGTTAAAAAAACGCCCCCCCCCAAACCCCCCCAAATCCTATATAGATACCGTTAGTTTCATATTGAGCATATGAAAGGGAGAGGACCTACAACTGTACTTGTAGCTCAGTGCCATGTACATGCATGCTTACTCACACACGTATAGTAAAACCCTTGCAAGTGCTTCTAGTTAAAGTTGCCTTCCTCGTGCTCTTCAACGAATTCAATTTTTTTCTAATATTAAATTTTCAATGCTTTTTTCCAACACAGAAAACCTTTTTTTACCCAATGTTGAACATCAGCGATCCTCTGAAAAAGAGTTTTTTTTGTTTTGGGCACAAACAGATTTACTTTGTGAGCAGACTGGCTCCCGGTCGGGTTCGTGCATTATTAATACTGATTGTGGGGCAGGAACAAGCCTAACAAGAATTATTGTCTGGCAGCCAATAATTTAAAATGGAAGTAATAATTCAAAAACTAAGCAGTGTTTTTTTTTGGTCAATGTCTCATTCAAAAATGAAAAACGTTTGTATTGCTAGAAAAACATCAATGAAGAAACAGAATTTACTTTTTGGGATAAATCTCGAAAATAGCACAGGAATGCAACTTTAAAAAAGCCCAGTTGGTGTTTCACTCAGAGCTGCTTTTGTGTGCTATGCAGAGACCAAGCTGGTCAACCATAATAATACCAGTGCTCAATGCACACACATACTGTAAATTGTGTGTAACGTGAAAAGAAAACCTTGAAATAAGTTCTGCAAACTACAGTTAACTCTATGATTTTGTAGAATCGGGAAAAAAACCCACTGTCCATGTTTAAAGGGAGTGTCCACCAATGTCATGGGCATTCCCAAACACAATAGGTCTTCCAAAATGGAAGGTTTTTGTGAACAATGGACCTAGCCTGAAATCCATACACGTATAATACATGTATTCAATTCAGTGTTTTTCAGTGTGTGGAATTTACAGTACTATGACTTTGGTATTTTATCCTGTTTGTTCACCCAGGCTATGATTGAGTCTGTCAAGCAGGCCATAGTGTTATTACAACTAGCCAAGGTAAGTCAGAACTTTTTCTTAGATTTTTTGATATTTTTTGGTTTGGAAATAACAAAACTTGTAATATTTGCATTCGCAGTCATTTCATTTCACACAAACTCTGCATTTATTGTGGCATTATATTGAATCTTACATGTTAGGCAAGCGGCAACGGTGGCCATACATTTATTGTACATGCATTTGTATTGTGCTATTTATACATTTCAATTCGCATACAGCTCTGCAGCAGTGTTGCTCTAAAATAAGATCAACCTTTTTCTGGAGAAGCAAAATCCATTCTCAATTTTAGAAAAATATATCTTCCCTTGAATGGCAAAAAATGTTCAATATAAAAAAGGTGACGCTGCTGTGTAGAAAATACAACTTTTAGTAAGGAAAAAAAGCAAAATGTTTGGTGTGTTTTGCTGGCATAGAGTAGTTATAATGAAGAGGGGAATACTGCAGGTGTGCATATACTTAAGTTGCACTTCAGTAAGAAGAACATGTACGATACATGAATTATAGCAATGCTCATTATCAGCCAAATTATAAAAATAACAAAACGCTGTAGTTGGGCATAAGACATTTTTTTCTTTCTTTTGTTGATCTGTGGGATATCTGCATACATTCGTATATCTGACAGTGTTGTAGTCTAGTTAGTTGAGTTGAGTCCGGTCCGAGTCTCAAGTCTCTTGGGTTCAAGTCCAAATCCAAATCACGAGTCATAAGCCAGTCGTACATGTACCGGTACATGTAAGCCCATGTATTGTTTGAAATGGATATATGCATGGACACAGACACTTATACATCAATACTGTAAAGCGATACTTACATGTAAGTGATGCGCTGTAGTGGGAAAAAGGTAGGAGCTCATTTAATAATTACGGTACTTGCAGCACCACCTGGACAGTGGTGCGGTACGGTTGGAGTTGTAGACTCAAGTCCTACAAAGCTGATATCTGAGACATGATATATGAAAGCTGATATCTGAGACATGATATACGAAAGCTGATATCTTATACATGTAGACTAATTCGGTGACAGCCATTTTCTGCGGTGGCACCAGGCTCTTGGGAGTTGCGCTCAGGTAGTGCACACATACTCCGGGCTCCTTCAACCAATAGGGTTACAAAGATGCGCACGCCCTGTCTATAAGAACATGTGCAGCATGTGCGTGAGCGTGGCACCACCGCAAATATGGCTTCTAATTTTGTTCGGAGAATTCCAGTAGAGTACATGTAACAGAAAGGCTGTAACTGTCAGATTTCTGTTTCTTCACTTTTTCATTTCTTGTCTTTTCACTGCTGTTTTTGTTCGTTTTCATGACCATGACAGTCCACCATTAAATGGCCTGTGAAGGCACCCAAAGTGAGTACATAGTACATTGTCATGCCATGCCTGGTACCGTACATTGCTTTGCCTGGTACTTTGCATTGCCTGGGTGTTCTGTGTTATTTTAATATAGTAACAATACGGTAAATGCGCAAAAGGTTTCCTCATGCCTATCCCACGGATGCAAAACCATTGCCCTCTAACTCTGCCTTAATGCATAAGGTCCATACACAGCAGAAGTTGAATGTTCTCACCACTGTCTCCTGTGCTACATCATGAATGAATAGTGACTGTAGAAATACCGGTACTGCAGCTGTGACAGCTGAGTAGTTTGTAGAATGTCTGCAGACTTTGCTCAGTTTTATAACTCTATGGTAGAACCATAGAACTTTGCAGACAAGGGTCAAATTTCAATAGACTGTGTACTGTGTGACTTGGCACAAATTTTTTTGAATCTGAGTTCGTTTGTGCATTCAGTTCTTGCAGTTGAAGTCCGTCATTGTGTAGATGAATCTGTGCACCTGATCACTGTACACTCATGAGGCCCCCATCAATGGAGAAACCATTGTGCACACTATTGTACAAAGCAACTGCCCTGTGATGGATAATCTGAACAATAGCTAGCACAATGCTTTCGCCATTGAAGGGGGCCTTCATGATAAAATTGATAGCATGCCCAGATTGGTCTATAAGAGTTCATGTTTGCGCATCTATTTATTACCATCATGGGAGACTCATGTTTGTGCATTTGCATCTTTTATCTAATTGTTTGTCTCTTCTTCACTGATGCTGTTCAGTGTTCTTTCGTCTTTCTTGTGACCTGTGAGTTGTTTGACAGAAGTTTGGCAGACGAAGGACTCCATGCACGAATTCTTGTTACAGGCTTGCATTTAAGCATGCTTCATGTAATCAGAGCCGTCACTTAAAATCTGAAGAGCTTGATGGGATACTAATTGTTATTTGTGCTTGCCCCATAACTGGCAAAATTTACTGGACTGTACTCCTTCCATAACTTGGGCCTATTACCATAAAAAGCAGCAATTGGTATGGCAGTTTTGTCAAAAATCCCACAAAACTTGGGGTTATCAGTGCATATCTCAAACTTCACCCCATAAGTCTTTTTTTTCAGTTGGGTCCAGTAAATTTGCCATATTAATTGGGCTTTGTGTATGCATGTAGATGTACATGGGTTATTCTAAGATCCAAAGTGTGACATTTTTCCTGTCCCGGTTACCTTGGTACTTTGTAATTTTCCATTCAAGTATCATTGAGAATGACTTCAAAATATTTTTGTATTTGTTGGGTGGATAGTTTGCTATTCATAATCACTCTTGGAGGATGACTGCATTAAGGAGTGCATCAGAATTGTAGAATCACAGAAATCAGATGTAACAGGGACAGGGAAAAAAAGCGGAGCCCAAATTTACGGAGTGACCCACGTGTATGTTGTATGTGTACAAAATGTAACACATGGTTTTGTTCATTAGCAGTGGTCACGTTATGTTCCATGCTGTTTTTTTTTTTAGAAGAGTTCAGGCATGCAGGGGAATAGTCCTATTGAGAACACCTGGTGTTCTGGGCATGGCCTGTGTGCTCTGTTTGATTAGTCGGTATATTTGCAGCAGTATGTGTTCTGCATGCTCTGTAACATTGCTTAGTATTATGCATTTTGCATTATTATTATTATTATTATTATTAATTATTTCTGGTAATGAAACCAAGGATTCCTAAAAAGCACCCTAGGCACTGTAGCTCGCAAGCCTGAAAAAATCTGTAGAGGGAAGACAATGTGAAGAAATTTACAGTTTTAGAGGTGGGAGGAAAACCCCTGAAGAATGTTCTGGGGAAAACTCATGGAATCAGGTAGGGACTGAAAACCCAATCCACATGTGGGCCAGGGCAGGAATCGAACCCGAGCCATAGAGGTGGAAGGCGAGGAAAGTACAATGTATGGCTACGCCAACCTGACTCCCTGAATCTTTTTTTTCTTTACAGTGTATCGTTGTTAAAAGAGATGTTGTACAATAGTCATGTCTTTACAAACTTGGAGAGTAGTGCGTGGAATTCTTTGCAAATTTTTTTTTGCAATGTGCTTTCTCCTTTTCTGCTCATGCATGCTGATGCTGCTGAACAATTTTGTACACATGTATATACAGTTGTGCAGAAACAGATCATACATGTATATTTAGATCTTTAATTTTGATGGCATTCACTGCAAACAAGTAGTGGTTGCTTCATAACGTCACATTTGTTTTGTTATTCTATTTACAGAACACAGTCAACCCAGTGAATGGCCTAGTAGCCAATGAAATAGACACAACTCACCATGACAACGCTACAGATGAGCCGCTTGACAACCAAGTGCCTTTAGAAACACAAGGTAAGAGCACTGTTAGTCAAAACACAGATTGCTGTCTACATTTTGGGCAAGTTCTTCTGGTCATGTGAATGTCATTTGTGGAATAGTATCCTAATCCAAAACTATTTTTACACACGCGGCTTGTCAAGTTTAAAAAAAAAAAATTGTGAAACGTTCATGTACTTTGATATGGAGCTGTCCCATAGCATGTAACTTAATGCAGACAATTCTTTGATTAACTTTTTTTCAGAATGCCAAAAAATCTTAATGTCAATTTTTTTTTCAGAATGCCAAAAAATCCTAATGTCAAATATATAAATTACAACAAAACTGAAAAAAAAATAACATCACAAGTTGTTTGGTACATTATAAAAAAATTAATTAGACAGCATTTAGCTTTTCTACAGATGTCATATTGAATGTCCTATGTATTGCTTCAAAATGCTTTCTTCTTTCCGTCCAGTTGTCACCCAGGAGGTGGAGCCCACGCAGCCATCTCCCACCAGCATTGAGTCAGCTACTGAGTGCTTCGAGGAGAACAATGTTCTTGAACCGTCCACATCCCCGCATCCCACTCCTGTGATTCCAAGGACCGAGCACATCCCAGCGTTGTCCTACTCAAGCAGTGACGATGAGGACTTCTATGATGCGGACGAGTTCCCGGACTTAGACTTGGGGTAAGAGATTTGTGCTGAGGAAAGTAGCCAGACTGTGGATAAACTGGATATAGTAAAAGGGCACAGGCTGTAGAAATGTGACCTTTGAACCTATTCTGGTCTTTTAATTGTAGACAAATCAGTCAGTAAACTTCAAAGCAGGCTGCTCATTATCTCATACGTCCTTGAGCAACCTACTTTACTTTAATTGTATGGGTTAGTGTATGATCTACATGGATCCCTTGCCAGCTAATTTGAACAGCTTTCAAAGAAAATGCAAATTTATTCAGTCTTAACAAACATGTACAAACAGAAATTGCTGACGTTATCATAGACAGACTTAAAAAGTCCTTGGGTCCTTTCTTTTTCCCCCTAGACCTCAAGGAAGGCCTCCAATCGAAGACGAAGAAGAGGAAGAGGTCGTACAACCCCGCATGCACCCGTCCAACATGTACGAGGAGGAATCAGATGAAGAACGTAAGTGGTATGCTAGTGTGGAAGTTATTGCTAACAACAGCAAGAGGATTATGAAGCAGGTTTATAAGAACCTGATGTGGCAAGTGTAGACGATGCTATGTAGCTGCACATGAGATCCAAGAGCTTGTAATCAAATCAATCACAATTCAGCTGTTAGTCATATATTGTAAGTCCAGTGTCAAGTCAGGTATTCTTACTGTTTTCGAAGACTTTCCGATTGTCTTTGTGCATCCCCTGTTGCTTGTGACCTGGCAAGTGATTTAACTAATGATAACAGCTCTGTATGCTGTGTGTCCTCAATTCACACCATATACACACATCTTTGTAAACACCTTCAATCATGGACCCCCTATTGTCCCTCTTTTATACACTAACTTTTTAGGAAGACCACCCATATGTTTTGTACACACACATCAAAAGTGGATCTTCGGTCAATCGTGGACCCTATTGTCCTCTATCGTTCAAGGTTCACGATTTGAATCATACATGTACACACACACAGAAAAGCCAATGTACAGTAGAGAAGTGATGTTACACTGTTTTACCTTTGAAAGTAAAGTTACCCATCCATTAACCCCATCTTTCCCTCTTGCTCTCCCCCTCCTCCTCCCCCACCCTCAGAACTAGACTGTGAAGGCCACGGTAGCGTCATCTCCCACCTACTATCTCAGGTCCGTCTTGGTATGGACCTGACTAAAGTCGTCCTACCCACCTTTATCCTGGAGAGACGCTCCTTGCTGGAGATGTACGCCGACTTTCTAGCCCACCCGGATATATTTGCCACGTGAGTCCAAAGAATAGATCCTTTGTGTTGAAGCCATCTTTGAGGTCTGAGCTTTTGAATATAAAGAATCGATAATTCAAAATATCTAAGATTAATTTGCTGGAAGACTTTCTGTCAGTGAAGTTTCTTCAGACGATATTTTATCAGTTGGACATAACTTTTTGCTGGTCTTTTACATATGACTCTTTGCCAGTTACATGGATGGTACTTTTTTGCCAGTTGGTTAGACATGATTTTTTGGCCTGTCAGTTTGACATGACTTTTTACCATTGTTGTTGGAATGGTATTTGTGCCAGTCAGTTTGACATGACATTTTACCAGTCAGTTTGACATGACATTTCCCCCCGTCAGTTTGACATGACTTATTGCCATGCAAATGAACGTGACCTTTTTGTACATGATTCCTTTGAAGATTAGCTGAAAGTAACTTTTTTGGCCGGTGTACTAAAAATGTCCTCATGTTCTATGTGAATTCTAAATTATGCCTTATGAATAGATGTTTGAAGTGACTTGTTAGACTAATTTGAAAATAAATTGGTTTCCAAAAATCTACAGCATCTCAGACTTGGAAAGTCCCAAGGATCGCATCGTGCAAGTGGTCAAGTGGTTCATGACGGCATTCCATGCAGCACGCAACAGCTCAATAGCTAAGAAGCCTTATAATCCCATCCTGGGAGAGACCATGCGATGCTGGTGGGATCTAGGAACACAGAATGGCAAGATTGACGTCAATGAGGTGGGTGTCTGTCTGTCTGTCTTTTTATCTTACTGTCTATCTGTCTATCTTTGTGACTGGTTTTACCTCACGCTCCCATCCTGGGAGAGACAATTCAATGCTGGTGGGATCGAGGAATGGAGAATGAATAGATTGATGTCAATGACGTGGGTGTCTGTCTGTCTGTCTTTTTATCTTACTGTCTATCTGTCTATCTTTGTGACTGGTTTTACCTTGCGCTCCCATCCTTGGAGAGACAATTCAATGCTGGTGGGATCTAGGAATGGAGAATGAATAGATTGATGTCAATGAGGTGGGTGTCTGTCTGTCTGTCAGGGTGTCTTTCTGTCTTTGTGTCTGTCTGTCTTTCTGTTGTTGTAACTGATGTAAGAAACCTTACAATTCCATCTTTGGAGAGACAATGTGTTGCTGGTGGGATTTAGGAATGGAAATTTATTCCGCGGTGAAATGTGTCAGGATTTTTCCTGATTTCAGGAATTTTTGTCACAATTTTCAGGATTTTTCCTGATTTCAGGAATTTTTGTCACAATTTTTCCCAACTTCAGCATTTTTTTAACAGTGTTGCAGGAATTGTAAAGAATCCCATTTGAAAATCGAGAGTTCGTGACGTTTTGGCAATTTGTTCTTAAAGTTGATTAAAGTTATGTAGAACAAAAGAAATTGGTATATTAAGGGTGCCTTTATGCAAATTTATACAAACGTATTACCATAGATGCTACGGTGCTCTAGGGCCCTCAAAACCCTGTGCCGCTTATTTCGTGGATATTTAATTTTCCCCTAATATCACCCCCGATTGATGTCAAAGAGGTGATTGTGTAAGAAATATTTAGATACATGTACCTTTTTGGAATGAAAAATATTGCAGTGACGTAGCTTTCAATGTCATTGCGACATCTTCATTCATGTGGGTTTGTGTCCATCTATTTGTCTGTTTGTAGGGATGATGTAATATCTTTGTGGATGCAATAAAAACATATCATTTGCTTAGACAAAAAACCTTATCACAGCATGACAATGCTTTTGTTTTGTTGATTAGGCATATGAGCAGAGCTTTCTGGTTTGATTTTGTTAATGCAGGAACAAGTGACGGAAGGGCCGGTTCCCTGGGCAACCAAAGACCAAGTCACATTTATAGCTGAACAGGTATCCCATCATCCTCCAAGTAAGTAGATGTCCAAGTCCCACCCAGCATCTCAAGACCAGGCTGACATATTCTCATTTGATTCTAAAAGTTTTGAATGACCAACAAGCTGTGCTTAAAAATACTTCAAAATGATCTAAATTACTGACGGAAGCCAAACCAATAGTCGCAAGTTGAGGATATTTAATATAACCAGTGACTCAAGTCAGTCATTGACTCAGTCAGTCAGTCTGGGAGTCAGTCAGAAAGACAGACCGACAGAGAGAGGACAGTCAAAATTGGTAACTTGTGAGAGTAGGCCATGTTTATGTGACACTTTGAATTTATCATTGTTTTTAAAAAAAATTCTTTGGTTTTGGTTCAGTTTCAGCATTCTACGCAGAACACGTTAACAAACAGATGTCCATCAATGCCCATATATGGACCAAGTCCAAGTTTCTTGGTCTGTCGATAGGTGTCGAGAACGTTGGACAAGGTAGGTACCTTCAATGAACTGACAGTTGTAAGTGAACATTTTTCACTGAATGTAGAAGAAATTTGCCGTTTGAAACATTAAATTTGCTATTGTCACGGGGTTGTGGTCAAGGCAGTCACAAGTTCAATCATAAAGTAAGATCGAAAGAAACGGGGGTAATAATGGCAATGGAATTCTGTCTTGGTCATTTTGAAAAGCTTGTGACTTGACTTTAGACTAGATGGCTTGTGATGGACTTGTAATGGCTTGTAATGACTTGTAATGACTTGTGAGGATTTGTGATTGACTTGTGATGACTTGAGACTGACTTGTAATGGCTTGTGATGGACTTATGATGGTTAATGAGGACTTGTGATGATTGTGTGAAGACTTATGTCACTTTTGATGCCTTGGAAGACTTGGGAGGATTTGTGATGATTTGTGATGATCTGTGAGAGGATTTCTCATGACTTGGATTACTTCCAATAACTTGTGCTTGACTTGTGATGACTTGTGATTGATTTGTGAATGACTTGTGCTTGACTTGTGATGACTTGTGCTTGACTTGTGATGACTTGTGATTGATTTGTGATTGACTTGTAATGAATTTTGACTCGTAAAGATTGTATGAGGACTTGCAATGACTTGTGATACTCTATGAATAACTTGCAATGACTTGTGATAATCAGTGATGATGTAAAGACGACTTCTCCATCCTCCCCTTCAGCCTGTGTCTCTGACCTCAAACATGACGAGGAGTACATCATGACCTTCCCTAATGGCTACGGCCGATCCATCCTGACTATCCCTTGGTTTGAGATGGGAGGCAAGTGTATCATCAGCTGTGCGAAGACAGGATTTACTGGCACCGTCACCTTCCTCACCAAGCCCTTCTATGGAGGCAAACGTAACCGCGTCACAGCAGAGATTACGTGAGTTTAAACTTTTTAACCCTCCCCCTGCCTACCCTACCCCACCCCACCCCATCCTACCCCACCCTACCCCACATTCACCCCCTCATCCACAAAAAAAGAGACTATAAGCATGTTAATAATTTCGCGTTTTGTATGATGCTCTACTAAATGAGGCATTGACGATTTGGGAACTGCCAACATAGAGCTGCAAAGTTCAGTTGGTAGAGCACCAGTGTTGAGGTCCTGATGTCGCAGGTTCTAATCCTGTTCTTGTAAATGTCTTTGTTCAGCCAGATATTGACTCAACGTTGACCCAGTCGGTTTCCCGTTGTGGTTTCATTGATGAATATTCTTTCAGCTAAATCTGAGCGAGTCGGTGTTCCCTCTATTTAAGTTGACAGGGAATGATATGTGATGTTTTCTTGGTCATTGCAGGCATGTGTCGGATCGTAAGCCATTCATGACCATAACAGGAGAATGGAACGGTGTCTTGATGGCCAAGTATGCTAATGGGGTAAGTAATATAACTCAAAAAATGCACGTAAGAACATTGCTAATTACCTTGAAAGGGACCTACCGAATCATTCTGCCTGAAATGGTATTGTTCGGAGGGCAACAATCATTTAAGGTGGTTTTAAAAAGTGTGCCCACGGGCATAATTCTTTTACACACCATAACAATGGAATCCAGTTACGAGACCCCAAAAATTTTGCACACATTTTTTTGTTTTCTCAAAGTGTATAGTATCTACCGAGCGGAAATTACACAGATTAGTTGTTATGCACCTTTCTTAAGATTTTGAGCAAATTTGTTGCTTCAAACGAACAAAATGCACAAAAAGCAAATGATCTTTTGTACCTTTAAGTTAGGTGGTGTTTATAATTCACAATGTGGTACGCACCGTTTCATTTCTGTTATACTATTAGCAACTCTTAGAAAAATATTTTGGAAGTTACTAATCATCTAAAATACTGTAGTCATAGCAGTTACCATTATTTCAGGGGCAGTGTGCCCTTCAAAATATTCTGATAAACTAAGTACACAGATATTTGTTCAACTTCTAGAGATGTACTTTTGATGTTACAGCGACCACATCTTACAACATAATGGAGTTAAAAGGATTCCATCGTAATGACTTAATACAATAATGTGGTACTTACATAACACATTATACCAAAGGTCTCAAAGCGCTTCACAATTATTACCCCTGTTCGTCGGGCCTAGGACCTTTTTTCTGCAGCAGATCAACATCAGTGCAATCTGGTCTCTACCCTCACAGGTACCCATTTAAACTCCTGGGTGGAGAGAGGCAATTGTAGTCAAGTGCCTTGCCCAAGAACACAAGAACCATGTTCCCCATCAGCGTTCGAACCCCAAATTACAACACGAGTCGAACACCGTATTACCATTGGACATGCACATTGCAATATGGCTCAATGTGTTTCGTTTTGTTCTATTCTTGTTTAGCAAACGGAGGTTTTCGCAGACACCACAACAATGAAAGCCGACAAGAAGAGGATCATGCCCACTGAGAAACAAGGAGAGTATGAATCTAAAAAGTAAGCATGCCCTGATGGAACTGCTAGGCACAGAACATTTTATGAGCAAACATAATGGAGTTAAAAGTTTACCTTTTATAGCATTTTTTTTACTTCTATAGTCGGTCCATATACAGTTGAGTCTCGTTAATACAAACTCGTTCAGACCTAGCCAAATTGTTTGTTATATCAGAATTTTGTATTAAGAGGAACATCAGTCCCATTCATTGTGCACATAAATGCACAGTCGGGACTTAGACTTTATGTTTGTTATAACCAGAATTTTGTATTAACAGAGTTTGTACTAACGAGATTCGACTGTTATGTAATTTTAATTATTATATATATCAGGCTTCATAGTAGTAAAAATAAATCAGTGTATTGAAAAGTTTTGGAAAAATACCCAGATGACTATACGATATCATTATTTATTATTGCATAGACATCTGGGCTTTTATGTTTTCGAACACATTTGTTTGGTTCTTGCTCCATCTAGCGTAGAAACTCATTTGTCAACCAGTCAACATGGCAGTCGCTAGAATGGTTCCAGAGCAGGAACCAGTCTAAGCCAGAAAGAAGACGACAAAGGGTCGTTCAGTTCAAGAAGTGGAATGAAAACTCTGCAATTTCCAGGGAAAAACCCATGGAAGCACGCAGGGACAGAAACCCAAGGTGTGGAAAGTATAACAGCACGGACTTGACTCCCATTATTATTTTCAAATTTCAGATTGTGGAAAGGCGTAACTCACTACCTCAAGACCAAGAACATTGACAAGGCCACGGAATGCAAACACTTCCTCGAGCAGAGACAGCGACAAGAAGCCAAGGACAGGAAAGAGACGGGAGAAAAATGGCAAACAAAGGTGAGGTCAAAGGTGAAAGGTCGTACACGGGTCAGGGCCTCCAAACCCTTAGTTTGATCACAGTGCATGACAATATACACTTTCAAAAAATTGAGGTTGTTGCCTGTCCTCACATGCAGATATTAAGCCAGGTCTCTAGTCTAAGGCTATGGCTATAAATAACACACAGGTCTATGGGAAGTGGCTGCATCCGCTTCTGTAGACGTATGTGTGATTTCAAGCCATAGCCAAGACATTCAAACACGGCTAACAGTCATTGTTCCTATGTGAACAGGTTGCTGGTCAACATTTGTGTTTAGTTTACGTAATTGAACACTGGTTCACTTCTATTTAATTCAGTGAAGGAAGGGGACATGTTAACCCTCCTATGAAACATGCATTCTTAGCCAGGCTGTTACTTGGGTCAATATTGGTCACGTGACCCATCGGTGTGTTAAAAGTATACCAGGGGAAGTGGAAGGAAATTTTTACCATTTGTGAACTTGTAAACAGCAGGAGGGAAGCATTACCGTCTATAATTATATGCTGCTGCATTTTTAGCCAAGTTTGGCATTTTTGTTACACGAATGTAGAAACGTCCTCAAAATATTTGGAGGTTTTTTTTACCCAATGGTAAGCCAGGGATCATGTCCAAACTTAGGATACCACTAACATTAGCACTATTGCAAAGCTGGGAAGTGGCAGTCAGGGATCACTCAGAGAGGATGCAGCTAACTTTCTTCTGTTTGATGCAGTACTTCCATGAAGATGGCGAATGCTGGATATTTGACAATCCACTCGAGAAACGCATCAAGGCAGCTCAGGAGGAGGCTTCCCGTAAACAACAACAACAACAACAGCAACAACAACAAAAACAAGAAAAAGAAGAAGAAGAAGAACAACAACCACCTGCCCCACAGCCAACCAACGCTGCAATCACGAACTCTCACATACCGGGCGTCCAGGGCGACGGACCAGCTATCAACCAAATGCCGGCTAAGTCGGCTAATCAGGAATTAATGGATTTCCTCAGCTGATGAGGGGGATAACGCCATGGCCACCCCACCTGGCCTGTCTATGCAGGATTTTCCTTTCATGCGCCATCTTGTGATTTTCTGTTCTCAAGACAATTTTCAGGAAACAGTAACCGGTAAACGCAATTTCAACGGATAGAGAATACAATATATTAATCATGACAAAAGATCAGGACAGTAGAACGCTGCTTTAACAAACATTTGGCTTCAACCAATGTCTCCATTAGCCCCAAATGTATGCACAAGTATACAAGCACTGCCTATAATGAAATCCACAGCACAATATTGTACGGACCCTAGTATGCTTATTGTAGTGAGGTCAAACTTTACTGTTCATCACAACACAAAACTACAGAAAACCACTAATATTTCTACCCAGATAATGCTACATGTAGATTGAAGAACGTTTGCATCCCTGCAGTCAGTCATCGATGACCCAGCAATTTCAAAAATTTTCGTCTTTTTCCAAAGAAATATCAATTTCAGGTGTGCATGGAATGTACCGCTTGGCCAACCTAACCAAAATGTCAAAGGTATTTCTTTGATTATACTTTCCAGCCTATGGCATGTTTCGTTTCTCTTTATTTAGTCGTCATGCCCCAAATGTGCAAATTGAATCCTAAAAGATATTTGATCTTGATATGGATTTTTTAAAGCTTCTGGATAAGAGCTGTATGTGGATTGGCTTATCTTTTTTGTTACGTGCGTCAAACTGAAAAAGGATCCAATCAAATTCTTTGTTTCATAAAAGTTGTTAATCAATCAATCAGTGATTATTACCTCAGATATATATATATATATGAGGGCTTAACAGTAACTCCCCCATTCCCAAATTTACATATTCATAGAAATGGGCAAAAAAAGAAATAAAATTGATAGGGTGGACTTGAACCCAATTTGTACAAACAGAAAGCAACATACAGAAGAAAATGTTATTTATTTCAAACATTTTCACCAGAAACCAAGATAAGAATTAAGCAGCGTGAAGATGAAACTTTATGCTGCAATTAATCACCTCTAGTATAAACAATTAAAAAATGTTTTGTCCATCAATCTTCGTAGTATAAACATGATTATTACGACTCAAAAAAATGTCACAATGTCCGCGTTTGTGTAAAACAAATTTCTACACTGAGTAATGTTAAGAGCATCAGTCTGGCACCCTATTTAGCAAAATTTCACTGGCGTTGCACTGCTTATACAAACCCACATTTACTGGATTTAAGTTTCCTCAAGAAATGTGTAATGTGTACAATAGTAACGAATGATATAGAAATATTAATAAACCAATTTATACAAGATACCAATGTGTGATGTCATTCATTGTAGAGACTATTTACTGTCATTTGTGCAAGCATAACTTCTTGTACAGTGAGTATTATAACGATTTTTGTAAACGGAATAGTTTTTTTTTTTTGTAGCCGTGCTGGTCAATACAAGCAAAAGCTGTTGAAATGATTTATGCCCATTACGCCCCGGTCTTCCAAAAATGGCCGCCGATATATGAAAGGTCTACGCGTACATATAGCGCGCGTTGTATCAATATTTGACATGCAAATTGTTCACATCCACATCTGGGCAAGTTTTCACCGTGATTGTATCAAATGTCACGAACAGAGAATTAAGACATTCAAAAAGTGAACCACGTCATTTGAAACACTGTCAATTGTGGCTGACAATAGGTGAACCACAATATTACAAATGTGAATCACAACGTTTGACAACCGATCTACGGGTAAGCCGGCAAGTCAATTGTACCAGGGTAACTCTCTTGTATAGTGAGGATAATAATCATTTTTGAAAACCCAATGGATACAAGTGAAAAAGTGTTGAAATTTCAAACATTTATTACATGTGACCTATTCTGTTTTCTTGAGACACCATGGACACAAAAGGGTGCTATTTTGAGTGATTAAACTTTTTTGTACATATATTTACCACTGATCTTTATTTACTGACCGGAAAGCGTAATTTGTGCTCATTATGCCATACATTAACTAAACGCTGCTTTTGGACCAATCCGCCCTGGTCTTCCAAAAAAAATGGCACTAAAATAGTAATCGAATCGAGCTAATAACACAATCGCATGAACTAATAATTGACAATAATCCTTTTAAAACAACCTATCTACTTAAATATTAAATGCCAGTCAAGTATTGGGCAATTCCAGTGCCAGAGCTTTCACATGCAAGAAGTCGGTAAATAAAGCTGAAAATATATTCTTCAAATCTTACACATCCATCATCTAGTAATGGTCAAGGAGATTACAGACTAGGAGTTTTGGATCATTTCTCTGAATCATTCATTAGACATCATGCTTAATTGGCTCTGTCACGGACATTACACTTTCTTTCACAACGCTGGAACTGCCCTATTACAAACATACTCTAGGTCAAGGGCCGTCAAAACACGGCCCTGACAAAAGCAGTCCCAGAACTTAGGTCACTGAACAAGCTGACATACAGATTTCTAGTTAAATATTACCTAATCAATACCCAATAAACAAATCCTGTGTACTTATACATTCTCCACCAGGAAATCCATACAAATAATTACAGCAAAACACCAGTTAAGACATTGTATAAAAATATAGAATCTCTGCTAATAAAGTTAACTTGTAGTAGTTGTACTGTTTGCAAATTGCATAAAGGATAAAAAGACTAACGTTTCAGAAATTGGTGAAATTACAGTTGTCATGCACATTCATAAAATTGAAAAAAAAAAAGTATTTGGATACTTTCACAGGTGCATGTGTTATAACTGGAAGTAGCCAAGTAATTTGGATGAAGCCATATTTATATGTATCTAAGCTGAGAAATCTCTAAGCTGAGAAATATACCCTAAAGAGATATCTGTCCTCTCAGGTTCTATTATTCAGCATAACATTAGTGCATCGTGGAATAAGTGAAACGTGCATAACAAACTAAAACTTGTCATACTTTTGTGTTTTCATTTTTTTTTTTGGAGGGGGGAGTGTTACCAAACAAGATTACCGGTACATACAAAAAACTAACTAGATGTTGCAAAAATTAACATCCATCCAAATATGTAAACCATACTATTACAAATCAAAAACCCTCATTTCAGACATGCAAAAATCAAATTTGCATAATTTGCAAATGTTCAGATTATCACTAATTTTTTCACCCTTTGAGACAAACCAATTCTAAATATATACAACTGAGATCCGTTTATCTGTACAAATGAATCACTACATCTCTTATAAGAATTTAAATTAAAATTCAAGACAATTCAAAACATAATGATAACAGAGTTTAATGATAACTATTTCTGAGGTAGTGCCACGCTCACACGGTTGTCTAATGTGTTCTTCATTTAAAGGCATAATAGGATCATTTGCTTTTCATGCATTTTGTTCGTTTCCAACAATAACACCACTCAAAATCCACAGGAGAATGTTCAAAACGTAACCTGAAGTTTCAGCTCAGTGGATATCACACTTGTCAAGAAAACAGTGAATAGCAATGCACAACCTTTTGATGACGAAACACGATTTCATCCATAGCACTCTACATTTCCCAAAATCAGTCAATTGGCTGATTGCTGGAAATCACCTACATTTCTTGATTTCTTCGAAATGACAGCTAGTCAGACGGAATAATTTCACGTGGTGTTTAGTACTAGTACGATCTTTAATCCAAGTAAGCTTTTTGATAATAATTTGGCAGGTTACTTTTGGGATAAATGAATAATGATCTTATATGCCTTTAAACCCTGTGAGGTGAAGAAGCATTAAGTGCACATGAACGACCGGCATGCGAGCATGGTAATACCTCATTAATGGCTCAAACAAAACAAAACAAAAACATCCCACAATATACATAAACAATGTAATTACACTCCCCACAATGTAAGAAAGGGCTGGGGTTGAAAGGGGATAAAACAATGAGTTCAGCCAGTTGATAAATCATATACCCCAATTAAAACATTGTATGCACAGATTTAACATGTTGACAATCTTTAGAAACTGATGGTTGTTTGATTTTGTAAGAATAAGAATCTTGTTTGGTTACATCTGTAAGGGTGCTTACAAAATATAAAAATGCAAGCCACTTAAGTATTCCCAAGTCAAATTTGCAAAGGTTCAACACGCTTTTTTGACCAATCAACCACAACTTCAAAATTGCATTTTACTTTTGGCAAATTTCACTTGAGAATCTTTCATGATGTCCAATTTTCTAAGTAAGAATCAGTCTTCAGAATTTCATTTTTCATGTTGTGGTCTTCCACTTGACAATTTACCCTGCTATGGCAATACTGATGACAAGAAATGCAACGGCAATAATGACGCCTACAACGTAGATACACAACAGAATGGTCTTGGCTGTAGATCCCTGCAGTCAAAGTTGGAAATGAGAAGAAAAGAAAAAGAGAATATTGTTGAAGAAAATTGGGATGAAGAGAAGCCTCGAGTGAACAAAATACTAGGAGGGAAGAAGTCAAAAGGGAAATGAAGTTTTTCAGCCACTTGATCTGATGATCAGTTGGAAAATAAACATTTCTTGTGACAACGTACCGGTATGTTAATAATAACATATGTATGATTAAAAAAATGCAAGCATGGTTAAAAAAAAATTAATTAGAAAAACCAAATGTTGGTTTTAATTTTTTTTAATGAGAAAAACCAATTTTTTTGGCTGCCTTTTGTCAGTTCTGTTAATTTGAACCTTTTGAAGTTTTAGAAATTTTCATATAAATGTTGACATGGGGGAGGGGGTTTGTGAACAAAGATATCCAGTCTGTAATTGCCCCCTCCCGACACCTTCCCATAGAACCATACATCATGAAATGTTATTTGAGGAAAAGCGTACAAAACATGCAAAATGTACAAAGTGCCATACATGTATGTGAAATCAAATTCTATACAACGCAATCTCAGATTCTCTCATCCATCCTCAATTAATAAAAGATTTTGTTAAATCTAGAAATAGGATTCTGAGAAACCAAGACCAACAAGATTATGTAAGCTGCAAAGGAGAAAATATTGTTAGACTAAATTTATTTCATACATATTTAGCAATTCCATTTTGTAATTCACAAGATATGAATGGAGAATGAAAGTTGACACTGCATTACAAGACATTAAATATGTTACGTGATTTATTGGGTGATGTTTAATGGTAAATATCGCAAACAAGAAGCAAAATATATACATGACTCGGCAAGCTGTTAAAAGGAGTAAAGCAAATCGTGCAAAAATGATTAATAAATAACATATCGGCAGTCACTCTTTAAATGTTAGATATTTATTTGCCTGTGACTGTGTACTGTTCCAAGCAAAGGCTATCAAATGTTATCCTTAAGCCTATACAAAAAAATGGTTTGAAAAAGTAACATGAATATTTTATTGTTGGGGTGGGGTGAGGGTGGGGTGAGGGTGGGGTGGGGGGGGGGGTGGGAAATGCAATTCATGAGAATCCTTGTACTGAAATGTATACGTGAAATGCAACACACTTTTAATGTTAAATGGTGACTTTTATGGTGCAGTGTCAAATGACCCTAATTATGTTTGGTTGGTAGAAGGCGCTTCAGGCCATTGCAATCGAGCCTGCAACTTCGCAGAATTGGCCGATTTGGATTGCAAATGACATTGCAAAGGGTGAAATACATCAACCTTAACTTTGTAACGACCTCTAAAAATAAAAATAGATCACAATTGAAGGTAGGAGTTTAAAAAGTATTAGCTCGGTACATGACCTATTGAGGGCGCTCTTTTGACTATTCAGGTCACCACTTGGGGGGCCTGTATAACTGCAAAGGCAAAGACGAAACGCCTCAGTCCCAAGACTCTGGTTGATGAGTGTTTGTAAATTTGAGGAATCAGATTACAAGATCCCATATGAATTGCAAGGGCAGGATTGGGTCTGTTTACCAGTTGCAACCGCTCACCAGTTGTGTGGAAGGAATTTTCAGCCAAAAAAATATATCAAAGGCATTTTGGGCAATACATACAAAACAAATATGTACAAATGTGTTTGATTTATTGTTTATGAGCAAATGCAAACGAATTGAAAACAATGATTGTACGAGTCAAACCAAGATGCAGTGAAAAACTACTTGAGGATCAAATGCATATGCATGAACAAAAACGGGTGTTAAAAGACCAACCATAATGCAGGGCATCATTCGCATAAATGAATACATGAATATTTAATGAACAATCCCCAACCTCTTCTGTTACTTGCGATATACAGGGACCCTCCGGCACCAAGTCATCCTGCGGATGGGACAAATTTGCATAAAATGAGACTTCCAAAAAGGCAAATAATTGCCTTAAAAATTGTCATGGCATACTCAGATGCGGTAAGCACACTCCATGCATAAATGCATCAAGAAGAAAGTCACATAAATTTAACCAGTTCATGTGGTTTTGCGGTATTCGGAACAGATAACGGATAAACACCCAACGAGCGAGGCCGGAAATATCTGTCTGCGACCTGCTCGCAGCGAGCAAGGCTGGAAATATCAGGGTGTGCTACCCGCAGATGACGGCCTGAACCCGTCTGGCATCGAGCTTCATGAAAAGTCCTGCGCCTGGGTCCGGTCAATGTCAAAATAATCCCGGCGCAAACTGGTTAAGTTGAAATTTAAATTCAAAATGTTAAAGAGGCATGCCACTTTAATTTGAGTAACCATCTCTTAGACACTGTCAACCACCCTGACTAAGTATAGCACAGAAACTTCCTAAAACAATTGTCATCATGGTAGCCAGTTGACCTATAGGTCACTGTACTGGCCTATCTATTACTGACTGAGCACTCTATGGTTTTATTGGTTCATCAGGGCTTAAATACATTGTAATACAATGTAACACAATGTAATACAATGTAATACAATGTATTCACAAATACCTCAGACAGTTTAGCTATTCCTATTGGTCGAGAGCCCGTCACGTGGCCGGTCTTAAATGGATGATAAAGAAATGGCTAGCTGGTCTTAAACACTTTTCCAGTGTCACAATAAAATGTGGACTCCTAAAAATCCAGTGCCTCTTACCGTTTCATTGGTTGAACGTTCACATTCCTCACGTAGGCATGCGCAACACTACAAGCGAGACAGAATTTTATAGTTCTAAATTCAAAACGCAACGCCCCAGGTGCGTTCTGCGTGACATCGCGCAGAACATGCTACGCGCGCGTCAATCTCCATAAAAGGGTTGTTTACATCTTACTCGCCAGCTGAACACTCCATTATTTTGCTAGAGGGATGTTTCAAAAAGCATGAAGTGAACTTGTTGAACAAAATCGGGATTTTTTGAACGAATTATTTGATTTTTTTTTATGGATAAGGTATTTATGAATGGGAATAAATATGTGCTCGGTCGGTATTTATCACTCTGTTTAATACCGCTTAGAGTCTGGGTGCTGATAATTACCCTCGCCTCCGGCTCGGGTAATTATCAGCACCCAGACTCTAAGCGGTATTAAACGAGTGATAAAAACCTCCGGAGCACACATTTATTCCCTTAATACAATGCAGTACAGGTAATAGTGGGTTAAAAAAAACACGCTTTCCTGTTAATAAGCTGTTATATAATAACCAGCACCAAAATGTGGGACATCATAATAAATTGCGTCAATATATCTAAAGCCCATATCTTTATGGCGATCTCTATGGCAATCGTAGTAGTAAGCAGCATCTCCACGACATCAGTCTACAAAAACGCATTTGATATGTAGCCAAAATAAAAATACCTATCTAATACGGATATGACACAATGCCCAATTCCATCTAGTCTAGCTTTTCAAAAGATGCAATAAATTCATTTACACTTGAAATTAAAAACAAAAAAATTGTTAAAGAAAGAAGGTCAGTAGAAAAGTGTTAATGCGGAATGGATTGAAGTAAGCAATTAGCATGTGACAATTTTTTTTTTAAGACAGAATCAATCAATCAACCAAAATAAAACAAAACAAAATCCCCTAAAAAACAAATTCCAGTTATGCTTAATGTTTGCATTCGTTGTCACAAACTCAGACAAGAACAGAGGCAAATGCAGACTCAGTTGCCTGCATTGAATTTTCAGATGTTGACTGAAATTAGATCATGAAACATCACGTACATTGTGGTGAAAAGTAAACAAGGATTCGGCTAAATAGGGCCATTTTGTCGACTGAGTCACATATCTGGTGGATTTCAACACATTGATATGGGAAAACAGGACAGTATTTTAGAGATTTTCTTTCTGAGAAAGGATAAGGGAAGTGGGGCGGGGCAAAGTAAGAAAGAGGCGGTGCTTACAGATGGCGGGTCCGAGTCAACGTCAGGAGACAAGTGATCGGTGGAATCACCCGTTGCCTTCAATGCCACGTCATTGCTGCGTCCTGGAGTTAGCAAAACAAAATTAAGTACCTTTATTCAAAATGGGCTCCTTGCACAGGTTATATGTAAAGGTTTAACAGACAATTGGCCTGGCATCCGACATTTTTGGACCAGATGTGGGATACAACAGAGAATCCCATATTCTTGTTGTTCAAATTCAAAACTTACAATTTTGTTCAATCTTTGGTTTTACGATTGAAGACAAATTTGCTAAAATTGCTTCAATAAACATGATATTTCTACCGTTTGCAATCTGGTTTGTGAGTCATTTGACAGAGTCTTGACATCTAAACCTACCTTGGCTCTCTGTCATACAGCGCTGGACTTCAAACAGGATCCAGATCAAGATATGGAAGCCGATGAAGACGATCATGACAAAGAAGACGTAGTCTGGGATGCCCCTCAGCAGACCGGTGGAGTTATAACCAATGCCAAGGAAGACAGTCACCACTTGAAAGATCAGGGGGAACAGAAAATAACTTATTAACACTCAGAATGATGGACAGTATGAACAACATTTTACTTTCACCCTAAACTGCTGGATTGATAGTCAGGCCCAGAGTGAGCCTGTTTCATCTTGTGCATTTTATGTTTTTGTTTTAAATTTAATGTTTTGATGTCTTGATTCTTATGCAAATTTGCTAATTTTTGTTTTAAAGTAATCAATTTATCCATTCGTCTCTGGCGCTTGCGCTGTTGGATGTATTGTGAAATAAAAAAACCCTGTAATTTCTTCTCATTATCTTCTCTCCACAGGTTTCTTCAGGCTCAGGAGCTTACAGTGCCTAGGGCACTGTTGAGGATTCCTTGGTTTCAGTACCAGAAATAATTAATAATAATATAAATACTCACATCCCAACAGGTGTGCTGTGGTACCGACGCCCCAATGTGCCCAGTTAAAGATGGGTCGGCTACAATTGAGTAAATACATGCGAAAAAGAGTTTAGGGAACTCAAGATTTACACAAAAATGATTTGGTGTATGTATAATGCACAGGGAGGTAAATTTCTCTGAATTTTGTCAATGTTGCAAATAATATTGAACGCTTCGGGAAAAATGACATGGTACGTATTTTTCCATGCGTTGACTACATTTTTTTAACAGCAAAATTAAACTCCTATCAAGCAGGTAAACCAGATTTTAGAAAAGTAGATATAACACAGTGAAATACAGCAACCAAGACAATTTCAGAAGCTGTGACAATGTTGCCTTTATTCAATGTATGAGGACAGTGTCCAGTCTAGGCTTCAGAGCGCCCTCTAGAGTTTGCTCACAGAGAGTCTTAAGCTCTATGGATAGGAGGAGGTTCTTACTTGGGCGTTCCTGGGTGAGGTCTGAAGATAGCCATGATTGGGTTGATGATCCCCAGGCACGTCACTATGATACCACATATAGCATGGGCGACCACGATGGTTCTCTGTACAAAAAATGACAAAGTCTCAACAAAATTATCGTCTTTCAGGGCTGTTGTCAAATCCTCTCAAATCATCACAAGTAAATCGCAAGTCAATCAGAAGTCAATCATAAGTCAAGTACAAGTCAATCACAAGTCAATCAGAATTAATTCACAAGTCAATCACAAGTCATCCTTAACTCAACTGTAAGCCAATCACAAGTTAGTCACAAGTTAATCACAAGTCAATCACAAGTTAATCAAAAGCCAAATTTAGTCTAAAGTACAGTCAAAACCTTTTCAAATTCAATGTGACTGCGGCACTGCCGTCGCCATAAAGGATATACGTCGGTGAAGGGCAAAAAACCTAATATTGATTTACATCACCCCAACGCAAATGCCATCTTATGAATAGTTTAATTGCTGTACCGCTGCTAGATCGGATTTGAACCAGCCAACCGATCCCGTTAGCTCGGTGGTCGAGTGGTAAGACGTCTGCACTAGAAAGCAGGAGGTCGTGGGTTTGAGTCCCACCCAAGTGATTTTTTCCAACTTTCACTCGGGAGGTAACACACTGAGTATACAGTGTTTGTACATTGGTGAAGGGCAAAACCTTATACTGATTTACATCAACTGACGCAATTCCATCTTATGAAAAGGATATTCGTATTGTAAAAATTTAAAAAAAAATTTTGAAACTTGATCGTGCATTAAAAACTGAACGTTTGCAATTGGCTATTAACATCAAAATTATAGCTCAAAACTTTTGAGAAAAATGTGACAAAACAATGAGTTGCTAACTCACCCCTGTGTCGACAAATCCCTGACGGTGAACAAAGATCAGAACAAATGCCGCCGAGAAACACAGCACACAGGTCACCATGCACATCCGATGGATCTGAAAAGAATGTAGGTAGACAATAATGGCACAATGGGTACCAAAAACAATATGAACAGCAAAAGCTACAGCAACAGTATTCATAATAGCAACATTAATCCTGGACCTCTAGGGTATTTTGGCTAGAAACGTCTGGACACGTGTCCAAATGACAAGCCTACAGAGTGTAACAAAACACAATTGGTAACAATATTAATATTCAAATACCCATAACGATAATTAAAAACAACAGCTACAGCTAATATTATTGATATCAGGGGTCTGAGTGACCGATGATAAAAATAGCTGAAAACAGCTGAAAAAGGCATAAAAATCTCTAAATCTCCTATACTATTGTACACAGCAAGTGAGGAAAATATGCTGAAATCCAAAACAAAAGAGCTGAAATCAGCTAAAAAGCTGATATTTCACACCTCTGTAATATTTAAAGTAATACATGTAGCAATGGGTCAAATATTTAAAACAAAAATAAATTGTAATGCTTATAGCGCTTTCCATCGTATCAACAATCTCAAAGCACTTCACAATTATTCCCTGTTCATCAGGCCACGAGACCACGCAGCAGTCGATACCAGCACACATTCAGTCCTCTACCCTCACAGGTACCCATTCATACTCCTGGGTGGAGAGAGGTTACTTTAGTGAAGTGTCTTGCCCAAGGGCACAAACACCATGTTCCTGGCAGGGTTCAAACTCACGCACCATCAAACACCAAGCCACTGGACCATGGCATTCCGTATGGGTAAAATATTTCTCATGCGAGGACAGATAGCCATATTTACTCACCGTGAACCAGACTTTTGTACCACAGAGTTTGGAGTTTGGCCACATGGGTTTGAAGAATCGAGCCATGGTGATACCAATGCTGGCAAATCCAACCCATGCAATCACCATCAGAGAGGCTGAAAGAAAAAGGCACAAAGTATCAAAGATTGGTAAAATGTTACTGCACAATTTTTGGTAATTAAAAAAAAAAACTAAAAAATGGAAACAAAATTAGACGGCCTAATATATTGATTCTAGCAGAATTGTTGTCAAAGGCAAAATCTTTGCCTTTTTTTCCCTTTAACAACCATTCTGCCCGAATCAAATGGTCACGTTGTCGAACTTTGTTTGAATTGTATATTTCAGGTTAATCCAGTCAATGAGCACTTTACAGCATTTTTATCATTTTCACTTAAAGGGAATATACAACATTTGCAAACATCCAAAAATAAAACTACCATGTTTTTGCGAAATACCTTAATAGGATGTTGGTAAATGACAGTCTAAAGCATCCTGTAAAATTATGGCACCTGGTATACTGTCATTTTCAAGAAAAGTGGTATTTTTGTATCAATTTCCAACGCTGATCGGCCGATCAGCGTTGGAAACAACTGGCTTTTTTCAAATACTGGCCCCAATTGACCATTGTACTTGTTTGCAATCGATTACAAACCTATGAACGGGTACGAGCCAGCTAGACTGGTTCCCTGACCTTACAATTCCCCAATGTATGTAAACTGCTCTGTTTCTTCTTATATGGAGTCGGGGAACCAGACTACAGGAAAATGATCGTTTTTCTTGGTTTTTATAGCATTTTCGAACCCAAAACCTCCAAAAAGTCAGTGTAACTATATTTGCTTTATATTTCCAACCCCCCAATTCCATCCATTTCTGAAAATTACAGCAAAAGCAAATGATGTATATTCCCTTTAACTGGTTAAGTGTTGTCGTTTTGACTGACTAAAACAACAGAAACATTCACAGCTAAACAGCAATCAGAGACAATGTAAACTTTATACACGTACGTATACCTGACTAGGTTTACAGAAACTGAAATAAGGAAAAATCTTATAATGGTTCTATTTCTGAGATGGATACATAGGCTTTTTGTGTTCAGCAAGTTATCAACACTTTGCATAGAAAATCTTTCCTCATTTTCCTCACTAACAAAAACACCACAGTAATGTGATGTCCTCGGCTAAAGACACATCGCTTAAATTATCTTTCCAAGTACATGTAGAATCTTTAGCGAAAGCTATTTATAGCCAAAGTCGACGAATAATTACTCTTAATTTATTGTTTTTTTTATGGCATTCTCCCAGTCAATCTATCTAGTGGGTTGACTTACCATGGGCCTTTGGCAATGCTTCTCCACTTGACATGGGTGGAGAGAAATCAAATTGCAAACTCCGTGTATCTGCTGTCGACCAACGATTCTGATGCTGATTACCTTGGATATCTCCTACAAGTCATTTAAATAATCGCCATTAAAATAAGCTCATTTCTATTGATTCATTAATTTATTCAAAAAAATTAAATTACTTTGTGAACCACTTTTTTCACAACTTACTCTTATTTGACATATTGAACTCTAGTCTTTCGTCTTGCAGTGAAAAAATTAATGGAAAAAAATAATGATATGAGTAACGAAAAACAAATATTATTTCAATATATTAAGTTGGATCGTATTTGACCTGAACCCACAATTTGTGCTGCAAATTCACAATATTGGAACACATTTCACAACACAGCAAAAAAATTTTATGTCACAATTTCTTTGGAGTTGCATGAAGTATGAACTGTAACCCTTTAGTCCCTAAACAACCTCAAAACATCCTGCCTGTTACTCTTTGTACCGCCCAAACTACCCCAGCACTCTGTGGTTTAGTATATTCACCATGGAGTAAATACAATGTATTACAATGTAATACAATGTAGTACAATGTAATACAATGTAGTACAATGTAGTACAATGTAATACAATGTATTACAATGTAATACAACGTAGTACAATGTAATACAAGTGCTAATTGGTTAAAGAATGCCAAATTCAGGAATTAACTACCATCGGGTCTGATACTGCTCCCAAAAGCCATCAAGATAAAGTATTGATTGTTGCCACTGATGTTGTAGAAGGAATCGTCCCCGTCTAAACTTGGCTGCCTGGTAAATGTACACCTGATCACGCCATTTGAAAACTCTGCAGATTCTGTGGTCACTGCATCTAATGCATTCTGTGAAACAGAAAAAAAAGAGGAAAAAGGTATGATGCAAAAAGGCAGAGAGAAGGGTAGAAGAGATCTCAGAAACAAACACAGACAAGCTTTGTTATTAGGGGCGATTCAGAATAGTCAATGTAAAAAAAGGTCTACCTTTTAAAAAAAAAATTGTTTGACCCACCCACTCTAAATTTCAATTTTTAAATGCTGAATGACTCTTTAATATATCCTATACACTGAAGAACAAAGTAATGCTTCAAATGAAAGCAAATATTTCAGGTCAATGCTTTCCCAGCTCAGGAGTTTTCAATGGCTTTTCTAGGCTTCCAGAATGCAACTTTGTAGTTGAAACAGACGGAAATTGCCAAGCACACAAAACTTTGTACAATGTTTTCAGTTTTCTAAGACACTATATTTAAAAAAAAAGAGGGTTATTTCGGCTTCATTATGATTAGCTTTTGCTGTGTCCAGTGACAGAAGAGCTCGAAGAGGCCACTGGGCTTTTTATTTTAATTTTAATTTTTCCCCCTTCTTGTTTTATATTTTTTCTATTACTTTAATTGAAAACTGAATTTGGATTTTCAGATTCCTTTGACCCACCCACCCACAATTTCGAAAAAAAAAATCAAATTTTTTTAACATTGACTTATTTTGAATGGCCCCTTCAAGGTTCATAGGATAATTTGCATTTTGTTAATTTTTATTTGTTTGAAGGAACAAAATTGATCAAAATCTTAAGTAGGGTGCGTAACAACCAACCTGTGGAACTTTTAGCTCAGTGGATACTTTACAGTTTGAAAAAACAGAGGAAAACGTCTACTTATATACACAATTCTGTGAGTCTCGTAACTAGATTCTTTTGTTAACACAGGTTAAAAAGTGTGCCCTTGGGCACACTTTTTAATTGGGTGTTTGGAGGAGTTTGATTTTGTGGATAGGTTCCATGGTTAAACCATGACTGTAGGGTTAGGAGTTCGAATCCCGCAAGTGGATAACCCCTACTGATATTTGTGATGACAAAAAACCTCAGCATGTGAATTCCTTCCTTGTTTCAAAAATATGAAATTGAGATTTGAAATTGAGATTTGAAATTGAGATTTGAAACTGAAATTTCAAATTCAAATTTGAAATTCAAATTCAAAGCTGGAAACTTGTAAAAGTACATTAGGTTTTGATTATAATTGGAATCACAAAAAAGAAGAGCCCTCACAAACCAATACACGCATGCCGTGCATCCCTCTCACAGGAGCTCTCAAACAGCACCATCTATTGTTCATGTATGTCCATCCCACTGATAAGCAGAACAGGCAGAATACTTCTACTTACCTGTGGCAGTGGGTTGGGAAAGGAGTCGAAACCAGGACCATTTTTGGACCGTCGGAGTTCGCCTTTATTGGTGCACGCATACACATCAGCTGGTACCTGGTCACAAGAAATGTAAAATAAAATGGTACATTAACATTGGCACACCAAGATGTACTACCCTCACCATCATTTCCTGTGAACCAGGTTCGAATCTCGGCCACTTCAATCTCAAACTACTTGACCTACATGTATCGCGTCAACGCAGCTTGTGAAATATTTTCCAATGACATGATATACAAATAGATGCGGAACGCGCAAAATCTGAGACAAACAAAACTTAGTGTACAAAAATTCCATAGGGTAGTCTAAGGGGCGTGGCTAACTCGCAAAGGGCGATAGGTCAATTCCAGGTATACGGTATATCTCACTTTCTTTAATCCCCAGGTTTCTTAGACTTTGGCATCACCAAATTTTGTATTTTGTTTGGTTCATAGGCAAGAATGTTGCATCCTGGCACCACTTTTGTCATCATCTATCATCTCAATAGAGGTTGAAGAGATTTAATACGGACTTGGGATGCACCTGACAACAACACTTTCACCTCCATAATTGAATTACAAATACAATTCTTCTACAATGGATAGGGATGTGATTTTCAATTAAAAAGAAAAGTCTGAAAATTGGATGCAAGGTCTGAAAGATATATCCCTTTCTCTACTGATAATGTCTTTCTCTCGGATTCAAAAAGTCTGCATTTAGACACAAATCTGAAAAATCACATGCCTGAATGGAATTCAACACATGTACCAAAATGTACCATACTTACCATTCCATTGTCGGTGGAACCTTCAGGCCTCAGCCCAAAGGCCACCCAACCTGCAGCCTGGGCCCTCAAGGAGAAGCGACTTTGTCCGTCTCCCAGAGTCTCCCAAGTCACGTAGGCCATGCAGTTATCACCCATACACTCCATCGGCTGTCTGAAGCAGCCTTTGGTACGACCACATCCCATCAACTACAAGTTATCAAATGTTAAAATGTGACTGGAGGATTTGCATGGTGTGGGTGAAATTAGAAACAAAACCTGTCTGGAAAAAGCCAGTCCATAATGCTTTTGACTAATCAGAGCTGTGAATACACCACCAAAAAACTGAAAAAAGTGTTAACGTCTTGTGCATGAGGTGCATGGTTGTACCATGTATCAAGGCACAGTATATAGATTTGGGAGTTAGTAGTTTATAGCAAGCATTTACCTATTTGAAGTTTTGTGTTCATATTGTAACAAAATTTTATTTTATTTTATGTTCCAATTGCACCTTTAAACTATATAGAGAGCGCTTTGCCCCCAGTTATCCATAGTGGTCATGTATTGCACCTGTTCTCAAGTAAGATTAATGCCACAAAACTATTTCAGAGCTTACTTTTTCAACTTAAGTCTTAACCTACTTTAAACCACAATAGACAGTATTTGGGCTTCAGTCAAACCACAGATGCAGCGCTCATTGTAGTCTTTATTGTTTACTCTCACAGTGCTAGGGATATACATCTAAGTTCCTTGCCCTATACCTCTGTCATGGTGTTTATGCAAATATCTCCAGGTAAGAAAGATACACTGCATTAGTATGCCTATCTTGAAATTCCTTCTGCATATTTTGACCCAGCACCGTAAAACCCCTTTGAAAGCCCAGTAAGGCGTGGACTTGTGACTGGGGCATGGTGGTGGATGGTGGTGTGCATTTTAGTTCCATATTTTCTGAGTTCCTGTACATGTGTGGCTGAAGGTGGAAGCCTAGTTTAATTTGCCTTCGTTTTTGTGCAAGACGCTATGTTCTTTACTTTGCACTATCACCACCACAACCATTACTTCACACCAAAGGGTTCAGTGGTCTGCATAGTCTTGTGAGTATGTTCCAATTTTACCCCCTTGCACCCGGTAGTTTTTACATGGCCTAGTAGACTAGGGTGTCCCATCGTAGTGGTCCCCTGTCTGAATTCTTAGCTCTGTCAGTAACTAGTCATTTAAATTATATTATTCATATTTGCATGCTCTCCCCTGGTTAATTATTTTGTAAGTGAAGAAGCGCTAATTACATTTTGATTATATCTATTTTCTGATATTACATACACTTGTCCCTTTGTCTGTTATTTTGTGATCAACATCCATGTATTTTTGATTAATCAGTTAATCCCCCCAACTGACGGTCGGCCTCTTTGGGTCGCCAAAGTGTAACTGATTGCACACGAAATGTGGACTAACTAAAGGTGGTCAATTGGGGGCACTATTTGAAAAAGTCAGGTTTTTTCCAACGTTGGTCAGCCGACCAACATTAGAATTTGATACAAAAATGTCCACTTTTCTTGAAAATGACGGAACCAGGTGCCATGATTTGAAAAGATGCTGAAGCCTATTATTCACTTACAGTCAAGTAAGGTATTTATATAATAATTTGGTAGTTTTGCTTTTTGATGTTTACAAATGTTATATATATCTTTAACACAAACGGTCTATTGATAACACGATTTGAATTTCTGATAAAATCCTCATATTGCGTATGGGGTTGACAACGTGTACAACTTTTCCATTAGGTTTATTACTGGTTAGGGAGCCAAAAAAACCCAACAGAATCTAAAATCAAACTCAACAACGTGCCTTCATGTAAAACAATTCCCAATTAAGGGTCATCAAATTAATTGTCATTTCAGTTAGTGGAGATATTCACTCAAAAGAAATCACATGCTAACTTCACGCAACAAAATCAATTTTAGTAGGTGCTTTAACAAAGATTGCAAAAATGAGAAAATATAAAGAAACTTTGAATATGAAAAACTAAGAAGTGACATGACAATGAGTGTGTGATGAAGTCAAGGGCATGACTCTCGTAAAAGTGTTAAAGCAAAAGAAATCAGTTCGAAGTTTTTAGATGGTATTTGCATTATGGCTGTAATACAGATTATTTGAAACTGCATTTGACCAAATATTCAAATATTCGAAGCTCGCTGATCAAGTTTTCCACACGCCAGCTGCAGCTGCCTTCCTCGCTGGTCAAAAGTTGCATACAAAGCGCGCCGGTTACAATTTGAATGCGGCGATGGATATTATAAGCCGCTGGAATGTTTTGTAGTAAGTACTGTAGAACTGTCAAGGGACTTTAGCCAGCTAAAAGAATGGGATCAATAAATGGGCATCGGAAAAATTAGTTACTGTTGACAAAAAAGTGGCATCTGAATCTGACAATAAAAAAAATGCAATTTTATGATTAAAATAACATCCGAGTCGTGTGTGCAAACATGTGCATAGTTTTTTTCTTTTTGAATATTCAAACTGGCAAAAAGCTATTCGTGTATCGGTTGATGATTGAATATCCCGTATATTCAGGGCAGCCGTATTTGCATATGTTCAGTTTTGCCCCTAACCAGAGTAATATGTTATAAGCACTGTATGCTCAGTGCTGACACACTTCATCTGTGCAACACTTCAAATTTCTTATTAGTGACATAACTTACCCACAATACACTGACATCACTGTTAAGTATTTGTCATTTATTACTGGTGTTTTAGTCAAGTCCATCACAAGTCAAATGTAGATCACAAGTCCTTTAACAAGTCTCACAAGAAACAGGGGACGAACAATTACAAAGAACTGCATTTGTCACAGTTCATTTGAATAGCTCGCGACTTGACCTGAGACTGGAGGACTTGTGATGGACTTTGAAGACTCGTGATGGACTGGACTACAACACTAGTTAAACTTTCCTGCTTTTCCTCTGGAAACACAAGTATGGAGGATGGAGCATGAGATCAAAAAGTCACGGTGCATGGTTGCGATGGGCATGACAATGTGGTGCATGTTGAGTGAGTCCAACCACACATGCAGATTAGTCAAGACTGACCGGGGCTTGCCAGGACCAAGTGCACAGAATCCAAGATAACTTTTAGGGGCAAGTGGGTTTTTTAAAACAAGGCTTTGTCTAAGACTTGAGGAGGCTTTGGATCAATGCAGAACCATGTTTTATCTCAGGAATATTAAAATCTCCTAACATGAGGCTGACATTTTCAACTTCTGGAGTATTTATTTAACATGTATGTTTCTAAATGTTTCTGGAATGGTCAAGCAGGAAAAATAGATGAGATTTAGAAAATGGCTATGTTGGAAAAGATAAGGACTTATTCTATTTGGGAGGGGACACGTTGCGTTTTTGAATTTTGGTTTTGGTCAAATGATAATTTGCATGGAGGACCTTTAAGATTTCACAAATGTATTGTCTGAAATTATCGAAACGGAATTAATTGCAGCAAAATTTGATGCAAATCAAGATGCAGATCTGTCAAATCCAACAGTAGGAGTTGGCGTGGGCGGGGGGGGGGGGGGGGGGGGGGGGGGGGGGGGGGGGGGGGGGGGGGGGGGGGGGGGGGGGGGGCAACTATTATTTTAAATGGGGCCTTTGGGAAGTTGAAGTTCAAAGGCCACTTCACAGTTGATTTGAGAGGATTTAGGGAAGTACACAGCCAAACTTGCTCCGGGAGTTTTAGGGTAATGGATGAACGCCCCCGTCCAGTTTTTTAACTACATACCCCGACCGTTTGATCTCCTGTCTCGTCACCGTGTCTTTTTCGCCTTCTATCACTACTTACGGCTTGACCCCAGGTCACGGAGGTCATCTGCAAGAGGATCATGGGAAGGACCAAGGCGAGGAACGACGGCCTGGTATTCATGCTGGATCTGTTGTGATTCACACTCCTGTGTAGGAAAAAAAAACACCATAACATCACCTGAGTTTGGATTAGAACTTCTGACCTTTCAACTGCTGGTTACATGTAAGTGGCTTCCCTACCAAAAATATCTCTCTGGATTCGAACCTACTACCAAACAACTGTACATGTACATTGTATGTCAAAGAAGCATCTGTAATGCACGCAACTGGAAAGTAACTGCAAAGAGGACATTCCAAGCTTTACACGACTTTATATAGTGTTTCTCAATTTTGTAAGGCTTAAATGTGAAGTGAAAAATAAAGAAATCAGGTGCCCAAGGAAACATTTCATGCCTGTCTTTGAGGAAACTTCTGAACTAGTTTCACTACTAAAGCAATTCTAGCCTTCAAAAATCAACGGAAAACCATCCAGCACTGATATAACAGCAACCAAACAAATAAATGCATCTCTACAGTACACACTACCTGTATGATAAGGTTCACTCGGATACATTTAGCTGAATTTTACTTCTAGAATTCTGTTCCAAACAATCCACTGATTTCCACCCCCCCCCCTTTTTTGGCTATTAAATATTCAAGGATCACACAGGCCACATTTTAAACTCTGCGAACAACTTGAAACCGAAAATATTCAGCTTAACATGAAAATCAAAACAGGAAATGCAAGTCTTGCAAAACAGCAACACCATCAATCCAATTCACTTCAGGAAACTACATGTACATGTACATTAATATCACAGGGGAAAACCATGGACACTTGTCCATTGTATAAAATCACAAAGGACAAATCAAACTCCCTATTTACAACTTTTTGGCAAAGGTCCAAGGATCACTTTACTTCCTGCTTTCCAACCAGCAAAATGTACGCAGTACCAACTCTGATTAATTTAACATGCCAACAAGTGGTAAACAAGTGGTAAACTTCTGAACACGGATATGGACACTATTCAGGATGTTACACCTTTGATTAAAGGGAAAATACAACATTTGCAAACATCACAAAATAAAACTACCAAATCATTTTGAAATACCTTGCTGGACTGTAAGTGAATGACAGTGTAAAGCATCCTGTCAAATCATGGCACCTGGTATACTGTCATTTTCAAGAAAAGTGGTATTTTTGTATCAATTTCCAACGCTGATCGGCCAATCAGCGTTGGAAACAACTGGCTTTTTTTCCAAATACTGGCCCCAATTGACCATCGCACTTGTTTGCAATCGATTACAAACCTATGAACGGGTACGAGCCAGCTAGACTGGTTCCCTGACCTTACAATTCCACAATGAATGTAAACAGCTCTGTTTCTTCTTATATGGAGTCAGGGAACCAGACTACAGGAAAATGATCGTTTTTCTTGGTTTTCATAGCATTTTCGAACCCAAAACCTCAAAAAAAGTCAGTGTAACTATATTCACTATATATTTCCAACCCCCCAATTCCATCCATTCTGAAAATTACAGCAAAAGCAAATGATGTATATTCCCTTTAAATGATAGTCATGAAATTGAAGAAACTTAACTGTGCAATTACTGTACATGTAAATTGTACAATAACAGTTGGTCATACACACTTGCTTCATGAACACTGAACTTGCAATTTTATTAGTAACAACCTGAGAGCAACAAGGTTCATGTACTGCATGTAGACGATTTAAAATGTATGTGTACTGTGCTTGTGACCATATGTGCATAATACTGTACTGTCGATAATTTTACTTACAGTTTAACAGCCTTCGATTTACACAGATGCAGAATGCTTTCAAAACAATGAACACATGGAAGAGTAAGGTAGCGCTGTAATATTGGCTGACTAACACAGCTGCTAACCACTTGAGTTACAGCTCAAAATATTGAACGAATACGCTCCACACCACTAAACACACAACAGCCGGATGCCGATGCGAATATCAATGAATCGGTATTTTCAATGGGTGTGCCCAAACGGTACCTCAGAGTGGCACACAATGTCTTTGTCCGAATTACGAGTGAAAGTATGGCTGGCTGTTGTGAACACAATGCGTCACTGACGACATGCCTTTTACAAGTTTGCGTTGCTCAGAATAATTCCTGCCATTCACTTTCAATGCCACACCTGAATGGCACACAAAAGAACTGATGAACTGCGACTAGAACATAACTAGTGGTTTTCACGCCCTACAGTTGTGGTGAGTGTAAACGGAAGAAACAATTCATTGTTATACAGTGGCCTTTTCAAGAACAAGGTTACAGTGACACAACACTTGGCCACGCAGTTCAATAAATATGTTTATCTTTTTAAGACAGCCTGTTTCATTTTTTTGTTTTCTCAAAAAAAAATAGCCAAGGAAAATTGGTGCAACAATTATCTAAATATATCATTTGTAGGGTTCCTTGGGCAAGCTAGCAGCTAAAAAAAAAATGGGAGTCATCTTGAAATACAGTAAGAGGTCGCCTTACAAATGAAAATGGGATCTGTTTTTTTTCTCTTTTGGTAGGGCCATATCCTGCCCCCAAAACGTAAAAAAAAAACAACACAGCAAACATTCATAATCGTGCATTTGTTTAATTTGCTTTGTTTTGTTAATGGTTGGGGGGGGGGGGGGGTTTGAATGTTAAGACTTTCATTGGAGTTATTGTGAATAAATACATACACACTGTGTCAAGTACAAGGGCATACCAGGACCCATACTTCCCTTCAATGAAAACCACAAGGGAATAGTTTTATAAAATACTTCTGTCTCATCATGACAGTGCACATTTTTATCCATAGAAATTTTACTTAGCCTTTAGGTCAATAAAACGTACCAGTACCAGTAAGTGCACTTTCACTGTAGAGACTGACACACAAACTGGGTCAAGTACAAGGACACAATTACATTTATGATTCATATTTTCTGTCTTGACAATAAGAACGCCCAAATTTCTAACCGTGATTATGCTTGTGTCAGATATTGATATCAATTATTTAGTGACAATGCACAATTTTGGTACATGTGCATTGTACATGCCAATGTTTTCCCTGATTTAAATGCAAAAACAAAACTACAGAATTTTAATGAAATACATTAGGAAAACAACTTTTTGCTTCCAGTTACCCTACCTACGCTATTTTGACAGCCCCTACCCTAATTTCTTTTTGGAAAAATGAGGACAAAACCTGAAAACCATCAATTACTACCCTTGACTACACGCAGACACCTCCATATGATCATTCACAAACAACTGCCAAAAAAGAAAAGTTTCCCTACCTACCTACCCTATTTTCAAATGCCATGTAATCAGAAGCTGAACTATTTTGTTTGGCCTAAAGAACCTGTTTATTCCTTCACAACCACTTTACTTACGATTCTTCCAACCATGACAGCAGTGACAGTAACCTAAAGCATGTCTAGCAACCACCACGGTGTAACTACTTAAACCCCTTAATACCAGCTGACGGCTCTCGACCCAGCTCGATAAAATGAAAAGCCGACAAGCCTGGGGACTGTTATTGCGGCATTCCTGCTGCATAGCGCGCATCCATTGACAGACAACAGCTGAATGCTTGCACGTACACATTCCACCCAATGTGTAGCTGTCTGTGGCTGAACACTACCAGCGTCAAGAGGTTAACAACAATCTCCATGCACGATCATTTTTCATTTCATATTTGTTGATGTTGTGCGCTTTCTTGTGATTTGCGCAATCATAAAAATGTGTATGCCTATTCTTAACTGGATCCTTGCGCAATCTTCCAAAAAAAAAAAAGTCTTCCAGATTGAGTGCACATTCTTAAGCATGCGCAACAAGAGAACGGTCTTGTTGATGCTGAGCATCGGCTGCACTTGGCGAGTCTAGCTGCATCCTCATTCACTGATTCTTGGGCCGTACCTAAATAATTATACTGTTGCAATGCAAGATCACTAGGAAAAAGATTTAACAATGAAAAGTACAGTGGAGATGAAAGTAATAATAGGCCCCTATACATATTGAGGGGGAAGTAATAAGAGACATAATAATATGGTCAATGATGGTGTAGTGCCAGTGGAAAGAAATCTGATTTTTGGGATAACAAACATGAATGCGTGTTCCTCATGATCATGTGTTCTCTCAGTCTCAGCATGCATTTGATGCAGGGATTTGTAACTTGTCCAGATTAAACAAACTTCTGGTTCTAGTTCCCAATCCCAGTCCTCCATTATCACAAAACTAATATTATTAATAATAATAAGATAGTGGATATTTTGCCGGTGGTAATGACGGTAAACTAACGTTTACTAAAGGTTTGCCGGCGGCAATCCATATCAACAGAGGGCGCTGTACTCTTTAAGATAGGGCTGAATTATAACATGTATTAAATTCCCACCAAAAGTTGTGTAGCACATTTGGTGTAGTGGTTAAGCAAAGGCTCTAGTAAGCGTGATGACTCGGGTTCGATTCCGACCGCAGCACATTTTAAAGTTTTTTTTTCTCATCCCCAAATAAATAAGAATATTCTTCTTTTATTATTTTAACATGTCTCAAACATTTTTTTGCAGTGTATTACATTTTCTTTTTCAGATTTGTGGCTCTGGAGGATTTTTTTAAAAGGGAAATAAAGTCCGAAATTATAAAATGGTCTGAATCCCATCTTGTGAATACGAGGTTACAACGATAATTTTGGCATGGAGCCAGGCTAAAATTTGTCACCGGAAAATGTTTAAGTACAAAAAACCAGTAACTGCGCATGTTCAATGCATATCCGGCAAACAAACGTTTACTAAAGGTTTGCCGTCTCCGGCAAAATATACACTGCCTAATAATAACAGCTTTAATTTTACGAAGTGGCTATCGTTACGGCACTCGTTGTTTAGCGCCCTCTACGATATTTTTTTGATACGCACGCAGGTATATAATTATTTGTTTCCCCACGTTTTATCGAGCAGTGCGCCAGCTCAGCCGATAGGGGGTAGGATTTTGCACCGTGAGGTTGCGGGTTCGAATCTCAGTTTTGCACTCGAATTTTTTTCCTTTTCTAACCTGAGGCTTTGGAGGATTTTTTTTAAAAGGGAAATAAAGTCCGAATTTCATAAAGTTCAAATTCACTTTTTTCCTTCTAATTTTATATTTTCTTGTCATGTTTTTTTATAAAAGTTGCCAGGTTGCAGTCTACCGTAACGATAGAAAATGGGAAATGCGTTACGGCTGCCGTAACAATAGCCACTGCGTTAATTTTATTCAAAATCAAATAAAATTTTTAACTAATGCCCCCGACTAAGCAGTTAAGAATGAGCGCTCATTCTTATTCTTAAGATTGCAATTTTGCATGCTCATTCTTAAGGATGCGCACTCGTTCTTAAGAATGCGCGCTCGTTCTTAAGAATGGGCGCTCATTCTCAGATTGCGCAAATTGCAAAAAGCGCACAAAACAGTCACAAATCGTCACATTTCACTTTCAGTTGCAGATAACGCATATTATTCAAAGCGAACGACGTGTATTTCCGACAGCAAATCTTCAACTCGTCTACTATTATTGACTGCTCATTATTTGTTTTAAGCGATCAGAGAATGATGCGCATTGCTTTACGAATTCTGCACACTTCTCTAGCAATAAAGATCACATTAAGCCATAAAAAGAAACTTATTTTATAGTTATTGGCAACTTACCTACCAGAAAAGTGCACCGCCCAAACTTCCGCAGCTTCATGCATGTCATGCAAATCAAATGCAAATTAACTGTAAACATGTTACTGTCGCGTGGTGGCGCCCTTTCAGTTAGCTGCATGCCCACCGTGCGGGATTCCGAGCCGAGCGCTCAACTGCGCGGTTAATCCCCTACACATTTTATATTTTGTGAACCAAAAGAACATAATTTTATATTGAGCGTTGCGTCTGAAAAAGGTTAACTTTTTGTCTACGACGCACAAAATATCATCCGTTTGAATTATTGTGGGCCGCCAATGGTTCGTTTGCTGTGCTAGAGTCAAAATATATATATTTTTTCCAATTATTATTTTCTGGCCTAGCAAAAGTTATTCACTTCTGTCAAAGACATTGAACAAAAAAATCCACCAACGATTAGTTTATAAAATTATTTTAAGATATACGTGTATATTAAAGTTAAACAAAGAAATTGACTGGAGCGGTGTTTGGACCTGCGACCCTGCGAATTACCGTTCCGGTGCTCTACCAAGTACCAACTGAGCTATCCAGCCTACAGGGTGAGACAAACAAAACGGAACCCAAACCCTCAAAATTATAATTTCATAAATAAAAAATATGTAGCACCAAAAATAACAATGACTGAAATATTTCATAGCTACTTTTAGATGAAGAAAAAATGCTGAAATTGCTCAATCCATTCAAAGAATATCACCATTGAACACAATAACCCAACCGCTTTCGTCCCAAATGCGCAACTGACATCACCAGGCTCATCTTAAAAAAAAATGGATTTTATGAATCATATTGTTTGCCTAACCATTGTTAATAAAGATATTGCGTTCTACAGTTGTTGCAAAAAAATGTGTCATTTTCTTTGTTGTTCCAAACAATAGGAATACACAATAAATTGGACGAAACAGGTTTTAGGGTAATTGCGTTTAAATGGTGATATGCTTTGAACGGATTGGGCAATTTTCGTATTATTTTTTGGTACTACATATCCATTTTTAAATATGAAATATATTTTGGGGGGTTTGGGTTCCGCAGTTTTGACGCACCCTGTATATACGTACATGTATTGGAAGAGCGTTCTGGAGGGCGCAGGTTCAAACCCTGCTCCACGGTCCATTTCTTTGTCCATGACTTTAAAATCAAATGGATCTAATCAGTTTCCCTATCTTTTGTTGTTGTTGAAATGTCATTCAAAAGTAACTACCTTTCGAGGCTTTCGTATGATAAGTTTACTTCGGCGCGGGTTTCTGTATCTTTCACCTGAATTTCACTTCTTTGATTTTTGATTTGATTTGATTTGATTTATTCGCAATTTATATTTCCACATATTAAATAATGATACTGATTTATATTTCAGATTTAACAAGAAAAGATATCAAGAACTGTAATTTAAAAAATTAAACATAGAGAGTCCCCCATTCAGTGGAATAAGCGGGGATAACGCAAACATGTATTAATTAAATACTTATATCCATTGCAGTCATGGGCGTCGCCAGGATTTTTTCTAGAGGGGGGCAAAAAAAAATTTGCCAAAAAATGTTTGTATTTCTCAACACATTCTCGATTTATCAGTTTTAGAGGGGGGCAGGGACATTTTGCCCCCCCCCCCCCCACTCATTAAATTTACACCACTGTCTTCGCGCCTCTTTTTTTTTTTTTTTGCAGTCTCAATTAACTTTGGAAAAATCACATCATCTTGAACTTGAGCTGTTTTCTTAAAACCTCATCAGCCGTTATTAGGGGCTGGGGGAGGGGGGGGGGGGGGGGGCAGGGGAAACTATAAAGTCGCGCCCATCTCCAACAATCACTAGAACCAGCTGGGGATTGTTTGTGTGCAAAATCAAACTGTTCCGTGAGTACAAATCATAAAGGTCATAATATCATTTTACATTGTCCTGGGAATATTATTCGTGTTTCGTTTTTGAGGACGTGCCGGTGTCGTCTTCATTGATCCAACAAAATGAGTCTTACAATTCTCTTTACTGTTAAGCTTCATCACTCTGAGAAAAATAAGACATGGGTTTTGTGTGTTTTTGTGCACATAGTATAAGAACCAATAAATAAAAAGTGTAAAGTAATTGGTTTAACCCTAATAAATTCTGATTTCTTCTGTTTTTAATTAATGTTTTAAAAGGTCATAACTGAAAACACTAGGTGGAAAGTTTTGCCTCATTTTGATAGATCGTATCGCGTAACGCAACACGGGCAATTTTGCTCGTAAAAAACACCGTCGCTGGTAACCTGGATTTAACTCCAACGAACGCATGACGGGCGCGCACCATCTGCAGCGCAGCAGTCAGTCAGCTGTCGAGCAAAATACAGCTTGGATCTTATGTTAAAAAAAAATGCTCCCAATCTTCCTCCAAAATTGCATTTTTGGCCGCTGCTGCGATTTTGTCCACTGGTGGGACTAACGAACCGATGTTGTGGCATGACCAGTATGCTGTTGACGACAGCAATCTGCTTTGGTTTCGTTATTGAAATGTGTTCTTCTGCAGCGACGAACAGCCCAGGTATGAAATTAAATGCAAGATGGCCAATAGTGTTGACCCAGTTTCGTGATAAAATTTTATTCTTTTAATTTGTTTATGAATGCATTTAAACATTAATGCATTTTAATACATTAATATTTGAAATCAGTTTTGTTTTAAGATGACTCTTCTTGTTATGTCATGTGTACGTAGTTTGTGGGGAGCATGAACTTGGAAATAGGCCTATAGTATATGCATGATATGGCGATCGTGAAGTGAAGGGCCCTGGCCCTGTTTTGTTTTGATCAAATTAGACTAGAGTCAAAAATGTTTTTTATTGCTCAAAATTCACCTTTACAATCAAAAGCAGACTTTCCTCAATTCTAACATGTCTAATGTCATGACACCCGTTTTGCAATTTTGAACAGATTTATGGGGTAGAAATCATGATTTTCCTGCGCGGTTTGTGCCTTGCGATTCAGCGCGCCCTGCGTGCTCACGGTCATGACGGTACATTGCGCGGTGATCGCCATCTTTATTTTCGGGTCGCGTGTTGTCCCCGCGCTGTCATCGTCATTTTACCCCCAAATTTCCCTCAAAAAATCAAAACCCTGCCCTCTATCTATGACATACCTGTTTACTGAGAATGTCGCCAACTAGTTTGGTAGGTCCAATAATTTTAACATGTAGTATTTTGTGGTATTTGGTACTTGACCCCCAAACAGCCCTTTGAGGGTTAGGGTTAGCTAATTAGAGTGGATTTTGTTCCCTTAGATAGGAACCAGGCCCTACACTACATGATCGCCTAAATATATTGATATTCTGTCAATATTTCTGTAATAGGCCGACGCAGCTAGAAGTTGTATAAAATTCAAAATAAAAAACAAAACAATGATCACTACACAAAGATCATTCAACTTGATCAAAACAAATGGAAAAAATGTTACAACCTGACGCCACTTCCGCGATTGAGTACAATTACAAAGTCTATGGAGAGTCAAAAAATTGTCTAAGTATTTCCTAACAAAATTGGAAATGTTTCTCGGACTCAGATATATGTTTTGTCATCATTTTTGCAATGACTGACCTTCATTGAGATGATAAATGAAGAAAAAAGTGGCGTCAGGTTGCAACATTTTTTTCGTTTTCTCATTAAATACCTCAATACTTTCCCCTGCTTATTTTGACTTTTTATGACATATCACTTTCTGATGGCTGATAGGCCAATGAAGGGAAAATTAGTGATGGCCAGATATGGGAATCTTTCCTGCATTTTAAACATTAATTTAATGCATTTATATTTGAATTTTGAAATCCCTGTTGTTTTAAGACGTCACTCCTTTTTATGTGTAAATAGTTTGCATGAAGAAATATATTGATATTCTCGTCAATATTTCTGCAATAGGCCGACGCAACTTTGCATACAATTCAAAATCAAACAAAGAACATTTTCAAACAGTAATCACTACACAAAGATCATTCAATTTGATCAAAACAAACATATCACTCGCAATTCGCAAAGGAAGAAATACAACTATCAAAGAGGCCTCAGGATACCACACTTTGATTTTTTTTTTATTTCAGTCAACATCCTTTGGCACAAGTGCCAATGGTTTTAAATGGAACAGTGAAAACCTTTGATAATTATTTTTTTTTTAATTAGCAATTCAAAGTATATATACAAATGTGTTTAAAATGCTAAGGTTTTTTTATTTTTCTCAAGATGTCTTTGATGGCGTGTTTGTCTGCGTGGAGAAGGATCCTGAAAACAATGCCACCGTTGTCACATGGACACTTGCTGCTTACATCCAAGCCACATGCTGCGATCTCCTTTACTTCGAAAACAAGACATCGTCCGTGTCGAGCGTTGTGCCAAGTTTATCCCCACCGGAACTTTTCAGTTGACCAACTTACGTGAATCAGTAGTTTATGTTATCCAAATGACGTGTTTAGATTCCTGTAATGGTGTGACTGACTCTAGCAAGAGCTACAGATCTAGTGAGGTGTCTTTTCTGTCAGGTAAGAGAATTAAACAAAAATTGAATTGACTATTTACATGGAAGCCATAATGTTTGTTTCAACATTATTAATTAATTATTATTTTCATGTTGTTCCAGTTTATTTCTTTGGGGGCTGTTTCAAATATAGATCATTTCTTGAGATTTAATTTTTAACACCAGTCTCTCTTCCAACACCAATTTTCCCAGGTATTTACACTTCCCAACAAAGCTTTGAATGAATTTCTTAAAGGGAATATACATCATTTGCTTTTGCTGTAATTTTCAGAAATGGATGGAATTGGGGGTTGGAAATATAAAGCAAATATAGTTACACTGACTTTTTGGAGGTTTTGGGTTCGAAAATGCTATAAAAACCAAGAAAAACGATCATTTTCCTGTAGTCTGGTTCCCTGACTCCATAAAAGAAGAAACAGAGCAGTTAACATACATTAGGGAATTGTAAGGTCAGGGAACCAGTCTAGCTGGCTCGTACCCGTTCATAGGTTTGTAATCGATTGCAAACAAGTGCAATGGTCAATTGGGGCCAGTATTTGAAAAAAAGCCAGTTGTTTCCAACGCTGATCGGCCGATCAGCGTTGGAAATTGATACAAAAATACCACTTTTCTTGAAAATGACAGTATACCAGGTGC